TTTTGTAGAAATAAAAGTGTAATAAACGGCTGGGCACCGTGGTTCACGACCATAAACCTAACACTTTGGGAGGCTGAAGCAGGCGATTCACTGGAGGTCAGGACCTCCAGCCTGACCAACATGGTGAAACCCTGTTTCTACTAAAAATAGAAAAATTAGCTGGGCATGGTGGCACAAGCCTGAAATCTCAGCTACTTGAGCGGCTGAGGCAGGAGAATTGCTTGAACCTGGGAGGCAGAGGTTGCAGTGAGCCAAAATCACGTCATTACACTCCAGCCTGGGTGACAAAAGCAAAACTCTGTCTCAAAAAAAAAAAAAGGAATAAATAAAAGCATAATTTAAAAAATCCATTGTTAGAATAACCTGGGGCCAGAAAGCTTTTGTGTCAGTCACAGGGAAAGTGGGAAGGGAGTATTTTTAAGCCTGTACTATGTTCTAGGTCAGGTAGGTATTGATTCCACTTGACTTACAGGGAGATTGAGCCTCAACAAGTCCCAGGGTAGGTGAGAGGAAGATGCAGTACCTCCAAAAGCTGCTTCATTCATTCATTGCACACACCTTTATTGCGTTCCCGTGGTGTGTCAGGCATTGTTCTGGCTGATTTCCTTGTTCCATTGAATCATCTCCAGGCATACATAGCAGAAGAAGTTGGAAGATGGTCCAGGGATGATATGATTTATAGGCTGGCAAAATGTTTGAGTCAACTTAGATTTTTTTTTTTTTTGAGACAGAGTCTTGCTCTGTCACCAGGTTGAAGTGCAGTGGCACAATCTCGACTCACTGCAACCTCCACCTCCTGGATTCAAGCGATTCTTCTGCCTCAGCCTCCCGAGTAGCTGGGATCACAGGCGTGCGCCACCATGCCCAGCTAATTTTTTTTGTATTTTTAGTAGAGATGGGGTTTTACCGTGTTGGCCAGAGTGGTCTCGATCTCTGGACCTTGTGATCCGCCCACCTCGTCCTCCCAAAGTGCTGGGATTAGAGGCGTGAGCCACTGCACCCGGCCGTCAACTTAGATTTTGAGTAATTTTTACCTTTCAGAAATCAATGTAATCTCTAACTTAGCCCATGGGCTGGTAGCCTCTATATTTTTGAATTCTTCATCTTGATTAGCTACAAAATAGTGTTCGCTCAGAAACGTATTTTGTTTCTGCATGAAACTTTAAAAGTATCTTAAGTAGACTTGTCAGTCTTTTACGGTTTTATGCCATTTATTCATAGAATGATCTTTAGTTTGACCTATATGCATATAGACCTTTGCCTGGTATTTCCTTCTAGTTTCTTGTGTGTGTGTTTTAAATTTATTCGTCTGGAATTTATGTTAGCATGTAGTGAGGGTAGGAGTTTAACTTTATTTTTTCTAAATAGCCAGTTGCCTTGGCACTGTTTGTTATATAAGCTGTCTTTGGGTGTAATGGTTTAGCCTGGAAATGACCAGAGGTGTCGAGTCTAAATATATATGCCACTGTGTTTCCCTCTGAAGAAGTAAGTGGCGCATGTACTTAATCTATACCGCGGTGACTTGGGGGGCCGTTTCTTACGCTCTCACTCCTTGCTGCTCCTCTATCCTTGGTACTGGGTCTGGCTCTGCAGTGATGAGCAGGAGCTCACCAGCAGTGGGCGCTGTCACACCTCTGCCTCAGCTCCCCTTTTGTCCTGAGTTGGCAGTGCCCTTAACAATTTTAGTAGCCCTTAGTAGCCTTGAGAGATGCTATTGATAATACTGGCTTGCCTTGGGAGTAGGTTCTTCTGTCTGGCCTTTGTCTCTGTTGGCCATTGTCCCCCACTGCTGTGCTCTGCTGCATAGCCTCTGTCCCTGGGCCTTCAGGTCTTTGTGCACCTGCTTGTGTAGCTTGTCTTCTGCTAGCTCACATGTCCTTAAGGGCAAGGCCCTTATTCATCTGTACATTCCAGGGCTTTAGCTCAGAGTAAGTTTTAGTAAAACACTTGCCTCTGCTAGTTTGGGAAAGATGAAATAATACATGTTACATAATTTGGATATAATACATAAATGCTTTGCTGTCAGGGTGGAAAACAGGCCTTTATTTTCCTCCTCCTGAAGACCTTTCCTTTCACTCATAGGAACCTCAAAGATGTTCAGATCCGTACTTTAACCTAGTGCAGTTTAATTCTGTTTGTGGAAAATTGGTCCTTAAGTATTTCTTTCAGTCATTTTGCAAATGTGTGTTGAGTGCCAGGCTGGGACTAGATCGTGGAACAGTATGGATGAGGTCCTTATGGAGCAGCGGAATTGCTGAGCAATATGTTCCCAGCCTGGCACATAGCATGGATTTGCTGCAGTGAAGCTGGAGAGCTCACCGTATGTTAAACAGATACCAACAGTTAACTCACTGTCAGGTAGAGGAGTGGCCTTTGAGCTTTTCTTTTCCTTTTTTTTTGAGATAGAGCCTCAATCTGTTTCGTAGGCTGGAGTGCAGCAACACTGTCTTGGCTCACTACAATCTCTCTCTCCTGGCTTCAAATGATTTTCCTGCCTCAGCCTCCCGAGTAGCTGGGACTACAGGCAAGTGCCCCTAGGCCTGGCTAATTTTCATATTTTTAGTAGAGACGGGGTTTCACTGTATTGGCCAGGCTGGTCTCGAGCTCCTGATCTCGTGATCTGCCTGCCTCGGCCTCCCAAAGTGCTGGGATTACAGGTGTGAGCCACCGCACCTGGCCGGCCTTTGTTCTTTTGTTGTTTTCTGAGCTCTTTGTCAATTTCTGAATAGTCTACAGACAACCTCCAAATTTTACAAGGAATTTAATCTTCATATTTATGCAAAAAAAATCATTTTTTTCCAGTGTGAAATTGGTAATGCAGAAACTAACATGACCCTAACTCAAGCACTCATAGACAGCTTCACCCCCAAATCCTGGAATGCATAGTCTGTATCTGCTGATGTGGCCTTTCTTCCCTTCATCCAGCATATGTCAGTCCATCCATTCACCACATGAACTCTCTGGACCAGGGGTTTTCCCTAGATGCTGTGGAATTCTACAAGATCAAGTCCCTGCCTTTTTTTTTTTTTTTGAATTTTTTTAAGATACAGGGTCTTGCTCCTTCACCCAGGCTATAGTGCAGTGGTACCATCATAGCTCCCTGTAACCTCAAACTCCTGGACTGAAGTGACCCTTCTGCCTCAGCCTCCTAGGTAGCAAGGAATACCTGCACATACCATTACACGCAGCTGATTTTATTTTGTTTATTTATATTTATTTATTTAGGCAGAGTCTTGCTCTGTTGACCGAGCTGGAGTGCAGTGGTGCGATCTTGCCTCACTGCAACCTCCGCCTCCCGGGCTCAAGTGATTCTCATGCCTCAGCCCGCTGAGTAGCTGGGACCACAGGCGTGTGCCACCACACCCAGCTAATTTTTATATTTTTAGTAGAGACAGGGTTTTGCCATGTTGGCTGGGCTGGTTTCAAACTCCTGGCATCAAGTGATCTGCCTGCCTCGGCCTCCCAAAGTGCTGAGATTACAGGAATGAGCCACCACGGGCCATCCTGCCTTTTTAAATAAGAGCTTATATTCAGAGTGATACTAGACACTTCATGAAACATGAGATTTTAGACAGTGGTAGTGCTGTGAAATAACTCTGACGTTTAGTCTCGCCTCCGTTCCTGTCACTCTGTTGAAAAGACCACTGCTCATTAGGGAACCATTGCTCAGTGCCAGTGGCTGTCCGGCATAGCAGCACAAATGATGCTGCTTTCTTTTTTTTTCTTTTTTTTTTTTTTTTTTGAGATAGAGTCTCGCTGTGTTGCCAGCTTGGAGTGCAGTGGTTCAATCTCGGCTTACTGCAACCTCCTCCTCCTGTGTTCAAGCAATTCTCCTGCCTCAGCCTCTCGAGTAGTTGGGACTACAGGTGTGCGCCACCATGCCAAGCCAATCTTTGTATTTTTAGTAGAATGGGGTTTCAACATGTTGGCCAGGATGGTCTTGATCTCTTGAGCTAGTGATCCGCCCGCCTCGGCCTCCCAAAGTGCTGGGATTGTAGGTGTGAGCCACTGCATCTGGCCCAGTGATACTGTTTTATATGCCCCTTTTCTCCCCCTTTTCTTTCTAACTTGATGTTTGAAAGCCTGTTTCGCCGGGCGCGGTGGCTCACGCCTGTAATCCCAGCACTCTGGGATGCCGAGGCAGGTGGATCACGAGGTCAAGAGATCGAGACCATCCTGGTCAACTTGGTGAAACCCCGTCTCTACTAAAAATACAAAAAATTAGCTGGGCATGGTGGCGCGCACCTGTAGTCCCAGCTACTCGGGAGGCTGAGGCAAGAGCATTGCCTGAACCCAGGAGGCAGAGGTTGCGGTGAGCCGAGATCGCGCCATTGCACTCCAGCCTGGGTAACAAGAGTGAAACTCCATCTCAGGAAGAAAAAAAAAAAGCCTGTTCCACACACTGCATCACGTCACCCTGGGCCTGGCCCTGGCGGTGCTTTGCTGAGCCCTCCTCATCTGTGAGCCTGCCGCCCAGTGACCATCCTGCTCCTGTCCCTGGTGCCCTGTGTATTGCGTATCTGCTCCTCCCTGCTGCTTTTCCTGTTCCATGTGCTTTGGCTGGTTTTTCTTCTTCCAACTGTGCGACTCCTTCTCAAGCCTTTGTCCAGTCAAACAGGTTACGAAGAATTTAGTGTTCTTTCTGCATTTCATTAAGAAGAGAAAAAGGCTTGCAGACATTCTGAGAACAAATTTTGTTCACTGAGGCTATGTGTTTTGGAAGTGCCATTTAGATGTTTTGCTGCTTTTAATCTTTGGCATTAATTTCAGTTGCTGTCATAAAAAAGAATTCAGACATAAACCAGAAAAGTAATTAACTGTGTCTGCAAATGAAAAACAGCAACAGTGCAGAATGTAGGATTTCAAGATCATAAATTACAAATGTGCCTATTTATTATTCCCCTGGAAAATGTTAATTAAAAATGTTTTATTTTTACTTGATGTAACAGAAATGAAACCTGTAATGAAGGGTCTGATTTCTTTCTCTTTTTAAATTCCAGAATGTATGAGAACATGTCCACAATGGTGTACATAAAGGAAGACAAGTTGGAGAAGCTTACGCAGGATGAAATTATTTCTAAGACAAAGCAAGTGATTCAGGGGCTGGAGGCTTTGAAGAATGAGCACAATTCCATCTTACAAAGTTTACTGGAGACACTGAAGTGTTTGAAGAAGGATGATGAGAGTAACCTGGTGGAGGAGAAATCAAACATGATCCGGAAGTCACTGGAGATGTTGGAGCTTGGCCTGAGTGAGGCACAGGTATGAGTGAGAATGACTCAGATGTCGTCAAGAACTTTGGACGGTTTGGAAAAATGGAGACTTTGTTTGAAAGAAGCAGTTTCACTGAAGAAGAGGAAAGATAGTTATAGAATAACAGATCCAAGCCAGGTGTGGTGGCTTACGCCTATAATCCAGGCACTTGGGGAGGGCGAGGCAAGTGGATCACTTGAGGTCAGGAGTTTGGGACCCGCCTGGCCAGTGTGGTGAAACCCTGACTCTACTAAAGATACAAAAATAGCCGGGCCTGGTGGCGGGTGTCTGTGATCTCAGCTACTTGGGAGGCTGAGGCAGGAGAATTACTTGAATCTGAGAGGTGGGGGTTGTAGGGAGCCAAAATCGCGCTATTGCATTCCAGCCTGGTTGACAGAGCAAGACTTTGTCTCAAAAAACCCCCACAAAAACCAGATCCACTTAAGATGTATTGTGTATGTTCATAAATGACTACTGATTTGGGCCTATCTGAATTTTATTTTTATTTTTCTGAGATGGTGTTTGTTCTCATTGCCCAGGAGTGCAGTGGCACAATCTCTGCTCACTGCAACTTCCGCCCCCGCCCCCTTGGTTCAAGTTATTCTCCTTCTTCAGCCCCCTAAGTAGCTGGGATTACAGATGTGCACCACCATGCCTGGGTAATTTTTTGTATTTTTAGTAGAAACAGGGTTTCACCATGTTGGCCAGGCTGGTCTCAAACTCCTACCCTTACGGCCTACCTGAATTTTTACAAGCAGAGCCAAAATATTGGATACTGCTGTGTATCATTCAGGATTTGACTTAATTGCCAGTATCAAAAAACAAAAACTGGCTTAAACCACAAGATGGTTGTCAAGCAGATACCGAGGTATACTATCCTGGACAGGTTCTGTAGCTGCACAGTCATCAGGGCTACTCAGGCTCCTAACATCTGCCACACTACACCGTGGCAGCCTTCTTGGGAACTGGGAGTGAGCTCCAGTGGCAGCCTCATGGCTTTCTTCTAGCACAGGGGAAGGAATGGAAGGATGCGCCTTCTTCCTTGATACTGTGTACAGCAGAGCTTACGTTTCATTGGCCAAAACCCAATGGCTGTACCTGGGTGAGTGAGAGATGGGAATATTGTCTTCCCACTTAAACACTGGCAGGTCTGAAGCCTAAGGAAGAAAGGGAGAATGGACACTGGCCAGTGGGTGATGGTCTCTGCAGTCCCAGGGCCAGATTGTTTCATGTCTTTGACTAACCTTTGTTTTTTTGAGACAGAGTCTCGCTCTGTTGCCCAGGCTGGAGTGCAGTGGCATGACTTTCCTCAGCTCACTGCAACCTTCATCTCCCGGGTTTATGTAATTCTCCTGCCTCAGCCTCCCTGAGTCGCTGGGAGTATAGGCATGTGTCACCACACCCAGCTAATTTTTGTATTTTTAGTGGAGACGGAGTTTCACTCTGTTTGCCAGACTGGTCGGAACACCTGACCTCAAGTGATCCGCCCTGGTCTGTCTCCCAAAGTGCTGGGATTACAGGTGTGAGCCACCATGCCCAGCCCACTAAACTTTGTTTCTACGATATCATGCTTGACATGGAGGTGAAAACACTGGAAACATCTAGGTTTTAAATTCTCTCTCCTGATAAGTTCCGGCTCTGCCAGCGTATCTTAGGTGAAATTAAATATACGGAAGCTTGGCTTCTTTCCTTATTAGCTTTCTCTGGTTTAGTGAGTGAATGGCAGAAGAGAGGGACTGCTGGTCAGCAGTTTCTGTTTTCATAGAGGAAGTGACCGCCCAACCCTGATTTTAGAGACTTCATTCTAACCATGTTACAGACTTGAGTTCCTGAACTGTAGTTTTGTTTGGATATTGTGAACCTATTATTTCTCAAGTTCTGTTATCAAAACAGGTGACATGAATTTAAATTTGCTTTTTAGGTGTCACAGATAATAGGTTTAAAAAAAGAAGGAAGAAAAGTCCCATCTTCTGGGATTTCAGGTTTTAAACGTAGGAGAGTAATAATGTGGTTACTGTATCATGAGAGGGAAGGGCAGATGTGTGATCCAAAGAGAGAACAGATTGCAGCCAGCCAGCTCCTCCCAGCTCTTATGTTCTAGGAACTTGCCACGGCCTCATGCTGGTCTGTTTCAGAAACTAGTGAGGACCCTACAGCCAGAGGCCTGGAGTGGCCCCTGGATTTTATGACATATGCATAAGCTTATGAGTGCACCAGTGCATTCTTACTCTTGGTAGCTACAGAAACGTCTTCTCTCACCTTGGAACATTGAGGAAGATTTGTATGTGGACCGTTCTCTGACCCCCACCTCCAGCCCGTTACCAACCTGCACTCAGTGCATACATGCATGTGTGTGTACAAGGTCAGGTCTATAAAAACTTATGTTGAGGCTGTCTTGATAGAAAGTAAAATAATACAGTTTCATCAGAAGGGTACCTTTGTTTTCATTGCTGGTCCATTTGACATGCTCTTAAAAAAGTCGGGTTTTTGGTAGGCATTCAGACGTGTGGTATTCTTTATCATACCCTGTTACGTAGTCTATAGCTGAATGGGAAAAGAGAAATAAACGGTAGATTGTACTTACATGTACTTTGGAGAAAATATCTGCGAGAGCAAGCTAGAGCTGCAGCCACAGAATGCTCGCACAAGTGGGAGGGACTCTTGCTGGACAGCGTACCACAGTGCTGCATGTGTTTCTGTCTGTTCAGGTTATGATGGCTTTGTCGAATCACCTGAATGCTGTGGAGTCTGAGAAACAGAAACTGCGTGCACAGGTTCGTCGTCTGTGCCAGGAGAATCAGTGGCTGCGGGATGAGCTGGCCAACACGCAGCAGAAACTGCAGAAGAGTGAGCAGTCTGTGGCTCAACTGGAGGAGGAGAAGAAGCATCTGGAGTTTATGAATCAGCTAAAAAAATACGATGATGACATTTCCCCATCTGTGAGTGGCTCTGTAGCAAATGTGGTGCTGACGTTTAAAATCGAGTCCCAGGACAAGTCATAGAGGTTCCGTTTGCCGTATTCTTTTCAGAGTAGAACATTGACCAGAACAGGCAAAAATGCTTTGTAAATACAAACCACAGTCCAGAGAGATGCCATTACCTTCGACAAGGTCTGCCCCGAGCTCTGCCCCAGCTTCGACTCTGAGCTTCCTTGCCCTCTGCAGCTTGGCTTTCATGCCATCAGCTGCTGGTCTAGCAGTGGTCCAATCCACCGTCTGAATCTGGACTCTGGGCAAGCTCTCTGCCCTTATGGTGCTCTTAGCATTGCCATTCTCTTTGAAACTTCCCTGGCCCCCGGACACCACCTGGCTCTCTTGCCACCTCTCTCATCCTCCCCTTGGCCTCCCTTGCCAGCTTATCTTCCTGTATCTGCAATGGAAGGAAGGAACTTGGTTTTCTTCTTTTTCTTTCTTTTTTTTTTTTTTAAGATGGAGTCGTGCTCTGTCACTCAGGCTGGAATGCAGTAGTTGATCTCAGCTCACTGCAACCTCCACCTCCCAGGTTCATGCAGTTCTCTTGCCTCAGCCTCCCAAGTAGCTGGGATTACAGGTGCATGACACCACGCCCAACTAAGTTGTGTGGGCTTTTTTTTTAAGTAGAGATGGGGTTTCATTGTTTTGGCCAGGCTGGTCTTGAACTCTTGGCTTCAAGTGATCCACCCACCTCAGCCTCCCAAAGTGCTGGGATTCCATGTGGGAGCGACTGTGCCCAGCCTTCTTCTGTCTCTGCTGACACTATTTGGATGTTTTTCCTAGTCTGAGTTACTTTTCATTCAGCCTTTGTTTCTGATTCAGTTAACTTTTTTTGAAACAGAGTTTCACTCTGTCACCAGACTGGATTGCAGTGTCTGGATTTTGGCTTACTGTAACCTCTGCCTCCCAGGTTTAAGCAATTATGCTGCCTCAGCCTCTCAAGTAGCTGGGACTACAGGTGTGTGCCACCACACCCAGGTAATTTTTGCATGTTTAGTAGAGACAAGGTTTCACCATGTTGGCCAGGATGGTCTCCATCTTGACCTTGTGATCTGCCTGCCTCGGCCTCCCAAAGTGCTGTGATTATAGGCATGAGCCACCTTGCCTGGCCAACTTCTTTTTTTCTGGGACACAGTCTTGCTCTGTCACTTAGGCTGGAGTGCAGTGGTGGGATTTTGTCTCACTACAACCTCTTCCTCCCAGGTTCAAGTGATTCTCCTGCCTCAGCCTCCCAAGTAGCTGGAACTGTAGGTGCCCACCACGACGCCCGGTTAATTTTGTACTTTTTGTAGAGACAGGTTTCACTGCATTAGCCAGGATGGTCTTGATCTGACCTCAGGTGATCTGCCTGCCTTGGCCTCCCCAAGTGCTGCGATTACAGGTGTGAGACACCGTGCCTGGCCTGAACATCAATATTTTACTGTTAATTAAAACACAGACTTGGTTTGGATGTCACCAGGCCTTCCGCTGATATCTCTTTTCTATGCTAGGACCTACTCCCCTGTTCCACATACATTTGGAACTAACGTTTTTTAAATACTTATATGGTGCCAGACATGTTCATGGACGTAACCAGAATGTCAGAGAGGTCCACATTTGCGTCTCTGGTTCGAATCCCCATCCTATAGCACTGGCAAACCTACACTTCCCGCTGTCATCATCTGCTTGGCCTGCTGTGACAAATACCGCAGGCTGGGTGGCTTAACATTTATTTTGTCTCTGTTCTGGAAGTTCAGTATCAGGGTTCCAGCAAGATCCACTTCTGGTGAGGGCCTTCTTCTGGCTTGCAGATTGCCACCGTCTCTTTGTGCTCTCATGGTACAGAGAGAGAAGGAGTAAGCTCTCTGGCATCTCTTAAGGGCTGTAATCCCATCGAGGGCCCCACCCTGTGAACTCCTTACCCTTATCAGCTCCCAAAGGTTCCGTCTGTCAATACCATCACCTTGGGATGAGGGCTCTAACAGGAAGTTGACAGCACTTCGGGAGGCTTACCATATTCCTCCCTCACATCTCCTCTAGGTCAGGGGCCAACTAAATGTTTTGATTTAAAAGATGTGGCTGGGCACAGTGGCTCATGTCTATAATCCCAACCCTTAGGGAGGCAGATCACCTGAGGTCAGGAGTTTGAGGACAGCCTGGCTAATATAGTGAAACCCTATCTCTACTGAAAATACAAAAATTAGCCAGGCGCAGTGGCACATGCCTGTAATTCCAGCTATTCAGGAGGCTCCGAGGCAGGAGAATCACTTGAACCTGGGAGATGGAGGTTGCAGTGAGGCGAGATCGTGCCACTGCACTCCAGTCTAGGTGACAGAGTGAAGCTCTCTCTCAAAAAAAAAAAATTAAGGCCAGGTCAGATGCTGTGGCTCATGCCTTTAATCCCAGCATTTTGGGAGGCCGAGGTGGGTGGATCACCTGAAGTCAGGAGTTCAAGGCTAGCCTGGCCAACATGGCAAAGCCCCATCTCTACTAAAAAATACAAAAAAATTGGCTGGGCATGGTGGCACACACCTGTGGTCACGGCTACTTGGGAAGTTGAGGCATGAAAATCATTTGAACCTGGGACGCAGAGGTTGCAGTGAGCCAAGGTCATGCCACTGCATTCCAGCCTGGGTGACTAAGGGAGACCCTGCCTCAAAAAAAAAAAAAAAAAAAATAAGTGAACAAACAAATAAATAAAAGATGTGCTGCCGTAGAGTGCTGTGGAAATGTAAGTACCTGCAGATGTCAGTGCAGCAGTGATTGACTTGGCACATTGGACAATGTTAAGAAGAAAGCTGGTTTCATAGAATTGGAGAATTTTAAAATTTATTATTTTGAAAAAATGTTAAATTTGGAGACGGCATCCAATGACTTGATTCTCCTTGCCTTTTCAGGAGTACTTATGAGTGCCTGTTTCTTCCGAATCCTGTTCACATAGTGGCATAGCATGTGCCACGGATGCTTACTGCTGCTCTGGGCATCTTTCCTTAGGGTGAGGGGTTCCCCTGTGGCAGTCCGGAGCCAGGGGCACTCAGGAAGTTGCACACAGACCCAGCATAGCCTCTTCTTTGCAGCTCATACTCCCCTTTTGTTAATTGCCCCCATGGCGCCCTTCATAGCATTGTTTCACTGTCCCAGGGGCAGTTCAGGGTCACATCCTGCATGCGGCTGTCACATCTCTGGCGTAGCCTTTGACATGGAACGGGGCCTCCATCTGTGGTTGTCTTTCATGACATTGGTGTCTTTGAAGAATGCAGGCCAGTTACTTCGTCCATCATTCCTCACTTGGGGTTCGTCTAATTCTTGGATTATGCATCCCAGACAGGAATATTCTAAAAGCAATGTGTCTTTATCACATTTTCCCTTCTGGAGCCAAACGGCATTCATCTGCCCCAAGGTGAAGCTAATTTCTTACTGTTCAGGCTGTTAACCTGTCTTTTCCATTATGTAGTTTCTGATCTTATTTCTTTGACTAATCAGCAATATGTGGGGAAACATGGGCACAGGCCTTTAAGCTGTGAGGTTTCAAACTGCTCCCAGGGATCCTGCTCCGGAGCCGATTGTAGTGGTGAGGAATCTAACCCCTCCACTTCTCTGGGGATCAGAGATGCACAGTTTTAATCTGTTTCTACATATTTGGTTCCCAAGTAAGGTTTTATTTTGAGTCAGGGTTTCCCAGCTCTCTTAGACCTCCCTCAGAGCACAGGAGAAGGATCTGAGGCATAGAAATGCAGCTATGGCCCATATTCGTCAAACTGTGGTCTGCCTTTAGGTGTTTGTGTTCTAGTCTATCAAGCTTTTCATTACTCCTGTTAAATGATGGATAAACCAAATTGTGGGTGCTCCTACATTTGATGTTAAAACTTGATATCTTTTTGTAAGATTCCTTATTAAAATGTATTTAATATTAAAGATTTTCAGGACAGGATGTATAGTAGTTGTAAGATGAAGCGTTGTCCTGGGTCTGTTTTATAGGAGGACAAAGACACTGATTCTACCAAAGAGCCTCTGGATGACCTTTTCCCCAATGATGAAGACGACCCAGGGCAAGGAAGTGAGTGATGGGTGATGTGGGCATGTTACTGAGTCCAGGAGAGAGGTGTTTTCCCCCAGAACACGGTCATAGCAATCACTGGAGTGAGTGATGGGTGATGTGGGCATGTTACAGAGTCCAGGAGAGAGGTGTCTTCCCCCAGAACACGGTCATAGCAATCACTGGAGTGAGTGATGGGTGATGTGGGCATGTTACCGAGTCCAGGAGAGAGGTGTCTTCCCCGCGAACACGGTCATAGCAATCACTGGGAACCTTAGTGTGTGTAGCCTGCCTGGAGGAAGCACCCCACAGCAGGGTTGCCTTTTGTTTTCCGAAATAATCTGTGTTGTGTGTTGGAATACAGGAATATGTTAGAGCAAGACCCTAGCATACAGCAACATGCATGTGCAGTTCAGGCATGATCTGCAGGCTCTTATGGGGTAAAGAAATCAGAATTACTTGTTCTGCTTGTTTCATGGCGCCAAGATAAGTCTCATGGCACCGAGTGGCCATGGTGCCATCCCAGACACCACAGGCACTACTGTTAACCTGCCTGCCCAGGCAGTACTAGGAAAAGATTTAAGTAACACTGGGGGCCGAGTGCTAACTTGAACCAAACCTAGTAAAGACTATTTTAAAGAAACTGACTCATCTGCTTAATGTTCTTTAAAAACTCATCTGAAATGAACTTTCTCGGTGCAGTCCAGCAGCAGCACAGCAGTGCAGCCGCGGCTGCCCAGCAGGGCGGCTACGAGATTCCTGCACGGCTGCGTACGCTCCACAACCTGGTGATCCAGTATGCCTCTCAGGGGCGCTACGAGGTAGCTGTGCCCCTCTGCAAGCAGGCCCTGGAGGACCTGGAGAAGACTTCAGGACATGACCACCCCGACGTGGCCACCATGCTCAACATCCTGGCCTTGGTGTACAGGCTAGTCACTTTTGTTTATCTACTGAATTTTACCTGGAGACAATGTTTTTAACCATCTTGCACCTTAAAGTATATTTTTATGTATCTATATAAACTACTTTTTAACCATACCTACTTCTCTTTAAACGGGTTAAATTAAAAATATTTAGCAAGCTCTGTGGAAGGGTATCACCAAATCAGAACAGATGCTGCCGGTGAGCACTCAGTTCAGCCCTTAGGACAGCCCACGGTGTACTCCTCACTCTGGCCAAGCAAAGCTGTTTGGACCTCTTCCTGAAGACCCTTGTAGGCGGCTTCTTTTGTCTAAATAGCCTTCCCACTTGGCCTGGCAGTGTCCTTCCTCCTTCTGAGGCCTGGCGCACTGTATCTCCTTCTGGAATCCAGGATTCAACTTGCCCTTTGCCCCTCGTGTGCTCCCCAACCCTTTCACCCCTGCTGAAGGCTGCCCAGGGGAGTGGTGGGCTCTGTGTTGTGTGGTAGAAGAGTTCCTTTGGCTGAGTGCCTAGGATGCAGTTGGGGCTGGGGCTGGAGCCAGAGGCAGGGGGTCCTGTTGGGACAGGATTGAGGTTGTGGGGGTGTGGCAATGGGAACCTCAGCCAGGTCGAGTACGTGTGGAGGAAGAGGAGAGTACAGGGCCCAATGACACTAGAAGAGAAATGCATTAATACAGTCATCCATATGCATAAGTGAGTTCTTTAAAAAGGAGTTTTGAAAGTTGGTAAGAAGAAAACACACGAAAAAGAAAGTGAGCCCTGTTTCAACAACACTATTTAAAATGAAGCCCTTTGGCTCTGTAGTTTGTCAGCAGCTTGGTCACCCCCATGACTGTGCATCAGGGTTGTTCTGTGGACATTCTAGACAGTTTTTGACTGTTTTCCTGTTGGTGGATGTTGAGATTGTTTGCATATTTTCTTTTTTTTTTGAGACAGAGTCTGGCTCTGTCACCCAGGCTGGAGTGCAGTGGGGCAATCATGACTCACTGTAACCTCTGCCTCCTGGGTTCAAGCAATTCTTCTGCTTCAGCCTCCTGAGTAGGTGGCATTACAGGTGTGCACCACCATGCCCAAGTAACTTTTGCATTTTTAGTACAGACAGGGTTTTGCCATGTTGGCCGGGCTGTCTGGAACTCCTGACCTCAAGTGATCCGACTGCCTCGGCCTCCCAGAGTGCTGGGATTACAGGCATGAGCCATGGTGACTAGCAGTTGTTTGCATATTTTCACTGTAGGAATTTCTTAGTCACAGGTATTTGCATATAGCTCTCTTACCCAGACTGGAGTGCAATGGCGCGATCTCGGCTCACCTCAACCTCTGCCTGCTGAGTAGCTGGCAGTTCTCCTGCCTCAGCCTCCCGAGTAGCTGGGACTATAGGCGCACACCACCATGCCCAGCTAAGTTTTGTATTTTTAGTAGAGACGGGGTTTCACCATGTTGACCAGGATGCTCTCCATCTCTTGATCTCATGATCCACCCGCCTTGGCCTCCCAGAGTGCTGGGATTACAGGCATGAGCCACTGCGCCCGGCCGCATATAGCTCTTAATAGACTGAGACATTTCATTCCAAAAAGGTGTTTTTTTTTGAGACAGGGTCTTGCTCAGTGATGCGATCATGGAGCATTGCAACCTCTGACTCCTGGTGTCAAGCCATCCTTTTGCCTCAGCCTCCTGAGTAGCTGGGATCACAGGCATGCGCCACCACGCCCAGCTAAATTTTGTATATTTTGGCGTTTTGCCACATTGCCCAGGCTGATCTTGAACTCCTGGGCTCAAGTGATCTGCTCAGTTCGGCACCCCAAAGTGCTGGGATTACAGGTGTGAACCTCTGTGCTTGGCAAGGTTTTTTTGTTTTGTTTTGTTTTAAACTTATATGCCTGTTAACAACACATGAAAGTTTCTGGCCAGCACTAGAGATTATTAATATAAATGGGTTAAGTAGCATAACTAGGCTTTTGTTGTGCACAGTGTGCATGGGCACACACATGACTGCTGGGTGCCGGGGATGCTGTGGCCTCCATCAATCTTGTGTTTTCCCCTAGCATTATCGTGTGTGAGTTGACCCATGTACATGTTTGGAAAAAAATTAGTAGCTACATATGTATTCATATTTAGTATTCTACCTTCCAGCTTGTCATTTCATCATTCTTGTATTAAAGGACACAGAGTTTTAAGCTTTTTTTTCTTGCCTTTAATATAATACTGATCTTTACAAGATTTTGGATTTATTTATTGTAGAGATGGGGTCTCATCATGTTGCCCAGGTTGGTCTCAAAATCCTGGGCTCCAAATGGTCTTCACGTTGGCTTCCCAAAGTGCTGGGAGTATAGGTTGAGCTATCACGCCTGGCCTGGATTTCTTTCTTTCTTTCTTTTTTTTTTTTTTTTTTTGGGATGGAATTTTGGTCTTGTCGACTAGGCTAGAGTGCAGTGGAGTGATTTTGGCTCACTGCAGCCTCAGCCTCCTGGGTTCAAGCAGTTCTCCTGCCTCAGCCTCCCGAGTTGCTGGGATTACAGGTGCCTGCTACCACGTCCCACTATTTTTTTGTATTTTTGAGTAGAGATAGTGTTTCATGTTGGCCAGGCTGGTCTCAAACTCCTGACCTGAGGTGATCAGAGTGTTGGGATTACAGGTGTGAGCCACTGCGCCCAGCCATGTATTTCCTTTTTTACGATAAACTCCTAAGACAGGTTAGAGTATAAACATTTTATTGTCCTTGGCACCCGCTGCCAAGCTGCCACTCAGAAAGGCTGTGCCTTCCCATGCTCCTGCTATACGGGCTTCCCATGCTCCTGCTATACGGGCTTCCCATGCTCCTGCTATACGGGCTTCCCATGCTCCTGCTATACGGGCTTCCCCCTGGAGGTGGGGGGCTCTGTTTTGTTGGTGGAGATAGAGTATGCGTTGTGTTTTAATTCGTATTTCTTTGATTATGTAGTTTTAGTCATTCGTATCCGTCTGTGAATTTTCTGTTATCTTGCACATTTTTCTGTTAGGATATTAATGCTTTAGTGTTCTATTTTTGTTTTTGTTTTGAATTTGAGTTCTTGGTGGGCTTCTTAAGCCTATTTGATTTAACAAATCACAGTGTGCTGGTCCCATACCAGAGTTCCTGGTTCAACAGGGCTGGGGTAGGTCTGGGTTTCTAATAAGTTCCAGTTGAGGTGACTGCTGTTGGTTTGGGACCACACCTGAGAACCATTGCTAATTGATAGTCCCAGGCATTTTATAATATGTCATAGTTTACAGAAGTTGCTTGGTATACCTCATCTCATTTAATTGTTTTTTTTTGAGACAGAGTCTTGCTCTGTTGCCTAGGCTGGAGTGCAATGGCACCATCTGGGCTCATTGCAACCTCTGCTTCCCGGGTTCAAGTGATTCTCCTGCCTCAGCCTCCCAAATCGCTGGAATTATAGGCACCCACCACCACATCTAGCTAATTTTTGTATTTTTAGTTGAGACAGGGTTTTACCATGTTGATCAGGCTGGTCTTGAACTCCTGATCTCAGTTGATCCACCTGCTCTGGCCTCGTAAAGTACTGGGATTACAGGCATGAGCCTCTGTGTCCCACCTCATTTAATTCTCATGATGCTTTAGGTAGTTTATTTTCAAATCACATTTACTACTTTTTTTTTTTTTTTTTTTTTTTTGAGAAGAGTCTTGTTCTGTCTCCCAGGTGGGAGTGCTGTGGTGTGATCTCAGCTCACTGCAACCTCTACCTCCTGGGTTGAAGCAGTTTTCCTGCCTCAGCCTCCCGAGTAGCTGGGACTATAGGTGCATGCCACCATGCCCAGCTAATTTTTTGTATTTTAGTAGAGGCAGATTTTCACTGTGTTTCCCAGGCTGGTCTTGAACTCCTGAGCTCAGGCAGTACACCCACCTTGGCCTCCCAAAGTGGTGGGATTATAGGCGTGAACCACTGTACCTGGTTTTGTATTTTTAGTTGAGACAGGGTTTTACCGTGTTGATCAGGCTGGTCTTGAACTCCTGATCTCAGTTGATCTCAGCTACTTTTTGGAACTCTATTTTCTATTTGCTGACTTTCACAAAACGTTTGAGGCAGCTTACAGTAGGATGTAATAGGATGAAAGAAGAAACAACAGTAGATTGATACTTGGCCAAAATTAGTGTGCTTCAGAGATTCTGGAAGCCTTATCAGCCTTTCTCATGTTCTCTAGGACAAAGCCTTGCCCAGCAGTTATTACTACTCAATTGAGAAAGATGTGTGCTAAGTCCCAAAAGCAAATACTTGTTTTCAGCCCCATCAGTAGTGAGTAGCACACTTAAACTGAGAGTTTCTGGTTCTGGGGTGTTTGTTTTACCCCAATCAAGAAAGACGCTTCATTCCTCCATACTCAGGAAAATGGTGGCAGATTGGGTTCCAAATTTAGACACTACAATATATTTGCTTTTGTTCACTGTTTTTAAAAGGCTTTTTAAATATACATGTACCATGTCATCTTCTTACAGCAGGACCATGCAGTAGATCGTGTACTTGCTTTGTAGATGGGAAGGCTGGGACTGTGTGAGGTCACTTAATGCACCCAAAGCCATGTAGCCATTAACTGGCAGAGCACAGGCTCAGACACTAGAATTAATTCTGTCTGATAGCAAGTGCGAGCTTGGTCCATTGTTCTGAATTGTTGCACTTATGCTATGCTGGCCAGCTGGCATAGGCACAGCAACACTGTGGTGCTGTGGGGACATTATTTTCCCAGTGGCCTAGATGGGAAGGTCAAGTTCAGAAGCTAGTCAGGTCTGATTCCAGAGCTCACCTTGCCAGTCCATTTATTATGGATTTCCTTCCAGTCTTTTTTATCCACACGTAAGTTTGTGGTTTTTTTCTGAAATAGTTTAAGCTTTACTTTATTTCTGTAGTGGAAAATACATTGAAAAAGCCATAGTGATCTACATCTGAAACACCTAAAACATTTGATGTTTGTTTTTCCATTTAGGGATCAGAATAAATACAAAGACGCAGCTAACCTGCTGAATGACGCCTTGGCTATCCGTGAGAAAACCCTGGGCAAAGACCATCCTGCGGTTCGTATACCCAGTTCTTTCCTTCTTTTTACGTTTTATTTTTCCCATATATTTCTTTTATCCAACTCATTTTACTATTAAACTCAACAGGGAAAGTGTAAGCGCTGCCTTTTCCCTAGATGGTGCAGGTAGGAGGTCTTCACTTACTCAGTGCCAGTGGCAAGCCAGAGCACACCTGATTGGCTTATGACCCCCACCTCAAATGGATCACCAACTATATTTTTTGATTGTAAATCAAATTGCATGTCCTTCTAGAAATTTTTTTCTGAACAATGATATTGTCTTTTAATTAAAATCTGGTCAGATTTGCCTATGGATCTGTTTTAGTTGGCTTTGTGGCTTCCAGGGAAAGTTTTAAGAAGTCAGTGTTATGTTGATGTTAGTTTTCTGCAGGGTTTCTTTGTATAATTTATACTCTAGTGAATTCTGCTTTTCCTTTTCACTGAAGTCATATTCTTTTATCCAACTAAGAATGCTTTACTGTATAGATTGAGTGTGAATGAATATGCGGTGTATAAATGTGCTCTGTTTGGTTATCGTTTACCATTCTTAGTGGTTTTCTCTGCGTCGGCAGGTGGCAGCGACTTTGAATAACCTTGCAGTCCTTTATGGTAAAAGAGGGAAGTACAAAGAAGCAGAGCCATTGTGTAAAAGAGCTCTGGAAATCCGAGAAAAGGTACAAAAGAAGGGGGCAGTTTTGTTCTTTGAGTTTTTTTTTTCTTTTTGAGACAATGTCTCGCTCTGTTGCCAGGCTGCTGGAGTGCAGTGGTGTGATCTCAGGTGACTGCACCCTCCATCTCCGGGTTCAAGTGATTCTCCTGCCTCAGCCTCCTGAGTAGCCGGGACTACAGGCATGTGCCACCACACCCAGCTAATTTTTGTATTTTTAGTAGAGACAGGGTTTCACCATGTTGGTCAGGCTGGTCTCGATCTCTTGACCTTGTCATCTGCTGCTTGGCCTTGCAGAGTGCTAGAGTGCTGGGATTACAGGTGTGAGCCCCTGCACCCAGCCACACAAACAGTATATTAACCTGGTATTTTTTGTGATTATTTATCGGTGATTCTTATCAGTTAATTTTGAGCCACATGGCAAGGAACTGGGGGAGAGAAAATGAAAAGGGGCTCCATATCAAATTATACAGGTAATATTTTATCATGCTGTCAATCTGCTTGATATTTCTGAAATAGAATGGTCAAACTTGGGTTAGGCTGGAGTCAAAGTCAGGGAGAGCATAGAAGTATCAAATTAAGGATTAGGAGCTATATAAGATATCTGCCAAATTCATTAATATATTTTACCCTTTCATTCATTTAGAGCCCCGTTTACAGCTGGTGATTTGCAGATAAGAGATATAGTCCCTCCCACTAGGACACAGTCCACTGGGCAGATGTGAGGATTGCAGATGGTGCATCAGCCTCTAGAATAGAGAGCTCTGGGAGGATATGAAGTGGGGGCTCCTCCAGGTCCAGAGCCAGTGGGTGTTGGGAATGGTTACTTAGAGAAGGTCAGTATTGGAACTCTGGAATAATTGTTGAAAGTGTTCTAGGCAGGGAGAGGTAGGGAATGCAGAAAGGAGTAGAGAGTGCCTCCCTGAGGACCACATGTGTAAAGGCGCAGAGCGGAGAGAACTCATCACTTGTTCAAGGTACTGACAGAGGAGGTCAGTGTTCATCCGTCTGTGTGCCAGGCCCCTTTCTAGATGCTGAGATTACATTGGTAAAGAGAGACAAATAATTTGCACTCTTGAGGCTTACATTTTAGTCAAGAATATTCAAGGTACTTTAGTGATTCTTAAAAGGAAAGAACGAACGAACAATCAGGTGATGTGCCTGTGAGTTCACCAGGTGTGGTGGAGTGAGGTCTCCCTTAATTTGGTATAGGGAAGTCCCTTTTGAGGGGGACTGAAGAGAACCCTGAAGGATAAGTCATTGCTAATGGGGAGGCTAGAAGAAGAGTATCCTGAGCAACTGGAACAGCTGTGGGCTCTTCCAGAACCTGGCAGTGAAACTCACAGAGCCTTTACAAAGCCCATTTTCCTTCTCTTCAAAATGTGCCCAATAATAGTTTGTACCTACCATGAAGGATTACTGTAAGAATTAAACCACTTAGTGCAGCTAAAGAAAATTAGCACAGTTCCTTCCCTCCCCTCATGAGTAAGAATTCGATAAATTCTGGTTATTTTATTCCTACATGGCGTGGGAGGCAGTGAAAGATTTAAGTGTGAAAGTGTAGCACAGTGGTGTTTATGTTGAGGAGGACCCTAATGTGATGGGAGGGTGGGGAATGGATGACTGGATGGCAGCAGAATGAGCGTTTCTGATACGCGGTTTTTATTCCCAGGTTTTGGGGAAGGACCACCCCGACGTTGCCAAGCAGTTGAATAACTTGGCCTTACTGTGCCAGAACCAGGGCAAGTATGAAGAGGTCGAGTACTATTACCAAAGAGCCCTGGAGATCTACCAGACGAAACTGGGGCCGGACGACCCCAACGTGGCCAAGACGAAAAATAACCTGGTGTGTTGCCTGGCACAGCACTAGGGAGGGGCCAGGAGTGCTTTCTTACAAGTCCAAGTACTTTATCATTTAACTGGAGACTAAAATGTACGCTTTGTTTACCTCCAAAAGATACTAAATATTTTATTTTATTTTAAGGCATCCTGCTATCTGAAGCAAGGAAAGTTCAAGCAGGCAGAAACACTGTACAAAGAAATTCTCACTCGTGCACATGAACGGGAGTTTGGTTCTGTAGATGGTAAGAAATATACTCCGTTGCAAGTGCATTTAATCCTGTGATGACTGGTAATAATATTGTTGATTGAGCACTTGACTGTGTGTGTAACTAAGCTATAGTTGGAATGTGTGACTTCACTTAACTCTCATAGCAGTCCTGTGCAGCGGGTCAAACGTCCCATTTCAGAAGTAAGGACACCACAGACTGTGACTTGTGTCAGGTCCCGTCTCTGAGAAGCAGTTAGACTGGGATTGCAGTGCCCAGAGCCCGTAGCACGTCCTCATTAGAAACCCACCAAATGCACGCAGAAATGAGACATGAGAATCACCCAAATCCATCGCCTCCCATTTTTAATGTCTTCCTTTTCCTCTGTGCCTTTCGTTTATAGATCTCAAACCGTACTGCCCATATCTCCATGTATACTGCTTACTTACAGTTTCAGTGTGAGAACCTTTCAGTCAGAAAAATAGTTTTTGTGAACATTATTTTTAATATGGCTTTCTCCTCCATGGCATGGGTCTGTTGGTTGTCTAGAAACTTGGATGAGTAGTATCTGTTAGTGTTCTGAGACGTTAAGATGACTTAAAATGAATATGGATTTGTATGGTTTTTTTTTGTTGTTTCTTTTTTTTTATTTGAGATGGAGTTTCACTCTGTCTTCCAGGCTGGAGTGCAATGGCGCGATCGAAGCTCACTGCAACCTCTGCCTCCCGGGTTCAGGTGATTCTTCTGCCTCAGCCTCCAGAATAGCTGGGGATTACAGGCATGTGCCATCATACCCAGCTAATTTTTGTGTATTTAGTAGAGATGGGGTTTTGCCATGTTGACCAGGCTGGTCTCGAACTCCTGACCTCAGGTGATCCGCCCGTCTTGGCCTCCCAAAGTGCTGGGATTACAGGCATGAGCCACCCCACTTGGCCTTGATTTGTGTCTTTTCTCCTCTTGCTGCCAACATCTTATTACTTTTTCTTAGACTGTTGTTTAATGCTTTTGTTTAGTGCTCACATTCCGAATACTCCCTGTGCTATTTGAGCAGCGAGCATTTTAGAAGTTTCATTATAGGGCCCTAGCATTTGTTGGGGTGTCTTGACAGTTGCTCACCTGTCTCAGAACATCGATTCTGCTCTGTGTCTTACTTGTTGCTTGGTGTCCAGTTCTGTCTTCCATAGACTTTCTCCTTCAGTATGAACCTGATCTGTCCACGCTGTAAGAAGTAGTATCTAACAAGGATCATATAAAAAACAAGCCAGGTGCAGTGGCTCACACCTGTAATCCCAGCACTTTGGGATGCTGAGGCAGGTGGATCACTTGAGGTCAGGAGCTCGAGACCAGCCTGGCCAACATGGTGGAACCCTGTTACCACAATAAAAAAAATTATAAAAATTACCTGGGCATGGTGGTGCATGCCTGTAATACCAGCTACTTGGGAGGCTGAAGCAGGAGAATTGCTTGAACCTGTGAGGCAGAGGTTGCAGTAAGCAGAGATTGTGCCACTGCACTCCAGCTTGGGCGACAGAGTGAGACTCCATTTCATAATAAATAAATAAATCACGGAGGCTTAATGACTTCTATTCTACTTAGCAGGCTCTGTTGTCCTTCATTTATAATACGGGTTGACTATCCCTTATCCACAATGCTCCAAAATTTGAAACTTTTCAAGTGCTGACTTGACACTCAGAGGAAATGCTCATTGGAGCATTTCAGATTTTGGACTTTTTGATAAGGGATGCTCAACCTGAATGCTGTGTTTTCTTCCCTAGATGAAAATAAACCCATTTGGATGCATGCTGAAGAAAGAGAAGAATGCAAAGTAAGAATTTATTATTTTGAGACTTTTTTTTGTAAATTGTGTATACTGCATTCAAGATAATTATTCATTTGAAATTATTTGTTATAATTTAGGGAAAGCAAAAGGATGGGACATCTTTTGGAGAGTATGGCGGCTGGTACAAAGCCTGCAAAGTTGATAGGTATGTCTGGAATCGCGCTTGGCTGGAGGAACCGAAAAGCAGGGGGAGATAATTGTGTTCTGAAGGGCAGCTTGTAAATGACTGACGTATAGTGCTGCTTACGTGCACAGTCCCATGTTTTCCCCAAATTACAATTTAAAAAACCCCACTAACTTTGCAAATGAGATCATTCACATGTATAAAACCCACCGTCATATTAGGTTGGTGCAAAGGTAATTGCAGTTTGCATTACTTTTATTTTATTTTTTTGTTTATTTTTGAGAAGGTGTTTCGCTCTTGTTGCCCAGGCTGCGAGTGCAATGGTACAATCTCAGCTCACTGCAACCTCTGCCTCCCGGGTTCAAGCGATTCTCCTGCCTCAGCCTCCTGAGTAGCTGGGATTACAGGCATGTGCCAGCATGCCCGGCAAATTTTGTATTTTTACTAGAGGAGACGGGGTTTCTCCATGTTGGTCAGGCTGGTTGTGAACTTCCGACCTCAGGTGATCCACCCGCCTTGGCCTCCCAAAGTGTCGGGATTATAGGCATGAGCCACCACGCCTGGCCCTTAATTTTTTTTTTAGAACAATTCTTTATTCACCACTATTGCCCAACCCCGGTCTTCCCAAGTAGGGAAACTAACATTTATGAAACAACTAATACATACCTACACTTCACAAAAACAATAGTCCTTCCAGAATGCTATCAAATATCACTGCCACTTTAAAGATGAGGACACTGAACATTAGAAAGGATATGCAACTTGAGCAAATGCCAGTCAGCTAAAATAGTTAGGCTAATTTTCAATCCAGAACTATCTTATGTATATCAGATATATCTGTATCTAAGATAAATGGGAATCTTCTCTGAACCCTGGGGAGAGATAAGAACGAGCATTTTAAAAAGGTTCACTTAAGAGACAGGATTTTACCATAACAGCACTGAAACTTTATAACTCTTATTTTTCCTGATTGCTTAAAAAGGGTGCCATGGTCAGGAATTTTCTTTGATACGGTTTCATAATTATATTCACTTTCTCTCCATTCTGAGACTTTTCTATAAGAATATTCACTTTAAGGCTGGGCGTGGTGGCGCAAGCCTGTAATCCCAGCACTTTGGGAGGTCGAGGCGGGTGGATCACGAGGTCAAGAGATCGAGACCATCCTGGTCAACATGTGAAACCCCGTCTCTACTAAATATACAAAAAATTAGCTGGGCACAGTGGCGCGTGCCTGTAATCCCAGCTACTCAGGAGGCTGAGGCAGGAGAATTGCCTGAACCCAGGAGGCGGAGGTTGCGGTGAGCCGAGATCGCGCCATTGCACTCCAGCCTGGGTAACAACAGTGAAACTCCGTCTCAAAAAAAAAGATTCTTTCCTTGAGTCTTTCCTCTGTAAGTTCTCTCCCTCAGATCATGTGTTCCTGGTGATCTTTAATTTGCATCTGTTCCCTCTCATTTATCTGCTTTCTTCTCTGTGTGTTCTGGATGCCATGCCCTTCTGTATGATTTCTGATAATTTTGTTTCATTAGGGGAGTCATAGTACTTGTCCAAATGATTTGTTCTTAACTTCTCTTGCCTGTGCTGTTTGATGTATGTGCCTTCCTGTGTGTTTCATCTGTCAGGTTCCTTCAGTGCTTTGGGTTGTTTTCCTTTCCATTTTTTTCTTGATTTCATTGCCTGTCTCTTCTAATCATTTCCACTCTTCTTTTATTATAATAAAACTCCGCTTTGGCAAGCTAATAGTCAAGAGAAAGAGCTTGCTCCCTACAGAGCATTTTATACTCCTCTTGCTATTTCTGAGTTACCAGTTGTCTTCCTGCTGTTGTATGCACACCACCCAGATCCAAGATCTTTTTCTCCAGTGGAGACTGCTGACCTGCATCAATCCAAGGATGTTTAGATGATGTAGCCCAGGCCAGTCCCTTCCAAGTGCGGTGAACTGTCCCCAAAGCACACGAGGCTGGTTGTGCTCTGCAGAAAGCCCATACTCGCCAGCGGGACCCAAGGAACACTAGAACATCCCAGAACATTCAGCTTTGTTTTTAACTACTGTGCAGCTGCAAAAGGGAAATACTGGCTCAGGACCGGGGAGTTGTAGTTCTCTAATCCAAAGAAATCAGTATTTGGCCAAGTACAGTTTTCAGGGGGATACCCCCCGCGACTGGGTTTCTGCAGGGTGTGAGACAAAGAGAATGAATACCGCAGGATGGGTACTGGTGGGAAAATTAGCTGGAAGCGCAACCTTGGTTACCAGTTTGGTGCTCAACATCTCATTACCAGGGTGAGAGTGGAGCCACAATCTGCCTTCGAGAGGTCGGGTTCCATCTCTCTACTTTTATTTAATGGCAAAACCATACAGCAAACTCATGGCAAGCATGCCAGCAGGTCTGGGAAAGCCAGCCCGTTACATGCAGCAGTGGGGACACAGATCCATACACACTCCTTTTCCTCACGGCCCTTGGAGCCTTGTCCTCTGCAAAGGGAAGTGTAGGCTCCTCTGCAGCCAGCCCGAGAGCCTTGCGTCTTGAGCCTGAGCCTGTGCAGACTGGCCTCTGTGATGGCTGCTGTCCCTGGGTCTGAGTGGCTGTCTTTCCACCCTTAACTTTCCTTATCCTTTAAGGCTCAGCCTACCATTCATCTCTTTTCAGAAAACTCTCTGAACCCTCTCCAGGGCTCCCCTAGCACTTGTCATAGATTAATTGTTTTAGAGACATAGAAGATAGCTTCTGTATTTCTATATCCAAAATGCCTATTGTAAGAAAGGGAAAAGAAATCTCTCAAAGTACTTATCTATGCTAAACTGAATCTACATTTATTTATAATTTTTTTTAGTAAGTCTTCTCCATCAAGAATGCAGAAACATCAAGCCCAATGATACAGTTTGAAAAATAAGAGAACACAGAAACATAGCTGTCCTCTCTGCCATCTGCTATGGATTGCTTCCCTGGTACATGAAGCATTTATTCTCTGCCCTCACTGCCCACTGATAGGGACATTCTGCTTTGCTCTATTCTCCCCCGTACTTGTGGGGAGATGGGAGCATGTGAGCAGCAACAGTCAAAGCACCGTTCCTCATTGCAGAACCGGCGCAGACCAAGCTCTGTCTCCAGGGAAAGCGTTCTGATTACCATACAGACCTAGCCACACATTTCTGTTGACAGAGTGGCCAGTGGTCTGTGAGAGCCACCTCAGCCTGGATGGAGTGTGGTGTTAGCCTGGCCTGCGGAGGCCTTTTACGGGAAGGGCCAGGTCATGGGAAGCAGAGCTGCTTGAGATGGAAGAACTCTTTAGAATTTTATAGTTCCAAAAAAGTATGAGAGAGTTAAAATATATTCAAGCCAAAACATCAGCCTTTTAGTCCTCTAGATTATGTGCCATTGGTAGTGCTTGTTCCAAAGCTGATATGTAATAGTTCTGTGTCGTGTGCTTTCTTACAGTCCAACTGTTACAACCACTCTGAAAAACCTCGGGGCACTTTATAGACGTCAAGGCAAATTTGAAGCTGCAGAAACATTAGAAGAAGCTGCCATGAGGTCTCGCAAACAGGTCAGTCATACGTGTGTCCTTAAGCAGCCCATGGGAACTCTGAGTTAATGGTTCTCATTTACATGACTTTTATTGAAAACTTGATTTAGAATAGAAAATGTCAGATATTTTAGTTTGAACAAATAAAGTTATACTGTTTAAAAGAGCATGAGGCGGGACACAGTGGCTCACACCTGTAACCCTAGCACTTTGGGAGGCCGAGGTGGATGGATCACCTGAGGTCAGGAGATCGAGACCATCCTGGCCAACATGATGAAACCCTGTCTCTACTAAAAATACAAAAATAAGTTAGGCATTGTGATGGGCACCTGTAGTCCCAGCTACGTGGAAGGCCGAGACAGGAGAATCACTTGAACCCAGGAGGTAGAGGGTGCAGGCAGCCGAGACTGCACCACTGAACTCCAGCCTGGGTGCCAGAGTGAGACTCCATCTCAAAAAATAAAAGTAAAAAAAAAATCGTAATCCCAGCACTGTGGGAGGCCAAGGTGGGGAAATTGCCTGAGGTCAGGAGTTCCAGACCAGCCTGGTTAGCATGGCAAAATACCATCTCTACTAAAAATACAAAAATTAGCCGGGTGCAGTGTTGCACACCTGTAGTCCAGCTACTCGGGAGGCTAAGGCAGGAGAGTTGCTTGAACCTGGGAGGCAGAGGTTGCCATGAGCTGAGATTGCACCACTGCACTCCAGCCTGGGTGACAGAGTGAGACTTTGTCTCAAAAATTAAAAAAAAATTAAAAGAGCATGAATATGACCCCAAAAGCATGAACAGCAAAATAAAAACTAGGTCTGTTGGCTTCACCCATGTTGAAAAAAACTCTTGTGCATCTAAGAACATCATCAAGAAAGTGAAAGGGGCTGGGCCTGGTGGTGAGCACGTATAATTTCAGCACTTGGGGAAGCTGAGGCGGGAGCATCTCTTGAGCTCAGGAGTGCAAAACCAGCCTGTGAAAGGGGCTGGGCCTGGTGGTGAGCACGTATAATTCCAGCACTTGGGGAAGCTGAGGCGGGAGGATCTCTTGAGCTCAGGAGTGCAAAACCAGCCTGGGCAACCTAGTGATACTTTGTCTCTACAAAAAACAAAAAAAAATTAGCCGGGTGTGTTGGCCCATGCCTGTGGTCCCAGCTGTTTGGGAGTCTGAGGTGGGAGGGTCGCTTGAGCCCAGGAGGTCAAGGTTACAGCGAGCTGAGATGACACCACGGCACTCCAGTCTGGAAGAATGAGTGAGACTCTGTCTCAAAGAAAAAAAAAATGAGCAAAGGACCTGAATAGACATGTTTTTGAAGATAATATACAGATGACCAACAAGCACGTGCAAAGATACGCAGCATCTTTAGTCACTATGGAAGTGTTAACTGAATCACAGTGAGATGCTACTGTGTGCTCATTAGCATGGCTGTTATAAAGAAGAAAACACGCCAGGCGCGGTGGAGCACACCTGTAATTCCAGCACTTTGGGAGGCCAAGGTGGGCGGATCACAAGGTCGGGAGTTCGAGACCAACCTGACCAACATGGTGAAACTCTATCTCTACTAAAAATACAAAAATTAGCAGGGTGTAGTGGTGCGCACCTGTAATCCCAGCTACTCAGGAGGCTGAGGCAGAAGAATTGCTTAAGCCCGGGGAGGTGGAGATTGCAGTGAGCCAAAATTACACCACTGCACTCTAGCTTGGGCGACGGAGAGAGACTCCATCTCAAAAAATAAAAATACAATAATAAATAAAAGAAATGGAAAATAACAGATGTTGGTGTGGATGTGGAGAGTCAGCCGAGATTGCACTACTGAACCCTTGTGTCTTGCTGCTGGGAGTGTGAAATACAGCCACTGTGAAGTTTTATAGCCTATCTAAAAGTTAGACTCAGAATCACCACATGACCCAGCAGTTCCCGTCCCAGACACAGACCCAGAGGAATTGAACACGGGCACACACGCTGTGCAACCCAAGCCCCATCACTGTACCCCTTCATGTTTCTCTCCAGTTCCCTGCTTCCACCCTCACACCCTCCAAGGATCTACTGTTCTGATTTTTTTCCCCTACAGAGATTAAGAACTGTTTTTTTTTTTTTTCTGGCGAAGTTTAAGTATCTCAGAAATACCTAAGAAAATCTTAAGTGCTAATGGGTCAAACCGTTTTCCCCTGCCTGGCTCACAGGGTCTTGACAATGTTCACAAACAGAGGGTGGCGGAAGTGCTCAATGACCCTGAGAACATGGAGAAGCGCAGGAGCCGCGAGAGCCTCAACGTGGACGTGGTCAAGTACGAGAGTGGCCCTGACGGAGGGGAGGAAGTGAGTATGAGCGTAGAGTGGAACGGGGTAAGTACAGTACACAGCGGGCACGTGCTCCGAGAGGCACCCCCCAGTGGCGCTTGCCAGGCCTTCCTCCTGTCTCATGTGCTAGACCTTCTGCTTTTCTCAAATTAAGTGCCAATTAAGCTTTCTGTAAGTTCTTCACTTCTGCTAATACTGAAGTCTGTTATTTGTTCAAAGTGGTAATTTTCTTCTCAGGAATCCATGAAAGCTGTTTGGCTTAACTTGGAGCACTTAAATGCTGATTGAGTGTCCTGGCTATTTAAAGCATGATCCCTCTCTGGTTTCATTTAACATCGGGATCAGTGTGGCAGATAACTCACTCACTTTGTTAACTCACGCGTTTCATCGCTAACTGCAGTGCTCCTAACTTCACTGACCAGGCTCCTCTAGATTTTGTTAAAATGGGTTGAGGTGTGTTAAAGGGAGGTGCTGTTTAAGTGGAATTTGTTTTTAGAAAAGAACAGGTCAGAAGCAACAGCTTAGGTGGCTGCTCTCTTGATGTCGCGCCTCAGTCCTGAGCGCCCTGCATTTTCCCTGAGAGGGCGTCCAGGGCTTTGGGGCTGTTCAGGGTCCCCAGCCCGCTGTGCTGAGAGGCTGCACAGGCACCCCTACTGCGTTTTCCTGGTTTGCCCCTGGAAATTCCTAACCACTGCCATTTATCCAGTGGCTGCCAAAGACCATGTAGCCTTCTAGACACTTTTTCTCCAGTGAATTTTTTAACACATGGATTTAGTTTTTAATACATCAAGCTGGTGTCTTTGGTATTTTGCTTTTGTCAGGGAGCGTTGAAGGCAGAATTTGACTAATCTAGGGGCACAGTTGTTTTTCTGAAGTTGCCATAGTGCAGTTAGGTTAGTTATAATTATACAGATGTTCTGCCCTAAACAAATAAGAGTTTTGGGCTTTCTTATAATGTGTCTTAGTTTCTGAATCCTTTTATTCTTTAGGATTTGGGAGGAGGTAGCATTCTAAATAAATATTTTATAAAAAATGTTAGGAGCCAAAGTCTGAGGGAGAACATTCTCTTTGTCTTTATCTGGCAGCTTTCTGGCTTTGTTTTTTTTACTGTGCCAAGACAACCAATCAGCATCTGCTTTGTCCACTCAACCCTGGGTGGGCAGTAGCCTAAAACTGAAATACTGACGCGCAGGCTTCACCCTGGCCTGCATCCTGTCAGACCTGTGTACTGTACTCTTGGTTGCTGTTTACCTGCATGCTCTGTGTAGAAGGGCAAGTCCTTTTTCTAGGCTCCAGGAGCCGGGTGCAGATTGTGAGCCTCTGGAGTGAACTTCTGGAGGAACTTTCTCTTGGGACAGTATTTCTAGGTCCATGTTGACATGAAATCATCTGATAAAATTGTGACAATTCAGAGCTCTGTTGTCATCTTAAAGATGGACTCGGAGATGAAGGAGAACTGCTTGTACCCACTGCAGGGGATTCGTGGGCGGGTGTCCCCGTGAGGCCCGCCGGCTGCAAGTGCAGCTGCTGTAGGTGAAAGCAGCTGCTCCTCTGGTGCCTCCTGACTCCCTCCTCCCGCGCTTCCTTTCTCACTCTGGACACTTGATTGTATAGGCCACGCGCAGGCTGTGTTTCTGATGTGTCCCTTTCCTGAGCAGTATACTTGGTAGCTCTGCAGCTTTGATAGAATTAAGCCCAGGGTGCATTGGCTACGGGTGAGCTACCAAGACAATCTGAGTTTTAAATTGTCCAGTGCGGTGGTTCCTAAACTCACTTTGTACGTGGAGGCAGCCTCCTCTTCAGGCGGAATCTTAGATAAAGCGAGTGAATTCGCTGGGCGGGCAGCCGAGGCTGCCTGAGAATCTTCACAGGAAGGCCTTGGGCCCCGGCCTGATCTCCCCACAACTCTTAAGGTTCTGAGAAGGCAGAATGCTGAACTTGACCAACTTTAGATTTCATTTTCAAATTACACCTTGTTTTTTTATTTTAAATATATATATATATTTAAAGATGGGGTTTCACTATGATGGCCAGGCTGGTCTTGAGCTCCTGACCTCAGGTGATCCACCCGCCTCGGCCTCCCAAAGTGCTGGGATCACAGACGTGAGCCACTGCAACCTTTTTATTTTTTAAAACACAGTGAGGACAGCATGCACAAAGGTATTAATTTTTAATCAACTTTATTGAGGGAGAATTGGAGGCACTAAAAGGGGCCCGTTTTAAATGCTGTTTGATTTAGATAGTAACAGTGCACTCAGGGCATTAACGTTAGAACAAAGTTTCTCTTGCTGTTTCTGTTTAAGTGAAGATTTCCTAGAAAACTGTTACCACTGTAGCCACTTACTTCGTGCATCAAGAATTTTTTCAGTATTATTCAATCAAGATAAAACAGAGAAATAGGGCCGGGCGTGGTGGCTCACGCCTGTAATCCCAGCACTTTGGGAGGCCAAGGCAGGTGGATCACGAGGTCAAGAGATCGAGACCATCCTGGTCAACATGGCGAAACCCCGTCTCTACTAAAAATACAAAAAGTTATCTGGGCATGGTGGCGCGTGCTTGTAATCCCAGCTACTCAGGAGGCTGAGGCAGGAGAATTGCCCGAACCCAGGAGGCGGAGGTTGTGGTGAGCCGAGATCGCGCCATTGCACTCCAGCCTGGGTAACAAGAGCGAAACTCCGTCTCAAAAAAAAAAAAAAAAAAACAAAGAAATAAATTAGGTGTTGAGGTAGATGTTAAGACTATACCTGCGGCCAGGTGTGGTGGCTCCTGCCTGTAATCCCATCACTTTGGGTGGTCAAGTGGGTGGATCACTTGAGGTTTGGAGTTTGAGACAAGCCTGGCCAACATGGCAAAACTCTGTCTCTACTAAAAATGCAAAAATTAAGTGGGTGTGGTAGCATGTGCCTGTAATCCCAGCTACTTGGGAGGCTGAGGCAGGGGACTCCCTTAAACCCCGGAGGCAGAGGTTGCAGTGAGCCAGGATCACGCCACTGCACTCCAGCCTGGGTGACAGAGCAAGACTGTCTCAAAAAAGGAAAAAACCAAACAAACAATTATACCTGTTATCTGTAACATCAGATTTCAAATTTTGGGTTTTATAAAGGTAGCTTTATTGTTCTCGTTAGTTTTATTAGAATAATTTGTTATATATTTATAATGAGAATATGTGATTTCAATTTTATTTATTTATTTATTTTGGAGATGGAGTTTTGTTCTTGTTGCCCAGGCTAGAGTGTAATGGTGTGATCTTGGCTCACTGCAACCTCTGTCTCCTGGGTTCAAGCAATTCTCCTGCCTCAGCCTCCCTAGTAGCTGGGATTACAGGTGCCCGCCATCATCCCTGGCAATGTTTTGTGTTTTAATAGAGATAGGTTTTCACCATGTTGGCCAGGCTGGTCTCAAATTCCTGACCTCAGGTGATCCACCTGCCTCAGGCTCCCAAAGTGCTGGGATTACAAGCGTGAGCCACCACGCCTGGGTGTGTTGTGTGTGTGTGTGCGTGTGTGTGTGTGCGTGTGTGTGTGTGTGTTGACAGAGTCTCACTCCATTGCCCAGGCTGGAGTTAGATGGCACAATCTTGGATCACTGGAACTTTGCCTTCCAAGTTCCAGTGATTCTCCTGCCTCAGCCTAAAAGGCATTTTTATGCTTTTTAAAATGTTGGAAACTACTACCATAGGGAAATACATTGTGCTCCCCGTTCGGCAGTCACAGCTTCAGCAGAAGTGACTGCAGGGAATGCATGTGACAGCTTTTGATTAAGTTATGATAACAGCATACACCAGATATTGGGCTCAGTTTTTCTCAATATTCGTAAGTAACATTTGAAACAAAGAGTTACGTGGTCCAAGAAAGGGCAAGTTGGTTAATAATTGTCCCCTGTGGGCCCTGGGCGTTGGTGTCACACAACTGAGAAGGAAGGCAGGTGGTGACAAATGCTAGCAGTGGGCAGGGAGCGTCTGGATCAGAGTCTCGACCCGGAGGGTGGTTTGTCCAAGGAAGTACAGTTCTATTCTGTTTTGTTTTGTTATGTTGAGACGGAGTCTCGCTCTGTCGCCCAGGCTGGAGTGCAGTGCTGTGATCTCAGCTCACTGCAACCTCTGTCTTCAGGTTCAAGTGATTCACCTGCCTCGGCCTCCTGAGTAGCTGGGACTACAAGTGCGGGCCACCACGCCCAGCTAATTTTTTGTATTTTTAGTAGAGACAGGGTTTTACCATATTGGCCAGGCTGGTCTCAAACTCCTGACCTCATGATCCACCCGCCTCAGCCTCCCAAAGTGCTGGGATTACAGGCATGAGCCACCGCATCCATCCCATTCTCTTCTTTAAGTACACATCGTAGGGTCTGTGATGGTGGCACTTCTGTGACCGCGTTTTCATGTGATGTGTGCATATCTGGCAGCCGCTGTTGCTGTGAGTCTCAGTTGGCTCTCTCTCATGGTCTTGCCTCTGAAAGCGCATCTGCTTTCTGCACACATAAATCCTTTTCTGGATAAAACTGAGCCTCCTATAACCACTGTCCATGTGACTTCGTGTTCATGGTGTGATGTGCATGTGTCAGTCAGCAGCACGAGGTCCCCGTTGGGATGTGGGAGCCCCTTGGGCTGTCTGATCATTAAGCAGCTGTCTTTACAGTGGTCCCATGAGACACACAGAGCTGCATCACACGTCCTACATCCTAGGTGGAGCCTGAGCTCCGGAGGTCTGTCTCCTGGCTGCAGACCTTTGTCCATAGGTCACCAGCTCTGCTGCGGACTTTTGAAGCAGCCCCTCTCCGTCTTGCCCCCATGTGAAGATTTCTACACATTTCTAATATACTACATTCTTACCTAGGATTACTGGGGAATGGAATATATTGTTAGAAATAGATGAATTTTTATTTTTAAAAAGTTACACTAAGGGCTGGGTGTGGTGGCTCATGTCTGTAATCCCAGCACTTTGGGAGGCTGAGGTGGGTGGATCGCTTGAGGTCAAAACTTTGAGACCAGCCTGGCCAACATGGTAAAACCTCATCTCTACTAAATATACAGAAATCAGCAAGGTGTGTTTGTGCACAACTGTAATCCCAGCTACTCAAGTGGCTGGACCAGGGAATCGCTTGAACCCAGTAGGTGGAGGCTACAGTGAGCCAATATCATGCCACTGCACTCCAGCCTGGGTGACAGAGCCAGACTCCATCTCAAAAAAAAAAAAAAAATTACAGTAGTAAGACAACTAAAGTATGCCACAAATAAACTTAAAAAACACCAAATTATATGAAATTCTGCTGTACATAGATAACAATGACTGCCTATTTTTAAACTGTGAATACATAAAACTATTAATCCTGTTCAGATAACCCATCCCACCTTTGTAACGTGAATATTCTTTCCCAGCAATATAAAGAGGTAGACATTTCTTAAGGTGTTAGAATGCAGTGCATCCTCCCAGGCCCTGACATCCAGTTGAGTGGAAATCTGCCTGGGATAGGGCAGCTCCTGGCCTTACCCCGGTTCTCAAGGCCAAGGTGCTCAGGTGGCAAGTGCAGGGAAGTGGGCAGACTGACTCAGAGTGGGGCACACCCACTCCATTGCCAACCCAGCCCTAGGTGTCGGTCAGGGTCTGCAGAGGCTCAGGGAGGAGGAGGCAGCTGGGCCGGACCCCAATTCTGGGACTCCTGGGAGCACGCACACGCATGTGTGTGTGTCACATGAAATACTTTTGGAATCTGAGCGAAATGAGTCTTCTTGTTCTGCCAAGTATTTAGTTCAGGTGTATTATAAATAACAGTACCCGTAGTGCAGCACTGAGTGTGGAATGAACGGCAAGGGCTGCATTCTTGGTGACGCTGTGGTAGCATTTTAGCATCCTTTCTCTAAAGAGCAGCAAAAACTTGTATTTTCTTGTCCTCCCAAGATTTTTGAGGTGTTGGTAACAAGTGTTATTTTTCCATTTTAAAGATGAGAAAAATGAAGCTCGGGCTGGTTAAATGACTTGCTCAGCATCCCATGGTGAGTCCGAGCGGGCGGGGCGCAGGCCCTGCCGTCTGGTGCCTCTGTCGAGACGTCGGCTTTCCAATCTGGCAGGGCCCAGGACGCAGTGCTGCCTGTGGAATTCATTTTCTTTTGGATTATCAACTGCATGTGTAAAATGTGCTGTAGACTTTTAAAGTCTGTGATTTCCTAAAGTTTCTGAAATGTCTACAACGTGTTTTTAAGAGAATGAAAGTCATACCGTATTGTAGCCTTTATTTTGGTCCCTATGTTTTTCATTGCATAATCTCCTTACATACAGTTACTTGTAAAGTCCTTTACACCGTATCAAGGAGATTTCTAACACATCGCTAATCTTTAAAGTGTTGAAATTTACTTGGATGACCGTTGGGAATGGACCAGTCTCGATTCTGTGAGATGCACCCCGAAGCCCGGCACCTGCTTTGTGCTGGGCTGGTAGAAGCAGGCAGAAGGTCATCCCAGTCCTAAAGCCACTCACAAGGCTGCTGAGACTTGGGACCTAGAAATACTGTAAGCCAGGCTGCTATGCTGGGCCTGTTGCCTTTCCTCGCTGCGGTTTCATGTGGGTTTTCTCTCTCCTTTCTGTCTGACAGGCCTAGCTGCCCGTGACTCTCACACTGTCTCCTGCATGACGGGTGGCGCCTCCCGCAGCTTCCCTTCTCTCTCCAGTGCTGCCCGCTGTGTCTAGCAGCCCCTAGGATCTTGTCAGCGCTGCACCTCTCTGTGACTGGCCATTCCTTTCGGTGCTGCTGTCCTTTTTGGGGGGCTCCTGATTTCTGTGTACATGTAGCTTTGCCAGATATGTACTTAGTAATATAAATTGTATTAATAAAATCCATTTACTGTGTAATACACGACTTTAAAAATTAAGAGAGATAGCTGTTCACTCTGATAACAGGTAGTTAAGTGTCACACAAGGTGTTGTTGCAATGGCATGACGGTGACCTGTTGACGTAACTAAGCCTTAGAGCAAGGCATGTGCCGCACGTGCTCCGTGGTACTTAGAGCTCTGGGGGCCCCTAGCGGACTCCGGGTCTCTCTAGGATACGCCCCAGTAGCATTTGCTCTGTAGTCTGTGTGTGAAATTTGGGCATTCTGCTTTTCTCTACTAATCTTGAAGTGCTCAGTGATTTGTGTATTTGTGTCTTTCTAACTTCTAATAAACTCACTCCGACTGACCTGTGTCTTGGTGTCTGTCTGCTTGGTAGAACTCCTCAGTCTTTATCCATGAAACGCCGCATGGCACAGCTGCTGAGGGTCATGGGGTGACTGTTCATCTCACCAAGGAGTTTCTTCCGAGAATAAATGTCGCTGTATGCACATTTTCTTTCCTCTGTGTTTTTAATTTTCATGTTCAGATACTGCCAAGTATTTCACTAATTAATACCTGAATCAATTAAGATGAGAGCTGGCCACTCTCACCTCCCTACAAGGTTGTCTGAGGATTTTTAGTTATTTGCATAGAATGAGCATTTGATTTAATTTTCCAGCCACCTTTATAGTTAACATTTAATGAAACTGTTCTGTAAAACGTACTGAAGGAAACACCAACTGTTGCACTTAGACAGCTGTTGAAAGGAAGGGCCTCTGTCAGACCCAATGGTTTGGGTCCTGTACTACGTTACCCACATGCTTACATGTCTGTTAAATGTGGAAATCGATTTTGGTGATATTCCTAGACGCTGCTTTAATTTTCTTGAGACTGTGTGTGCTGGCTTTTTCTCACGATTGCAGTAGGGTTTACATTGCTTTTGGGATGTGATCACTTGTTTGTATGAGCTTCCTTATGTCCAAAGCTTTTCATGATCACTGGATTATCTTTAATGAAATTAAAAATTGATAATTTCCAGTTAAAGTACATGGTAATTGGTGGTTTCTGCAAGACTCTGTCAGCAGTGAGCTGCTGGCGAGCAGGGCGGCCTTGGTGGAGCTCTTACTTGCATCCGGTGTGGCTCTTGTGGGAGGGAGGGAGAGAACCACCTGCAGCTTCACGTTTGTTCACGTTTTTTTCAGGATGGCACTGGATCTTTAAAACGCAGTGGTTCCTTTAGCAAACTCCGGGCTTCCATTAGACGCAGCAGTGAGAAGCTGGTTAGGAAGCTGAAGGGAGGAAGTTCACGAGAGAGTGAGCCAAAGAACCCCGGGTAACTATCTCTTCCAGCTCTCCTGACTCCCCTGCACGCTGGCCGAGGGGCCGCTTCTCCTGCCAGCACAGCCGTTCTCACCCACAGACCTCAGAAAAGACACGCCAGTGCTGCCCGTATTCTCACACTGGGAGGGTTCATAGTTGCCACCTAGGTTTTTCCCAGGATAGGTTGAGAAGTAATTGGGTAACTTCCTGTTAGTGGCTAAAGAGCTAATACCCTTAAAAGAAAATACGGAATTTTTTGATTCTGTCACATGTTCTAAGAACGCTTTAGCAGTGAAATGTCGGGATTTATATTAAAGCATTGAGCATTTTGAACTTGTTTACTCTAGATGTGCATTTTTTGTTTTTTAAATTCTTTAAAAATTTTAATCTTTTAAAATCAGATTTTAGCTACGACTATATTAAATGTCATACAGTATTATAATAGGGAGAAAAGTGGTTACACATAGGATCAGAACTTTTAAGACTTTATTATAAGGAGATTTTCAAAACCTTAGGTTTTTCATATGTTCAAAAAACGATCTGAGTCATGTATTTTAGAGTCTTTTGAAAAGTAACATTTAAATTGTCAAGTAATTTGGTTCTTAGGTTGCCCTTTGTTTTTTTGTTTTTTGACACGGAGTTTCGCTCTTGTTACCCAGGCTGGAGTGCAATGGCACGATCTCGGCTCACTGCAACCTCCGCCTCCTGGGTTCAGGCAATTCTCCTGCCTCAGCCTCCTGAGTAGCTGGGATTACAGGCACGTGCCACCATGCCCGGCTAATTTTTTGTATTTTTAGTAGAGACGGGGTTTCACCATGTTGACCAGGATGGTCTCGATCTCTTGACCTCGTGATCCACCCACGTCGGCCTCCCAAAGTGCTGGGATTACAGGCTTGAGCCACCGCACCCGGCCACCCTTTGTTTTTATATGGTGCACAGAGTTGACAGACTGCCCCGATGGCCGTGTCCAGGGTCACCTCTGGGCAGCTGCCCGTGGCTTGGGCATATTTCTCATGAGGCAGGCTTTTGCCAGCCTTTCTGTGTAACTCTGACTTTCTAAATGGTAGTGACTTTTTAAAGAGTGATTCCTAATAAAACTTATTTTACAAGTGATCCCACTCCAGGTTCTGTGAGTAGGAAATCTGATCATCTCCGGATGGTGAAACTGAGTTCTTCTGGAGAACAAGTTGGAAATATTAAAATTAGATGCCTGATCAGTTGTTTTGTTATTTTGTCTTTTTGGATTTTTTTGGTAGGGGAGGGGGAGGACAGAGTGTTGCTCTTCACTCTTGTTGCCCAGGCTGGAGTGCAGTCGCGCAATTTCAGCTCACTGGAACCTCCACCCCCCGGGTTCAAGTGATTGTCCTGCCTCAGCCTCCCGAAGTAGCTGGGATTACAGGCATGTGCCACCATGCCTGGCTAATTTTGTATTTTTAGTATGGATGGGGTTTCACCACATTGACCAGGCTGGTCTCAAACTCCTGACCTCAGGTGATCCACCCGCCTCGGCCTCTCAAAGTGCTGGGATTACAGGCGTGAACCACTGTGCCCCGCCTATTTTGTCTTTTAAAAACTGTTTTTATATATATCCACTTTTATCCCTCTCCGTGTCCCTGACAGCCTGAGCCCTTAGACTTCCTGCCTCACACAACCCAGGTGCGGGGTGGCCAGAGATATCCCAGCCCCTTGGTGATGGGGCTCGCCCTCTTGTCCGCCTTGTGTCCCCGTGCGAGTCTCCATTGTGGATGGAGACTTCTCTTCAAGGCTGCGAGAGAGGTCCAGGCCTGAGACAAGAGGAGTGACCTGGCTTTTGTAAGGAGCTTCTCATAACTGTTTTCCAGCCCGTTTCTGGAGAGGGAGTTTTAGAGGCTCCATGAATGTTCCCTCTGAAAACTCCCAGGATTTGAAGACTAGACTTCTGGAAGTTTATGGGGGCTTGGCAGCATATTACCTGTGATGAGACAGATGAACTTTGATCTGGGGGGACGGGGTAATAGGTTCTAAACTGTCTTTGGAACAATGCACTTATTTTAGAATGTTGACAGACTCCCAGAACCTAAATGTTACAGGTTACTGTCTGCCTCTCGATGAATTGTGAGATTACACATTTCTTCTGACTGCAATTTAGAGGGTCTGAGCAGTGCTGCGTGACTGATTGGTGTCCCTTCCTTGGAATGATCGGATGAGTCATGCAGGGTGCCCAGATCCCCACAGGAATTACAGGATGCCCCACAGAGAGCGTTCTGGACATCGTTTAATTCCTGGGGCGACACTGGTTGTTTGAGGTGCTTAAGTTCTAAAGCCTTGTAAGTGTAGAGGTTCTGGTGCTGAATGTTGTAATCTGGACCACACTTCCCACATGACAGCTCTCAGAGTTGTTCTCCTTTTTCGTGTTTTCTGTCTTTGCCATGATAAAAATGTCGCAGTGTGTGACCAGTCCCTGGTGTTAGAACTGTGGTCTGTGTTGACGGGGCCACAGCACTGCTAGCCTGAAGCATGTGGCATAGATGAACACACTTGGAAATTGCATACACCTGAATAATCTTTCCAAATAGGAGCAACTTTTTATCAGCTAGACGGTAGTCTCAGACATCTTTTGGAGGGTTGGTTTGGACAGAGACTCGAGGCCCCACCCCTGAGGTTCCACCTCCTGAGTGCCTGATCTTCGGAATGTGTGGTTCGGCAAGTTCCCACAGTGCTGGGGCTGCTGGCCCCAGGTCACTTTGAGAATCACTGAGCCGGATGCAGCAGGCCGGGCTGTGTGCCTGACTCCTAACAGTTACTGTACTAAAACGTTTTCAATGCCACGTGTTCAAACGAGGCAGTTCGAAAGGGTGGTAGGAAGAGATGTTGAGCTGTTCTTTCGTTTCATAAAAGGGGGTTTGAGGGAAGTTTGTGTAGCCCTTTTAAAAAACTTAACGATGGCCGGCCGTGGTAGCTCACGCCTGTAATCCCAGTACTTTGGGAGGCCGAGGTGGGTGGATCACTTGAGGTCATGAGTTGAGACCAGCCTGGCCAACGTGGTGAAACCCTCTCTGTACTGAAAATACAAAAATTAGCCAGGCGTGGTGGCAGGCGGCTGTAATCCCAGCTACTTGGGAGGCTGAGGCAGGAGAACACTGGAACCCGGGTGGGGCAGAGGTCGCAGTGAGCTGAGATCACACCACTGCACTCCAGCCTGGGTGACAGAGCGAAACTTCATCTCAGAGAAAAGAGTTAATGGACACTTAAACAATAGCAAGAATAATTGAGTATGTCAGGCGATCATTTACTTGTGATTTGGTTTGATTTTATACTTTGTTCCTGAGTGATTCTAGGTAGAGGACCACCTGTTTCGGACCTCAGCAGTGTCTGCGCAAGCTTCCTTGCGATGTTGTTCTGTCCTGGTTGGGACGCTCTGGGGATAAGGAAATTCAGGTCTTTGCTTCTGGTGCAGTTGGTCAGCAGGGGCTGGCCGAGTGTCTGCCATGTGCCAGGCGCTGTGCTCACAGCACTGCTGACACATGGGCAGGTGCTCTGGTCTCCCAGCCCCATCCCAGTGTCCTGTGTGAGGCTGTCCCTGTCACCCTTCAAGCCTGTGCCCCAGCCTCACAGCCACTGTCCTTGGCTTGCCTGGGAACTGCCACGCTGATGTGCGCTGTCCGTGTGGCATGCAGTTCACGTTCGGAATTGAAGTAAATTAAGCGACCCTCAGCATTGGTCACTTTAGCGTTAAAACGTCAGGTGAGTTCATGTTGAAAGGCATCCATGATGGCGAACAATGATAGTCGTTTTATGACTGTCCATCATTTAAGTTACAGATAATTTACAGGCTATTTCATCAGGTATTTTCAGGATATCCGATGGGAGGAAAAGTAAATATATGTATAAATTCCCGTATTTCTTTAAACGTAGAGCCATGACTTTAATTTTTCGTGTCTAAGTAGAGAAATCCTGGCTTCAGAGTTTATTTTACTAACAATAAAGTTGTTTTCCCTGCTTTTAATATAGAAAGATAAAAACAGACAGTATATTTATGCGTCTTCTTTTAGCACTGAACTTTGAGTGTCTCTTCATGATCCCTGAATGGTGATGAATCTGACATGAGCCATTGAACTCCCTTCCTGAAAATCATCAGACAGAAGGCAGAGCCTCTCTGCTCCCAGATAGTTCATCGTTTTTTTTTTTCTTTCTAAAGAGAGACAGGGTCTTGCCCTGTAACCCAGGCTGGAGTGCAGTGGTGCAATCATGGCTCACTGCAGCTGGGACCGTAGTGGATGCCACCATGCCTGGCTAATTTTTTTTTTTTTTTTAAAGACGGGGTTTCACCATGTTGGTCAGGCTGGTCTTGAACTCCTGACCTCAGGTGATCCGCCCGCCTTGGCCTCCAAAGTGCTTGGATTACAGGCGTGAGCAACGACGCTCGGCCTTAATTTTTGTAGAGATGGGGTCTCCCTGTGTTGCTTGGGCTGGTCTTGAACACCTGGGCTTAAGCGATCCCCCTGTCGTGGCCTCTCCCAAAGCATTGAGATTACACAGGCTTGAGCCACTGCGCGTAGTCTACATGAGCCACTTTTTAAAAGTGCAAGTATAAGGACACTTTGGGTTTGCATATGGTGCTTTAAAAGAAGCACTTTGCTGTGAAAGATGCAGAGAGAACTGTGGTCATTTCTCCCGGGCACTAGAGTGAGACCCAGGACTCCCATGTTACCCGAGCAAGATGAAGGCAAGGTCCTGAGGACCCCCAGTGTCACAGAGGCCTTGGAGGGGGCTTTGCATGTGCTTCCTGTTGCCGGTTGACCGATGTGCTGATCGTTTGTCCTTGCATGTCCGTGTCCGGGTTGCAGCATGAAGCGTGCCAGTTCTCTGAATGTCCTTAACGTGGGTGGCAAGGCTGCTGAAGATCGCTTCCAAGTAAGGAGCCTACCCCGAGGTGTGTCCTGGGCGGCCCAGACCATGCTGGCAGGTCTGCTGAGACCCGCGCCCAGCCCCCGCTCTGCCCCCGCTCCTGCGGAGGGCTGGGGATGCTGCTGTGTTTGTTTCTAGATAGGCGGTTGTGACCGCAGTACTTTAATATTCTGCCTAATCACTGGTGACTGAGTTATGGGCATGTTCACACCGTGAACATTCTCAGAATCGTGATGATCTCAAACTCTAAAAATAGTGTCACCTAATTATTCTGTTAAAGTACCGTCAGAGCTTGACCAGCTACTAGTTTGTATGATTAGTTTGATTCAGCCTCTACTAAGTTTATAATGATTAATAATTTGTCTACTTAAGCTGTTCAGTGTTTAAAACTATTCAAAACTTGTATTAACATGACGACTAACCTGTTGTCCCTTTGACACTAAAATCTTGAGCACTTAGTGAAGCTGTCCCGGTCTCGCACAGACACGTCAGGTTCACATTTCTCGGTACTGGCTCCCCTCCCCGTCACAGAGGCCTTTTGAGTTTTCATTGACTCAACCCTTTGTGTGGCTGTCAGCTGGTAGCCTGTGCCTGAAAGCACTGACTCCCTTCCCCCATCACAGAGGCTGAGTTTTCATCCACTCCGCCCTCTGGTGTGGCTGTCAGTGGGTGGCCGGTGCCTGTGGCTGTTCTAGAATCTGCCCGTTTCTCAGGTGCCTGGCAGCTCAAGCTGCTGGGACTTGGCAGTCCCCCGCCCCTGTGCTGGTGTTGAGAGCTCGTGTGCCAGGCACTGCCCTCGATGTTGTCCACATCCATTAATCCTCACAGACAGGCCAGCACCCTGACCTGTCCCCCAGCACTCCTGGGAGGCAGCCGCCTCTGGAAAGCTTTTCCCTAGCCCCCTTCTCAGTGGCTGCTAAAGAGGCTTGGAGGGTGCTGGACATTTTGCTTGGACCACCCCGATAATGAGAGGAAAGAGTCTCTGTTTTACAGGGTTCTGTAGCTGAGCCAGTCTTTTGCCCTCTGGTTTCTCGGAGTTCCCCCATGCCCAGTGACTCCGGGGCTCTCGAGGGCCAGCGTAGACTTAGTTGTGCAGCTGGTACTGTTAGGCTTGAGGCCATTTGTAGCTGGCCTCATTTGAAGTCCTGGTTAAGTGTAATTTTTCCATTTGTTTTTTCATGCAGGAACGAAATAATTGTCTGGCAGACTCGCGAGCTCTGAGTGCCAGCCACACTGACCTGGCCCACTGAGGGCGGCAGGGCTAGGTAACCTGCCTTGGCGAGTGTGAGACTGCCTCGCCCTGCCACGCCCCTCACTGCCCTGCCCGGAGGCGCCAGCCGCACTCCTTGGCTTTCTTTCCTAGATAGTGACGTCCACCAACCTTGGAGGTGCCTTTTCAAAATACCTGGGCGGCCATGCCCCAGCATTCTGTTACCCGGCCTGCAGTCCCAGTGCCAGGAGCCACCCCAGCCACCACCCAGCTGGGCTGGCACAGGGAGGCACAGGGGGCGCCAAGGCGGATTCAGCACGCTGGGGATTGGCTCCTGCTCACAGACCCTGTTGCATTTCCTGCCTGCCACCTTTTTGCCATAACACCAGACTCTCTTTTAAATTGTAATATTGTAGTAAGCCTGTAAATTGGGTTGGGCGAAGTGGCTCTCGCCTGTAATCCCAGCACTTTGGGAGGATGACCTGAGGTTGGGAGTTCAAGAGCAGCCTGACAAACATGGAGAAACCCTCTCTCTACTGAACATACAAAATTAGCTGGGCGTGGTGGTGCGTGCCTGTAATCCCAGCTACTTGGGAGGCTGAGGCAGGAGAATCGCTTGAACCCAGGAGGCAGAGTTTGCAGTGAGTCGAGATCATACTATTGCACTCCAGTCTGGAGACAGAGGGAGACTGCGAGACTCTGTCTCAAAAGAAAAAAAGGGCTGTAGATAAATCTGGAAATGTAAAGTACCCCTTCTGAGCACTGTTCTTTCTCCTGGGGGCCCCACGCCCACCCCTTCTGAGCTGTTCTTTCTCCTGGCCCCACGCCCACCCCTTCTGAGCACTGTTCTTTCTCCTGGGGCCCCACGCCCACCCCTTCTGAGCACTGTTGTTTCTCCTGGGGCCCCTCGCCCACCCCTTCTGAGCACTGTTCTTTCTCCTGGGGCCCCACGCCCACCCCTTCTGAGCACTGTTGTTTCTCCTGGGGCCCCTCGCCCACCCCTTCTGAGCACTGTTCTTTCTCCTGGGGCCCCACGCCCACCCCTTCTGAGCACTGTTCTTTCTCCTGGGGGCCCCACGCCCACCCCTTCTGAGCACTGTTCTTTCTCCTGGGGGCCCCTGCACACAAAGCCATTAGAGATATGCCTTTCACTTTTTAAAAGCCTCAGCTTTACAGAATGAGGTAACATGGTGGACTCTTGACAGGAACATTTTCAAATCAATGCCGAGGCCATCTTTCTCAGGGCTGTCCGCAGACTAACCCACAGGTAAGGAGCACACAAAACAGACGCTGAGGTGAGCACTGCTCCATGCCAGCCTGCTAGGCCGCAGGACGGAGGGGTCTGCGAAAGGCCAGCCTGCAGCTTTCACCTAACAGGGCAGACGGCGGCACAGCAGAGGCTCACACTTGTCGCCTCCAGCCATTGGTGCTTCCCGTGGGGCATGGGGCCAAGGGCTGGGGACAGAGCATCCTGGGGTTTTGTTACAAGGCTAGACTTTAGAATACCTTTAAAAGTTTCATGTCATTTCTTCCCATCTCGTGTCAAGGACTGCCCTGTTTGGGAAAAGGTGTGTGTTTCCGAGAGACGGGGCTCCATCTAGTTGTGGGCGAGTGCCTGGCTCGGCAGCTGCCCCGTGGAGCGAGCCCTGTCCCCAAGCTGCCCACCTGTGGCTGTGGCTCCTGACTCCATTCTTGTAGATTCTTGGATCAGGAACTTTCTAAATTCTACACAGAGATGTTTTAAAAGAAGTGCGGTGATTTAAGCCATTTCCCATCTGGTGCTCTGAATTTTTGTCTTCAGAGGAGAGAAGTGGTGGGCCCAGCCATCCCTGTTCCTTTGTGCTGTCTTTCTGGTGAGGGGAACCCTGTGTGAGTCAGCACCTGTTTCTTCAGAGTTGCTGTCAAAATAATCACTGCTTCCCCCACGGCAGCCATGTATGCAGCGCAGGGGCCCAGCAGCCATTGCATGGGAGGGTCTGGCTCTGCCGGTGTACAGCTTATCTCTGGGTAGTCTGTGCTGCTGTGACAGAAAGCAGGCCCTGTGACACGGGTGCTTCCCTGAGGCAGCAGCAGTGTGCAGCTCAGGCATCCTCCGAGGTTGGCGGTGCCCATGGGTGGCACAGGGGCCCTCTTGTGGGCAGCACTTGGTCTCATGTTTACAGTATTGGAGGGATTCACATAGTTATTTCCTGGAATTTCTGGAATTAAAAAAAGATTTCTGTTTGGTCAGAAAGCTGCTAGGAATATCATGTAATTAGAAATTCAGTATTTATAGTAAGATATATTAAACACTGCTAAGGAGGTATGGTTACAGTCTATAACAGGCTTTGCACTATCATAACGTTATGGAATTTTCCTGGAGGAGGTCATTAGCTTCTGTTGGCACGCACTCGTGAGCTGTGTGTACACTGTGGTCAGGTTTCTGAGTCCCGTAGAGCACTCACGTCTGACGGCATCTTGCCGGGGCGCCAGCTGTCTCAGGGCTGACACACAGATGTGTATTGTTTACAGTGAGTTCCGCGGCGTGTGGGGAAGAACTTCAGCGGTTTTAAAATAATGGTTAGGAAATGAGGGTCAGGGCATGTGGTTCCTGATGGAGGGTCTTCAGGAGAAGACCTGTGGCCCTGGGCAGGGACTGGGCTCCCCAGGGGATGGTCAGTGCTCCTGGGACTGCCAGGCCAGCCCTTCTGCAGACTTCGTGGTGGGGGGCAGTTCCCTAGGACAGGAATCTCCGCAGCCCCTTCCCTCCAGGGCAGGAACTGAGGCAGAATGGGCGGGGCAGGCCTAGCTTCCAGGAGTGTTTTCTCTATTAAATGTACCTGTCGTTAAGCTGTGTCTCGTTTTCTCACTGCTGGCATGTCTTGCCTAGAAAAGCATTTGGAATTGCTCATGTTCAGTTACAGAAATAAAATGTTTTGTTTCCTATTGTAAAATCGCTACACTTTTGCAGAAAGGCTGTTTTGTAAAAATCCAACCCCAAAATAACTTTTTCCCATCTTCCTGCCAGTGATTCTTAACTGTAGGGTCAGAGAGCCTTGATAATGTGACGAAGGTTTGAAATGGATTGTCCCACCCTCGAAAACAGCCAAAGAAAAATTCTGCACAGTATGGCCCCACCCCTTACCTTCCCCCCAACGGGTACCAGCCCCTCCTCCCACTGCACAGGGTGAGCACTGTGGGAGGAGTCAAGCCACTTGACATTTCTGGGCCTCAGTTTCCCTGCCTGCAAGTGGAGATGTAGTGACAGTACCTGTCCCCAGGAGCTGTGACGAGAACATACTTCCATGTGCATAGATTACTTAGAGGAATGGCTGGCAGACAGCAGGAAGCAGGTCCTGGAGCTGCATCCATTTGCTGTTTATTTGTCAAAGGCCTGCTCGGTGCCAGGCAGCACATGGGGGCACTTGGGGGTGGAGGAGGGTTTGCGGTGGGAATCAAGAGGGTCCTTGCTCTGCCCATGGGGAGGCCACGCCACTTCTCACCACTAGGCAGATGTGTCAGCATCTGCAGCCAGATGTAGGGCCTGGGCAGTGTGCGGCTGGGTGTGCAGGTTGCCCTGCCAGGAGTCCTGCCATAACTGATGAGCTAGCTAACTGATGAGCCTATCACGTGCCAGCCCTGCACTGCCTGAGCTCCTCCATCTGGCTGTGGTGCTGGCACAGGCCACACTACTAGAGTCAAGGCAGTCCCCCCTCCCCCGGGCTCCCCTGGACTCTGAAGCTGGAGGTCAGTGGGATATGCTCTCTTCACCTTGTACCACATTGAAGTTTTGAGGGGCACCATGTGTGCTGGGATGGGGCCCCCAGGAGCCAAGGACCCAAAGGTGGGTGAGGAGGAGCCACCTGCCTGCAGCCCTGCTGTAGCCTGGGTGGTAGGGGAAGTAAGGACTGCTCTGTGTGGAGGAGGGTCCCAGGGGCTGCACGGGTCTGAGGTGCCAGGCCTCAGACCTGACCCCAGGTGGGCTTCCATGTGGGAAGCCGAAGCAGGGGGTTCCCAGGGAGTCACTGTAGGGACACCCCCAGGCCCCAGCCCTGAGAATCACCTGCCCCCAGGGGCGAGCTCAGCAGTGGGGACCAGGTGCCCAAATCCAGGGAGGGGTGGAACAGCGCCCCCCGCCCCCCCACCCAGATCAGGTGGGGGTCAGTCCGTGGTCACCATCTTTGGTTGAGAAAGTGGAGCTGCTGCCCTGGAAGACGGCTCAGAACCAGGTTCCCAGCTGTGCCATGGCCAAGGCACATAGCATTTTCAAGGCCGGAGTGCCAGTGTGTCAGTGCTTCTCAGGCACGGCTGTTCTGCAGCTGCTGTCGTGTCAGTGGGACTGGGTCCCAGATGTCCCTCGCACCCCTTCTGTACTGATTGTGTAGGAACAAGAAGAGGGGGGCAGGTGGGGGGCAAAGAGCACCCGCAGGGTCCGGACCGGCTGGCCGAGGGCAGCCTCTTCCTCACGGAGCCGGTCAGCCAGCAGTCTCACCAGAAGCTGGTTGGCCCAGGTTATGCCAAGGGCCGGGAAAATACGCTCGTCCCAGAATCTGAGAAACAGAAAGCAGGCGGGCTGGTGCTCAGAAGGCTGGGTAGCCCTGCTCACGTCAGCCCAGCTGCACCCCGGCACCTGTGCAGAGGGGCACGTGCCATATGGCTGTACTCACCCCGGCGGTCCGTGCGCTGTGCCCTGCTCCTCCATGGCCTCTGTCACCTGGAAGAGCCCAGTCTAGGTCAGCTACAGCGGCTGAGAGCCATCCTGATGGTCAGGCACAGGCTGCTACCCACCTCACTGCCACCCACCCACCTCCAGACCAGCTCTGCTTCACATCCTGGCTAAAAATACGAGCTCACGGCTGCACCCTTGCCTTGCCACCCACCTGGTTGATGCACAGCACGGGGCTCTGGAAGGTACTGCTCAGCTCACGCAGTGTGGCCCCCAGGGACTGCAGATGCCTGGCCCTGGGGACGGAGGCCTGGCTGTCAAACTCACAGCGGAATGGGGCTGCCACCGAGTCGATGACCACCAGGCGAGCCATGCCCCGAGACAGCAGAACAGGGACCTTCTTATTCACACACTCCAACAAGGTGTCCTGTGGGGACAGCTGCCATTGCCTTTGCAGCCCCCTGCCCCAGATAACCAGACCCCCTTTGGACTGTCACCTTGACTGTGACTCGGAATCATCCTACCCACCGGGGGCTGATGACGCCTGCTCTGTGGTCCCCATACTCTGGGCCCAGTTCAGTGAAGGCTCTAATTACAGAAGCTTCAGGCCCACACATCTGGTTCCCTTGGACCCGTCCCTCCTCTGGCCCTCCCAGGCAATCACCCCTTGGCCGTGCCAACACTGCCCTCTACCCTTTGCCCAGGCTCCTGAGTCCTTGCGGGGGTCTGCTCCCACTCCTGACATGGTTTCACCATCTCCCTGTCACGGGTCAGCATCTACCAGCCCCCTCCTTCGGTGGCCCCATGCCAGGTGCCGAGACTACCCGGACCTGGCCAGAATGCCATCAAAGCTAGCCCGTGGTGGCCATGATCACCTGGGATGTACCCTCTCCAGACACTGAGCAAGACAGGGGCCTGATGCCCTTCAGGCTGTTACTCAGGTGGGTCAGGCCTGGCCTGCCTCTGCTGAGGTGTGGGGCACTTTGGGAGACCACCTGGGGGTCAGTGCCTCCTGTGTCCCCAGGCCTTAGCCCTGTGCTCTTGAGCAGGCCTGGCCTGGGCAAGGGGTAGAAATGGCCCTGTGCCCACCAACTCCCAGGAGGGGCCCCCAAGGAAGGCAGGTATCCTCAGCCAGCCTCTGGGTGCTGCTGTGCTCTGTGGGCCATTGGCATGGCCTGGCCTCTGACTACAGAGCTTGGTGAACTGTGGTGATAGGGGAGGGTGGCACAGCTGCTCCTGGCACCAAGCAGGGCAGTTCAGGCCTCACTGGCCTTGCCAGCAGCTCTGGCCAGATGGAGGCTGTGAGGGACCCCTAGACTGCCCCTCTAGTCCAAGGTCTGCAGTCACACCCTGGTGTCACACCTGGAGCTCTGAAGATGCCTGAGGGCTGCCTGCAAGCCCTGAGTGAAACTCTGTGCTTCATCTCCAGGGCGTCTCTGGCCGAGCCTCTTTCTGTGGAAAACGACAGCAGCAGCAGTGGCCTGGAAGACGCTATCGCTAACGTGAGTCCCGCAGCCTGCAACCCCGGGAGACAGGCACCTGGGGGGCGGGGGATGGGCAAGGGGTGGCTGCTGCTAGCTGCAGGGCTGGGCCTCCAGGAGGGGCTTGGCTCAGGGAGCCCCATCCTCATACAAGCCCAAGGGCCACAGCAGAGTGGGGGGTGGGAATGGCACCAGGCCCTGCTTACGCAAGAGAAGGCTCTGTGTCCACACCACTGGCCTCCCCTATGCCAGATTCAGGCCTGTGGCGCTCCAGGGAGCGGAGGCCAAAGACACACCAGTTGCCCATGACCCCTCGGCCCCAGGGAGGCTCACACCGAGCAACACCCAGGGCTCTAGGCAGACCTGGGGTCAGGGCTTCCCAGAGAGCTGTTTCCAGAACAGAAGTTAGTAACACTATCAGGTTTTGGCAGCCCAGCCCTGACTTTCCACCTTCTCTTGCAGTGACCCCGACCTGGTCCCACTCCAGGATGGGAATGCTGAGTGTGGCCCGGAGCTGGCCCGAGACAGCCAGGGCGGCAGGGAGGGCCCCGGTGGGAGCCGCAACACTCATATTTCTCCTGCCTCTGTGTGCGTGGGGCGCGATGTTAATGACTGTACAGCTGGTGCAGCCTTGGGGCTGGGGCTGGGCCGAAGCTGGTGCCCTGGTGCGGTGTGGCCTCTCCCAGGAGACCTGAGGCATGAGCTGGGCCCACAGCTCCCTTCTCACGTGTAACTCCCTTGCGTTGTGTGCCATAATGTATTTTATTGTACATTTTTTAAATTAAAACTTTATATGCCTTATGCTTCACTTGGAAGTTTTTTCATAGGAATTCTTAGAAGTGGGGGAAGGCCCACCCGGGAGCCAGGGGCTCTGCCCAGCCACAGCCATGTCAAGGGCGGGCTGGGCATGGCAGCTGCTCCCCCTGTACAGGGTGGAATTTCCTTGTTTGCTTTTGGTCATGGTTTACGCCCAAACTTCCCGTCTTTCCTTCACTTCTCCCTCCCCGGAACAATCTCTGTAAACTAAACGCTGACAGCTCACAGCACTGCTGCCCCGGAATGGGTCCTGGCCTCTCGCCTGTTTCCTGGCTGCAGGACGGACTTGACTGGCCCCGCTGTGAGTGGCCCCTGCTCTCTGGAAGGCCCTGCCATGGGGTCCCTCCTCCAAACCCAGCCAGTGTGTGCAGGGAGGCCAGCAGCCAGGTGGTGGTCAAGGATCTGAGGTTGCCTGTCTGAGCTGGGTGCCTGGCCTGTGTCCCCAGGGAGGGCCGTCTTCCCCGCAGAGGCAGGGGTGAAACCCACACAGCTCTCTCACCAGGGCAGTAGCCGGAGAGCAGGCCCCACCCTTCTCAGGGCGGTGGTCAGGGGCAGCTGACCGGGGGCCCGAAGCCCAGAGGAGGCCCTTGCCACCCACCTGGGGCTTCTCTTCTCTACTCAGTCTTCATGGGCAGGGTTGATAGAGGGTGCGCAGATGCTCAGTTACGTGAGTTTCAGATAACAAAGTCTGAATATGGGCATCCTCATTCTAGAACATGCTTTGAAGCTGCCTGAGATTCAGACATAACTGGATGTCGCAGCCCACAGCCACTCAGGCTCCTAGCCGCCTCCTAGGCCCATCTGTGCATGTCCTCATGAAATCCAGTTTTGGCAATCCCTGCTGAGACTGCAGCAGGAACCCTGCCCTCCATATCCTGTTGCCCTCAGTGGCTGATCCGTTCCTTATCCTCCACTGTCCCCAGGGGTGGTCTGATCCCCACGGCCCACCTTCAGCAAGGATCCTGGCAGGACGCTTCGGCCAGAACCCCTCCCCTGCCGGTTCCGCCCAGTCACTCTCCATCCTCTGACCCACCTGTTCCTTGGCTGTAAACCCTCAAGGTCTGTGCTGTGTTCAGAGCTGAGCCCTGTCTTTCCTGGTCGGTGAGACCCCACTGCCCTGGTGGCTACAGCTGCTCCTGTGGTCCTGAACAGCTTGCCTTTGGGATGTCCCCGGCCTTCTCCCACACTCACCACGTCGGCTGCGTGCTCGATGAAGATCTGGCTGCCAGATGGGAGCCTCTGAAGCAGCTCTCCTGGAACGTCAGTGCGCAGCCGTGGCTGGTGGGCCATGAGCTGCTGCAGGCGCTTGTGTGGGAAGGCGTCTTCTGTGCAGATGTAGACGGCTCCTGGGAAGCCAGAGTGTCTGATGTGCCTGGGGGGCTCCAGATGGCCTGTGGCCACCACATACATCAAGTGTAGATGTCTCCCACCATTTCTAACTCTCTGCCCCTCACAGGTTCTTCCCCCTGGCCCGGGGAGGGAGGAGGCTGGTGCTGGTTCTTTCTCCCACCGGCAGCCACCTCGGAGCCAGGTGACTCCTCAGGAGGAACACAGGCTGGGCCTTCACTTCTGACACCCAGGCAAGGACTTCCCCTGTCCTGGGCCCTGGGCTAGAATGGCCACAGATGGGAGGCCTCTCCTGCCCCACCCCCTCCCTCCCCCGTGCCCATCTGTCCCCCCACCGCAGGGCAGGGAGCAAGTGGAAGGAGCAGGACAACGCCTTCTGGACATGGCCCCCGAGCCCAACATATGGCCACCCTCTAGGGCCCCACTGAGCAAGTGTTTGTTCCACTTTCAAAGCTCCTGCAGTCTGGGCTCCACGTGAACCTGTGCCATTGCTCAGCTCAAAAGGCTGGCTTAAAAGACACACGTTGGTGAGGATGTGGAGGAGGACCCTGTACGCCGCTGCTAGGAATAGGAATGTCAAATGGTGCCGCTCAGAAACCCACTGGCACTTCCTTAAAACGCTGAACACAAATCACATGACCCAGCAGTCCCACAGGCAAAGACACCCGCCGGGAGACACACATCAGCGTCTACAGCAGTGCGTTTCACGACAGCCCGAAGGGGAAACGGCCCAAATGCCATCAACTGAGGAGTGGGGACCAACAGAATTCGGCCCGTCCTTACGGTGGAGTATGATTCCGTCCCAAAGGGGAAGGCAGTTCTGACTCATGCTCCAGCACAGGTGAACCTCGAAAGCACAGTGCCAGGGAAGGAAGCCCGTTGTGAGGCCACATGCTGTTGGATTCGCTCGCATGGCGCGCCGAGGACGGGAAGAGCCACAGGTACAGAAAGGGAGGCCGCTGCTGGGGCGGGGGCTTATGCTCATGGGGAGGGGTTTCCTTTCTGGGTGAGGGAAATGCTCTGGAATTGTACAGCGGTGAGGGGCACAGAGTTTTGTGCTTCTAAAAGCCACTGAATTTTACACTTTTAGAGTGAATTTTATGGCATGTAAATTACATCTCAATTGAAAAAACAGGAATGTCTGGGGAGACTGAATGGAGGAACAATAAAACTCTAGTCTCCTGAAAAAAAAAAAAAAAAAAAAAAAAAAAAAAAAAGCCGTGAGCTCCCTAGGCACTGACTATGCCAGCCCCGGTGGTTCCTCCAGCGGCACAGCAGCTGTGGGCAGCCTGTTGGTGAGCATCCCTGTAAGCTTTCGTTCTCATCTGATTTTTTCTGACAGAATTTCAGCCACAGAGAAGAGCTGCAAAGAGAGTCAGGAGCCCTCCCGCTGTTCCGTGTCAGAATTAAGCTTCTAAGAAGCATCTGGCCCACTTGGGGCCAGGGATGTACAAATACTGCCTTGGAAGGCCACATCTCTTTTGTGGCTGCTTCCCTTCCCCACCAGTGTCCCCAGATGTGGCTGTGCCCCTAGTCAGGGGGTCACAGGCAGGTGGGGGCCTGTGCTTCCCCCGCCCTGTTGGCTGGGGAGAGGCTGGGCTGGAAGGCTGGGAAGCAGGGGGAACTGGTCAAGCAGCGTGTTTTTATTGGGGTGATGCATGAAGGGGCTGTAGAGCTGGGGACACCACGAAGCTGGCAGGTGGGTGGCTGTGGGCAGCCCAGTGGTGGGCGGGGCCCCTGAGGACCTCATGTGGCTCAAGCACAGGACTCAGAATCACTCCAGAGCCTGGCTGCCACTTTCTTTTCAAAAATTGGGCCTTTAGATTGAATCTAGGAAAAGAATGTTGTTTCCCCAGGAGAGGGCATCTTAGAGCTGATCTTGCACGTCACGTGGCCTGGGGCCTCCTCCCTGCCCCTAGCCCACAAGGCTGACGTGGTCTCTCCCGCAGTGGTCACTGGGCTGGGCATAGCTGGAGTATGCAGGGAGGGTGTCCCTGGGGCAGGGGGGAGTGTGGGCTTCAGTGAAAAAACCAACAGGATGGAGGCTCGGGGGAATCATAGCACAAATCACATTTGCACAAAGCCTGGCACTGAGGACGCTGGAGAACGAGGGCAGCTCCCGTCCCGTTCCCAGCACACTTGAGTCCTGCCTCTACCTCACAGAAACGTTTCCGTGGGATAAATGGGAGACTCACATTTTCAAGGCCAACTCCCATCCTTCTGGCTGTCTCTAGGCTCACCCCAAGACCAGCTGCAGGGACCCAGGTACCTGCCAGGAGGGCACCCTCCCCAGGGCTGCAGGGATAAAAATGAGCAGACCCCAGCCAGGTCTCTCAGGAGCCCCCTTCCAGTACACCCAACACTGAGGCTCAGCAGGCACAGCACACCCTGGGTCCTGGGGACGACGCTCACATAAGGGTGGCAGTGGAGAGATTCCCAGCCACACCACCGCTGGCAGGTCAGGCCTATGAGGAGGTGGCTGGCGGGGCCTGTGAGTCCAGGGCCTTGGGTCCTGCCCCATGTGGGAAGTGAGCCTAGCAGATGAGCTTGAAGGCTCCACTGCTGAAAAAAGCTGCCACTCTGTGTTCACATGGAGTTTAAAACAAGGAGCTACTAAGAAACACATTCCCTGTGCACAGCTCACAGCCTAAACCACATGAACTTTCTACACCCCAGAGCTCACAGCCTAAACCACATGAACTTTCTACACCCCACAGCTCACAGCCTAAACCACATGAACTTTCTACACCCCACAGCTCACAGCCTAAACCACATGAACTTTCTACACCCCACAGCTCACAGCCTAAACCACATGAACTTTCTACACCCCAGAGCTCACAGCCTAAACCACATGAACTTTCTACACCCCAGAGCTCACAGCCTAAACCCACATGAACTTTCTACACCCCACAGCTCACAGCCTAAACCACATGAACTTTCTACACCCCAGAGCTCACAGCCTAAACCACATGAACTTTCTACACCCCACAGCTCACAGCCTAAACCACATGAACTTTCTACACCCCACAGCTCACAGCCTAAACCCACATGAACTTTCTACACCCCAGAGCTCACAGCCTAAACCCACATGAACTTTCTACACCCCAGAGCTCACAGCCTAAACCACATGAACTTTCTACACCCCACAGCTCACAGCCTAAACCACATGAATTTTCTACACCCCAGAGCTCACAGCCTAAACCCACATGAACTTTCTACACCCCAGAGCTCACAGCCTAAACCACATGAACTTTCTACACCCCAGAGCTCACAGCCTAAACCACATGAACTTTCTACACCCCAGAGCTCACAGCCTAAACCACATGAACTTTCTACACCCCAGAGCTCACAGCCTAAACCACATGAACTTTCTATACCCCAGAGACCCAAGCAGGCACACTCTGAATGCTTCAGTCCAATGCAGGGAACCCTCGTTCCACAGACAGACGTACAGGCTCATGGGGCTGCACCAGGAGCACCCGGGAGAAGGGCCATGCTGCCCTCCCTGTGCTGCTGGCTCTGTGGACCCCACGCCTGGCAGCTGTGCTCAACCAGCGACCCCTGGGGGCCTAGCTCTGCTGAGGGCCGGCTGCAGGCGCCTGGCAGTGGGGTTCCTACCCCCTCACCCCTCCTGCTGTCAGCCAAGCTCAGCCTCACTTCCCCCTCCCTGTTCTGGAAGGAGCGATGGCAAACAGGACGGGAAGGAGGGAGACGCAATGGTAGGAATTCCCAACCTCAACGGAAAGCTCTCCCACACAAAGCAGGGGCCCCCCCACCTGCCCAGACCCCAGGGAAGGGGTGGCCGCTCACCAGACTCTAGGCCTCCATGCTGCCGTGGGAACTGCACGGCCAGGCAGAGCTGCAGCGCCAGCTGGGTCTTTCCTGCCGAACTGCGTCCAGCTAGCTCGGTGATGCCATCCAGGGGCAGGCCACCACGGAGAAGCGCGTCCAGTACCGGGCAGCCGAGGCTCAGGCGCTGATGCTGTGCGGGGAACTGCTCCTTTTGCTGGTGCAGGTGTAGTGCTGCAGGGCAGGGGTGGCATCAGGCCTGGCTCTCCTGGGCCTGCGGGCAGGGCTGGGGACCTCGGGAGGCACGAGCAGCCTGCCTGTGCCAGGCGCAGCGTGGCTGGAGCACAGGTGCCTGTGGTCACCAGGGGTGGGCAGGGTGCTGAGGGCAGGGAGGGGTAGCCTGGCCGGGAAGGAAAAGTGGACTTGAGCTGCAGAGTCGGGGAATCCCCAGGGCCACCATCACACGCCTCCAGGGATCCCCTCACTGGGCGACTGCGGCACCAGGCGCCTTCCGCCAGTTTCCAGAGAGGCCCAAGGCGCCCCCTAACAACCTCCGCCGAAAGAAAAAGGCACAGCTCTGTCCAGCTGGGTGCCCTGGGTGCTGAGCAGTCTGAAGGCCTTGATGGGCTCCCGCATGTGCACAGTGCACACCTCGTGCCGTCAGTGTTCTGTGACAGATGCCACTCCAAAACAGTGCTGGTCACAATTTCTTGGCTAAAGGACCTTGGGTGAGCCATTCGACAGCCAGGCTCCTCAGGGTGAGGCTCAAGGTGGGACATGCTGTGCAGTCCGTGCTCGTGGCTTGGGGCCTGGGCTGGGAGGAGCAGCCCATCTCTGCAAACCACCCTGAGCGCCCTGGCCGGGTAGGGCAGGCCACCATGACTGTGAGTCCTGCCCAGAGGCCTGCCCACAGCACCGTGTGTGTGGCTGTGGCACATGCCCACTGTGGCAGACCCCGGTTCAGCGTCTTCCCTAGGGCCTGGGCCCACAGAGCCACCTGCAGGGGAGGCAGGACCCCACTGCCCACTGGGGCCTGCTCAGAGGTAGGGATGGAAACCTTGTCTGGTCAGGTACATGGGGTTTGCTGGGCACCTCCCTCCCCTGCTGAGACCTGGTTTCCCAAATGTGGTGGTGGGACCTCGGCCAGGGCCTCACAGCACACTATTCCCACCCTGCTAGGCCCTGAGGGGCTCTGGGTGCTGACTACCAACTCCACCCCTGCTTCCTGCATCCCCCTCCTCTGGCCCAAGGAGCAAGGTCCCCCAGGAGGCCCCACAGCCCTTCCGTGTCCATCCCATCCATCTTCTGACCTGATGCTGTGACCACAGCCCTGTGGGTGTAAGAGAAATGAGGTGGGAACTCTGGGGCTGGAGCAGCTGCCACACACCCCAAGGCTGGTCCTGGTGGAGTCTGCACAGCCCCATGCCTTGCAGCACAGGGACTGAGATGTTGGAGTCATATGTCACCCCCGCAGAGATGCCAGGACCCACCTACCTGTAAGAATGCTGCTTCCCCGCAGGTGTAAGGAGGCTGTTCTCAGCAAGTGCCAGACCTCGGGGCTGGAGAGGTTGGTCAGTCTCTTCAAGTCTGGTCCAGAAAAGTGCAAAACCTCTTTTACCGATTTCAGTTTGGCTGCAATGACACAGATAAATTACAGGAAAACATCAGACTGTAATAACACTCAGAAACATGGAGACGAAAGCTGCTTTTAAGAGCGCTGTGAGAACATTGTGCTTCCGATTCTGGGGGCAAGGTGGGTAGGGACCGGACCCCCTGCTCCCTGGAAACCCTGGACAGAGTGTGGCTGACCCACAGGCAAGAGGAAAGGGCTGCTGTGCCCTGCGCCCTGAGTCTTGGCACTCGGGCAGGTGCCAGCCTCACATGAGCTGGAAGAGAAGCCAGAAGACGGGGATGGGCAGGTCTCAGGTGCTGAGAAGAAGCAACAGGGTCCCAGTTCCATGCCAGCTGGAGACAGTGCTCCAGAAAGGGGCAGCTAAGAACCAACACCAAGGTCCACCACCCACCCGCCAAGCACGGATCCAGGCTGAGCTGCAGGAGAGAACACGTGCAGGGCAGAGGAGGGGCGCACAATGCTGGGAGGGAAGCAGAGCCCAGGTCCAAACACCAGCAGGGCAGTCAGGGCAGGGGGGCAGAGTGTGTGCAAATCAGAAGGGCAGTGGCAGCAGTTACAGAAGCGCAGATCCCCATGACCTGCTGTTTTGGGAGAAAAGAATTTAACTTTGGACGTGGGTAAGTACTTCACTTTGTACTTTCAAACTCGTAGAAAGAAGGCAAATGCTGCAGACCGATTAGACGACCAGGGAAGTGCAAGAGAGGAAGCGCACGCGAGAGGAAGCAGTGGCCAATCAGGAAGCACAAGAGAGGAAGCGCACACGAGAGGAAGCAGTGGCCAATCAGGAAGCGCAAGAGAGGAAGCAGTGGCCAATCAGGAAGTGCAAGAGAGGAAGCAGTGACCAATCAGGAAGCGCAAGAGGAAGCAGTGGCCAATCAGGAAGTGCAAGAGAGGAAGCAGTGGCCAATCAGGAAGCTCAAGAGAGGATGTCCACGCGAGAGGACGCAGTGGCCAATCCAGGAAGCGCAAGAGAGGATGCACACGTGAGAGGAAGCAGTGGCCAATCAGGAAGCGCATGTGAGAGGAAGCAGTGGCCAATCAGAAAGCGCAAGAGAGGAAGCGCACGCGAGAGGACACAGTGGCCAATCAAGGAAGCGCAAGAGAGGATGCACACGTGAGAGGAAGCAGTGGCCAATCAGGAAGCGCATGTGAGAGGAAACAGTGGCCAATCAGAAAGCGCGAGAGGAGGCGCACGCAAGAGGACGCAGTGGCCAATCAAGGAAGCGCAAGAGAGGATGCACCCGCGAGAGGAAGCAGTGGCCAATCAGGAAGCGCAAGAGAGGAAGCGCACGGGAGAGGAAGCAGTGGTGGAGGAAGGGCTCGGTCTAGCCACAGAGACTCAAACCTGCTGCATCAGAACCTCCCTCAACACGTGTGTGCTGAAAGCTGCAGTGAAATGACAACCATCAAGCTGGAAAACAGTAATCACTGGTGTGATTTTTTGGAAAGGCCACACAGAAAACTCAAGGAGATGGAAAGGTGGGAATGAAGAAAGCACCCCTAGGTCTTGCCAGATCCAGCGGAGCAGGCTCCACGCAGACAGCCTGCTCTAGAGGGCTCTGTATAGCCCTGCGGACTGGCAGGGATTGGGGCTGTGTGGGGATGGCTCCCCCTGGTAAGCCTCACGGCCCCAGCTCCCTTCACAGCTGCCAAGTCTGCAGGGACTTCTGGAAACACTCATTTCTGGATAAGAGACACGGGTGAGAAAGGAAGTCCCTGGCTGAGCCCATTCCCCTTTTCTGTCCCTGGACTGCAAGCTCTTGCGGCCGTTCTGTGATCACAAGGCCAACAGCCTTGTGGTGTTGGATAAAAACCAACAGCCAAGGATGGAGGACAGTGAGGCCCTGCCCTGTCGCCAAGCCCCTGCAGAGGCTCCGCGTGCACTCCGGCTTCTCACCTGGGAGATGGGGAAGATGGAGGATGGAAGGGGTATTCTGGATGACAGCTGCGCCGCAGGCATGGGGAGCAGGGGTTGGGGGCTGCCAGTGGGGCCTGAGCTTTGAGCATTTACTAACTCAGGGGAAAAAGATGTTGTAAGAAAGAAAACGACCCCCACCCCCTGCACCACTACACCAGGCTCAACAATGGCCAGTATCGCCCAATCACAACCCCGACAGCCGATCTCACCCAAACTAAGTTCTAACTATGTGCAGGGAGCTGGGGTACATGGGGTGTAGGCAGGCTCAATTCTCACCACCCCCAAAAGGAAGACCCTGGGTAACCAATAACACAGACAAATCAAACACTGCAACAGAAACACATTTAGGAGCCCAGGTGGAAATATTTAAAAAAAAATAACTAAAAGATTTATATGTGGCTCCATTTCACTTTTCAGACAAGATGCGGGTGTTACTTAGATAAAAATAAAATTAACGGCAAGAAGTCCGTGCAGTTAAGAAAACACACACACACACACACACACACACCCGAACACCCCATAGCACATCCCAGCCTTGGTTTAATATCAGGGAGGCAAAGGGAGGCAGCCTCAGGCTTAGAGACCAGCCCTTTGTGAACTTGCCTTCTTTAAAGTGCACACGGCCCCCCCCCCCCCCGCCCTTTACATCACAAACCGACTTTATACAAATAGAAATAAACATACCTTTCTTAACTGCGGCAATAATTCTGGGATTCAGGTCCAGTAGGTCCAAATCCATTCTGTCGGTGGGCTGACCACTAGGGTGAGTAACTTCGCAGGAAAGACAGAGCAATGGACGCACGTTTGGAGGCACGTGGGAGGCGCGCAGCAGGGGAGTGACAGCGGCCGTGGTGTCTGTGAGTATCTGTCACTGCGGGTGGAGGAGAGACTTCACCATACAGGGAATGCTGTCTAGCTATGATGAGGCAACACGTCTGTAATTTACCTCTAAGAATTTTTTGGTAGCTTAGAACCCATTCCAGACACTGACGCATTTGAAAAATCCCCCAAGCCCGCCACATTCACCCCATGTGGAAAGTGCTAGAATCAAAGCCATCCTCCTGCGGCAGGTGAGTGCCCGCCCACCGTGACCCATACGTTTCCGCTGGTGTGACTGAGGCATCTCTTGCATTCTGCAGTTGAATTTCCCTTAAGTGTGTCTCTGGGGACTCTGGAAAGAGTGGGAAGGTGAGTCTGGGATTTGCAGGGTGCAAATCCGGGTGAATCTGAACGCCGGTGACCCCCAGCTCTCTCAGCAGCCAACAGCAGAAGACAGCAGCTTCCTTCTGGGCTGGAGGAAGGCCCTGTGGACCCCACCCAGCCTCTACCAGGAAGGGAGCTGGCAGCCCTTCCACAGCCCGAGCCCAGCCCAGCGAGGGAGAAGCTCGGCTCTTTTCCCCTCTGGTCTCGGGGTGGGCTGCTCAGGGACTCGGCCTGGGGTCACACAAGACCTTTCCGACAGGCCACTCTGCATCCCGTCAGCCTCCCAAATGGTAAGACCAAGAGTGTCCAGGGCACTGGGAAATGGGAAGGCAGCAGCTTTGAGGGTCGGGTCCAGGGTCCATGTCCTCCAGTGAGGTCTGGCGCGGCGGCCTCGGCCGAAATCCAGCAGAGGAAAGGGCGGGCCTCGGACTTGGAGAAGGGTTTTCCTTGAACCACACAGAATGTGGCACTGGCCTGTACGCGATCACGCTGGTCACTCAGCCCATGCTAGCCTGCTCAGAGACAGGCACTGGAGAATGGACTGTGGGGGCGGCAGGCTGGGGCACCCCCAGGCACCCTTGAGGCGGGCAGGGCAGGGAAGCTGGTGCTACCAGGCTCCGGGGCCCCACGGCCTGTGGGTTTTCTGAACCACAGAAAAGTGCCCAGGCCTGACTGCCCAGGCAGCCTGATGGGAACTGGCCAGGAGCCACCCTGGAGGGCCAGGCGCAGGCCAAGGCCTGGCAGTGGGGTGCTGGACCAGCTCAAAGCTGCTGGCAGAGCGGGCCGGAGTGAGGAAGTTAGGTTCCCGGGCACAGAAGGCAAATAAAGAAATGCCACCTCCAGAGAAAGCAGTGTGCTGTGAAAGATGTGGCCTCCCTGGCTGGGGAAGATCGTTTTCAGAACATGGCACCCTCCAAGCCCTGAGAACAGGGGAGTATGAACCTCGGGGCTGGTAGGACCCCCACACCAGAGCCACCACCCAAACACAGCCCGAGAGCCAGCATGCATCTGCACTGGAGGGACAGTTCCCTGAGCAGGTGTGACCGTCACAGACAGGCCGGGTCTGGGGGCTGTGAGGAGGCTGCTGCCCAGGGCTGGATCTGGATATGCAACTCCGCTGTGCCAAGCAGCAGGACATGCACGAGCACCGGGAAGGCCAGCGCATGGCTGCAGCGTCTCCGGCCTCTGCAACACGGGCCAAGCGCCTGGAAGCAGAGTGCCCACTGACAGGTAACAGGCTCCCTGCTTGGCAATGGCAGCCCGACTCCTGAGCTCCTCCTGGGTGCTGTGCACATCCTGGTGAGAACCTGATTTAACAGGCCTGGCTCAGTCAGTTTAGCAAGGACCTCCTTCCCTGTGTCCCATCGCCCTTGACAGCTGATGGAGCTCCTCATCTTCCACTGTCCCCAGGGCAGCAGGTCAGTTTAAGCTGAATCCCCTTCACCCCTGAGGGTTCCTCTTCACAGCCTTCACTCCTCTACCTCGCCCTGTCCTGGAGCTGTAAGCCCCCAGCCCACGCCCTGTCCAGAGCTGAGCGCAGCCTCATTCCTGGACCTGTAAGCCCCCAGCCCACGCCCTGTCCAGAGCTGGGCCCGGCCTCCTTCCTGGACCTGTAAGCCCCCAGCCCACGCCCTGTCCAGAGCTGGGCCCGGCCTCCTTCCTGGAGCTGTAAGCCCCCAGCCCACGCCCTGTCCAGAGCTGGGCCCGGCCTCCTTCCTGGAGCTGTAAGCCCCCAGCCCACGCCCTGTCCAGAGCTGAGCCCGGCCTCCTTTCTGGAGCTGTAAGCCCCCAGCCCACGCCCTGTCCAGAGCTGAGCCGGGCCTCCTTCCTGGGCCTGTAAGCCCCCAGCCCACGCCCTGCCCAGAGCTGAGCCCGGCCTCCTTCCTGGAGCTGTAAGCCCCCAGCCCACGCCCTGTCCAGAGCTGAGCCCGGCCTCCTTCCTGGAGCTGTAAGCCCCCAGCCCACGCCCTGTCCAGAGCTGGGCCCGGCCTCCTTCCTGGAGCTGTAAGCCCCCAGCCCACGCCCTGCCCAGAGCTGGGCCCGGCCTCCTTCCTGGAGCTGTAAGCCCCCAGCCCACGCCCTGCCCAGAGCTGGGCCCGGCCTCCTTCCTGGAGCTGTAAGCCCCCAGCCCACGCCCTGCCCAGAGCTGGGCCCGGCCTCCTTCCTGGAGCTGTAAGCCCCCAGCACACGCCCTGCCCAGAGCTGGGCCCGGCCTCCTTCCCACTGCAACATCCTGGTGTAGTGGTTCCTACAGCTCCCAGTTTCTGAACGAGACCATGGTCTGCCTGCCGTGCTTTTGCAAGTATCCTGGAATATTTTCCATTTACCACCAAGCAGCTGCTATGTCCGACACTGGCCCGGAAGCTCCACAGACAGCCCCATGCATGCCTCTGTCCTCCCTCCTCTGCAAGGGGCAGGGGCGTGACCAGCCCGTCCCTCCACCAGGGTGAAGGCCACACACCGGGAGCTGCCTCGGTAGGCAAGGGTCAGGCCCAACACAGACCGGTGCCTCTTCTGGCAGCACCCAAGCTGAGCCACGGCTTCGGGAAAGAGCTGCTGTCAGGCGCGGCTAGGTGAGTGTGGCCGGTCACACCAGAGCTGTCAGGCTCACAAGCCAGACTCCGGACGTGCTGTGGTCATGGCCTGGAGCTGCTCCCACCCTTCCAAGGTGGACTCCCTCCTCTGCCCCAGGCCTGGGACCTGCTGTGTGGCTTTGAAGTAATTCCTAGCACTCACATAGTCTGATGTTTTGGGGTGAACTCACCCTCGTGCAAGAGCCGATGTCTCATCAGACCACATCTGTGAGGTCTCAAGTGGAAATGCCACTTAAACCTCAGACACTCCCTTATGTGAGTTACTGACCTTACCTCCTGGACTGCAAAAATACAGACCAACGTGAAGGTTGGGCAGAGGCTCTGCTGGCCAGGGAGCTGGTCCTCTGTCCCAGCCTCTCAGGGAGCTGCTGCGCTCCCGCTCTCTGTGACTATTAAGGCACACCTCAAACTCTAACCAGACCTCATCTTCCAGAGGCCTGCTCCATCACAGTGGAGCGACTCACCTCTGCCCATCCTGGCCCTCGCCCACGGAGCGCCTACTTCCCTGCCAGGAGTCTTCACCTCCTCCTCTTGCCTCCTCTGAGCACTGTGACCGAGAAACAAATTCTCTTTGACGGTAAACCATGCAATTTGTGGAATCATACTTTGACCATCTCCTTATTTCCTTCACACACAAGGACCCTGGCACTGCCAATGCCCAAGGGGGAGGGCAGAGTCAGCCACACGGACCCCACTTCTGAGGCTTCAACGCTGCTCAACTGCTGATGCCAGTCATCCCAGCACCCTGGGAGACCGAGGCGGCGGGTTGCTTGAGCCCAGGAGCTCGAGACCAGCCTGGGCAACACAGCGAGACCCCTTCTCTACTAAAAAGAAAAAAATAGCCGAGAACCGTGGGGGCACCTGCGGTCCCAGCTACTTGGGAGCCCAGGAGGTCAAGGCTGCACTGAGTGCCACTGCACTCCAGCCTGGGCGACAGAGCGAGACCCTGTTTCAAACAATAAAAATTCACGCCTTGTAATAAGAAATTAAAGGCAGGATAAACAAAGTCCCCCACCCTTTTGAGACGGAGTCTCCCTCTGTAGCCAAGGCTACAGGGCACGATAGATCTCGGCTCACCGCAACCTCCGCCTCCCAGGTCCCGGATCAAGCAATTCTCCTGCCTCAGCCTCCCAAGTAGCTGGGATTACAGGCAAGTGTCACCACGCCCAGCTAATTTTTGTATTTTTAGTAGAGACGGGGTTTCACCATGTTGGCCAGGCTGGTCTTGAACTTCTGACCTCGTGATCTGCCTGCCTCAGCCTCCCAGTGTTGGGATTACAGGCGTGAGCCACCGCGCCCGGCCTAAAGATTTTCTTTCCAAACGAAACCATTAAATAACTGTGTTCAGACATCTCCCACCTCGATGCCAGGCCAGCGCGGTCCCAGGCAGGCAAGCGAAGGCGCCCAAGGCCGGGGGCGCAGCCGCGGGCACACCTCGGCCTTCCGCCGTTCCGGGGACCCCCGAGCCCGCCTTCTCCAGGGAGGCGCCCTAACGCGACCCGGGCTGCAGCCTCAGGCCCTCCTGCTCCAACCAGCTCGGGCAGTGGAGACCCGCGGCCGCCCCTGCTCCTCGACCCTGCCACACCCCTCACGCCCGCGGCGACCAACGGTGTCCGACCCCACCGCCGCCCGGCCCCGCAGCTTGGCTCAGCGAGTCTCACCTACTGCGGGCCCCGCTCTCTTCTTCGCGCCGTCCCGCCCCTCTCAGCCTCCTCCTCCAATAGGCGCCGGAAGCCCTGAGAGGGCTACACCAATCAGAGACGAAGCGACACCGACGTGACTGAATAACTAGCCAATCCAAAGTCTCAATCCCACCGAGGTGGGCGGAGCATGCCCGGGCCAGCCCTCACCGCCGATTGGTCACCGACCGCAAGGTGGCAGGGGCGGTGCCCTTATGCGATAGGAGAGGGGGCGGAGTTCGAATTCCGATTGGTCCGCGCTCCGTGGCGGGCTTGGCGATTGGACGCCGGCGCTGTCAGCCGCGCGCGGGCCGGGGCGGGGCGGGCGGTGCCCCCGAGCTGGGCGAGGGGCCGTGTGCGGGGCCTCGGGCCGAGAGGTTGAGGCGGCGTCATGTCCTCCGAAGTGTCCGCGCGCCGCGACGCCAAGAAGCTGGTGCGTTCCCCCAGCGGCCTGCGCATGGTGCCCGAGCACCGCGCCTTCGGAAGCCCGTTCGGCCTGGAGGAGCCGCAGTGGGTCCCGGACAAAGAGGTGGGTGGCCGCCGACCCAGCCCGCGTCTCGGACCCGGCCCGCAGCCCTTGACCGGCCCCGCGGACTCCCAGGCTCCCGCGGCGCCCCCTCCGCCTCCGGGCGGCGCCTTCCCCAGCAGGCCCCCGCCTGGCGCTCCCCCAGGCTGGCCGCATTCCGGGGCCTCCGCCTCAGGCTCCTGCGCCCGCGGGGAGGTTGGGAGGCGCACGGGGTGTCGGTGCGGGGGTCCCGGTGCGAAGGTCCAGGGAGGGCGGGAGGGCCTGCACCTGCTCAGGGCGGGCGCCGGGAGGCGGGGTGCGGGGCTCCGGGCGCGGGCTGGCCCCGGGGGTCGGTTCGTGCTGGGCTAGCGGGTGTGGACTTCGTCCCGAGAGCCGGGGCTCGCTCCGGAGAAAGTGGAAGGCAGCGCGCGTTCCTCGCAAGCTCGGCGGGGAAGGCGCTTGTGGTCCGCGGAAGCGCTGGAGCCGGCGGCCCTGCAGGGGTCCCGCCCGGGAACCGGGAGAGGCGTCGGTGCCGCGGGCGGGTGCTGGGTTCCGAAGCCGCCTCCTGCTCAGAAGCCGGGCGGGGAGGAGAGCCAGGACCCACCCTGTGGGCCAGGCTGCCTCCCTTTCCCCTTCGTCTACACCGCCCTCCGCCTCGGAAGCGAGGCTGCAGTCGCCCACTGGAGAGTTTGGAGACCGCAGGTCTGCACCCGCTTCCCAGCGGCCCGGGCAGCGTGGGAGTTGCCCGAGTCACTCCTGCAGAAGTTGGGGCGTGGACGTGAGGTCCCTGAGCCAGCCAGGCCATCCCCTGGGGGTCCCATGGGGTTCCCCTTGACCTGATGGGAGGTGCCTTTGCCTCACCCCAGCTCCTCGGCCAGCTAGGAAGGCCTCGAGTGCATTTACTCTCCCTGGCTGTGCACTAACAAGTCTGTCCAGCTTATATTCTGCGGATTTTACCAGGATAAAAACTCTGAGAGAAAACTTTTGTAATATGACTTTCTTTTTTTTTTTTTGAGACGGTCTCACTCTGTCTCCCAGGCTGGAGTGCAGTGGCACGATCTTGGCTCACTGCAACCTCCGCCTCCCAGGTTCAGGCCATTCTCCTGCCTCAGCCTCCTGAGTGGCTTCGATTACAGGCGCGCACCACCACACCCAGCTAATTTTTTTGTATTTTTAGTAGAGACGAGGTTTCACCATGTCGGTCAGGCTGGTCTCGAACTCCTGACCTCGTGATCCACCCTCCTTGGCCGCCCAAAGTGCTGGGATTACAGGTGTGAGCCACCTCGCCCGGCCTGTAACAGGACTTTCATACTTAACGCATGTTACAGATTCGTTTAATTCCCTCAGTGAGAGAACTAAGCAAATGTTGGAACCGGATTTAGGAAGTCAGAGCAGCACGAGTTGACCTGGGTTCCTTGAAGCTGGAACGGAGGCCTGGCGGGGAGGGCTGCCGCGGAGCCTCTGGGACAGGACAGAATTCCAGTGGCTGTGTGGAAGTGTGTCAGCGTCTACAGTGTACGGAGCCTTCCCCTGTCACCGAGGGGGTCCTGACGAGTCCAGTCCCCGGTATCGCCACCCTATGGAGTTTTTTAGACACTTTGCTCCAGTCATTCTCCTGTGACGTGTTTTTTAAAATGTTTTTTTTTTTTTTTTTTTTTTTCTTTTGAGATGGGGCGGTTTCACCATGTTTGTCAGGCTGGTCTTGAACTCCAGACCTCAGGTGATCCGCCTGCCTCAGCCTCCCAGAGTGTTGGGATTACAGGCGTAAGCCACTGCACCCGACCAAAATGTTTTTTTTTTTTTTTAATTTTTTTCTTTTTCCCCCACCACCCCCAAAATGTATTTTTAAATTGACAAGTGAAAGTCGTATGTATTTGTGGCGCTCACCCATGAGCTCTTAATGGCACAGAAATACTCCCCAGCTGTATGAACCGTGTGGGGCATGTGAGAGAGCGTGGCCAAGATGAGGCAGGGGTTCCCACTGAGGCAGTTTCTTTCTCCATAGCCTCCACCAGTGCTGATTTTAGGTTCTGGTTTTTAGTTACCTCTGTGTTCCCTCCTTCATTCCTCTTCCAGACCCTTCTGCCATCAGCTGAATTGTTTAGCACTTTTCCCCGGCCTTTCTTCGTGGCCTCTGTGGAGGTGCTGCGTGGAAGTCCCGCGGTGACTTCCTGCCCAGTGGAGTTGAAACACCTGAGTCAGGTGGCGCCCCTCCTGGAAGAGAAGATTCATTCCCACCTGTGGCGGCAGGATGTCTCTCCAGAGCCCCCCGCCCCCACCGTGTCTGGATGACGAATGGGGTTTTGAGCAGCCGAGGAAGGCCCTAGCGTTGGGTGGGCGTGGGGGACGGGAGGAACCATTCTAGTGAGTTGGACTTTGAGTTTTGTGTTTTGAATTTTATTGGAGCGTGGTCTTAGAGCCCAGAAGTGACCAAAGACAGTGTCCGGGGGGAGGAGAACGGGGCAGTGAGGACTGGAAGATGTGGAGAGGGCTCGAGGGAAACCGTAACTGTGACAGCCGCCGGCACGTGGCGGCGCTGCAGGGACACTGAGCTGCACTTCGTGGGCTGTGTGCTTGCGGCCACTGGGGTGATTGTGGGGAGGTGACTGAAATGTGCACATAACCAGGTGTGGAAAATAGGTTTATTTGCGATGGTTCGAAATGGGCAGAGGACAATTCGGTAGAACATGGCAGGTGGGTAATACTGTCCTTGGCTTGGTGGCTGTGTGCCAGCTGGCTTCATCGTCATCTGTAAACGTGTTGGTCCGTTTTCATTCTGGCTCTGTCCTCAGCCTGGGGAGTGTGAGTTCAGCCCATCGCACTGCTCCTGAATACCAGGTGCCTGACCTGGGCCGTTTTATCAGTTGGGGATCATGAGGGTTATCCCGTTAAAACGCTGCAGAAAGCCCCTGGGGAATGTGCGCACACATGCGCCTTTCTCAGAGGCGGCCTGCAGCTCTCACATTCTCAGGGAGCTCTGCTGCAGAGCCAGCTGAGAGTCGTTTCTCCAGTCGGGGCCTCCTCCGGAACCTTCGGGGCAGCGGAGGCAGACGCGGTGTGTAAAGCTTCGTGCGACACCAGTTTGAATAGAGGTGCTTTGGGGGCGTGAAGGAAACCTCAGATGATCTCTGGGGCTTGTCTGACTCTGCAAGGTAGTGGGCTTGGGGGTGGGCGGTCCGGGCGTGCAGCCATCTGGGCTTGTCACAAGCAGCTGAGATCCTGAATCTTATCCTTGAAATCGTTGCCGCTGTGCCCCCTCCTACCTCCCATCTGAGGTGCTGGCAGAAGCAGTGACCACAGTGCCATGCTGGCAGGTTGACACTTGGATATTCTAGATTCAGAACCGGGGAGGAGAGAGCACGTTGGTGTCTGATCACGAGCCCGGACTCGGGTGGGGAGAGAGCTGAAGTGAGGACTGTTACTGAGGAGAGGCGGCCGGGGCTGTGCAGCAGGGAGAACGGGGACCCCGAGTTCTGCGAGGGTCTCAGGCCGGGCAGGGCTTCTCTTTTGCAGGGAGGCTTGGCCAAGGCTGGCAGTAATCAAGATGGGGAGGTGGGTGGGACAGTGGGCGCCAGGGCCTCCAGCACATCAGAGAGCTGAGGTCAGAATACACAACTTAGCCGGGCACAGTGGTGGGCGCCTGTAATTCCAGCTACTCGGGAGACTGAGGCAGGAGAATCACCTGAACCCAGGAGGCAGAGGTTGCAGTGAGCCGAGATCATGCCGCTGCACACCAGCCTGAGTGACCGAGTGAGACTCCGTCTCAAAATAAATATATAAATAAAAACACAAAAAGCAGTCGGGCGTGGTAGCGCACACCTGTATCCCAGTTACTCGGGAGGCTGAGGCAGGAGAATCACTTGAACTGGGAGGAGGAGGTTACGGTGAGATTGTGCCAGTGCACTTCAGCCTGGGCAACGGAGTGAGACTCTGTCTCAAAAAAAAAAGTCCAGGTAAGGAAATTGTGTTCTAGTTGATAATGGGGAGAAATGGCCGGTGTTTTCTGGGGCAGAGAATGGGAATTTGGAGGGCCTTGTTTCGGGTAAACAAGGGGTGCACCTGTGATCTCTGGCTTGTTTGGGGAGGGTGGTTCTCGGCAGAAGGCTTTCCCAGCACACTGTGGGGTGGGGGGCTTTCATAATTGTTTTCCAGGATCACAGGGCTTGGATAAAGCTCACTTTGTGAAGTGCCAGGGGCTGCCAGAGCCTGCGCAGCCTCATGGGACACTGCGAGCTTCTCAAGGGTCCCTGAGGCTGGCTAAGGACGTTTTCTTTTTTAGAGACAGGGTGTTGCTCTGTTGCCCAGGCTGTAGAGCTTTTACTGATATTAGGAAACACTGAGACTCTGAGGCAACAAAACGGGGTTCCTGGGCGTCCTGTGGGAGGTGAGGCCACCTTTAGCGTAGCCCTCCCGGCACGCGGTCAGTGCCTGCACCTGTCACTAGCCTCGAACTGCCTGGCAGCTGAAAATTCTAGAAAACTGATGGTAATGCACATGTTTGCAGTCCCTGAGATGCAGGTAGATTTCGTCCCTCAGAGGTGAGGTGAAATTGAAGTCCTCTTTCACACCCCACGGTGGGGCCCTGTGAGAGGAGCCATCTATTGTCAAACTCATGTCTTCCCTCCTCACGGCTTGTGTCCATGTCTGCTCTTTGGATTCTCCTTTGAACTGGGTTTTTAATCTTACTGGTTCTGTCATTTACTAATAAGTTAAATCTTTGACATGGGTCCATTTTCTATTTGTAGGAGTTACGCTCTTACCCTTTAAAAATGATTCTTTCAATAAAGGTCTACTGATACATGTATTTAAATTGTTTTTTGGCCGGGTGCGGTGGCTCACGCCTGTAATCCCAACACTTTGGGAGGCCGAGGTGGGTGGATCACCTGAGGTCAGGAGTTCAAGACCAGCCTGGCCATCATGGTGAAACCTCATCTTTAAAAAATAATAAAAATAAATAAATAAATTGTTTTTTGATTGACGAATTCTGGGGGGGGTCTGAGAAGTTGTTCACCATGGGAGCCTGCCCACCAGCTGGTGGGTGACGTTTCTCACAGTGGTGTGGGAGCTCAGAGTGCGTGGTGGGGCCTCACTGTCCTTTGTCACCCCAGCCTCAAGGGGAGGGCAGGCATATGTCCTGAAACTCTGTTCTTTTTATGGTAACTTTTTCTGAGCATCCGTTTAAGCTACCTCAACTATACTTGGAGATGATACTGACCTTGAGGATGGAGGCACTTTTGGCTTCCTGCGTGCTGTGAAGTCCCCTCTTTCGGGGTGGCCGGGTGCTGGTTCTGAGGAGCTGCTCTGTTGCGGGACAGTGGGCCAGCGGGTCTCCACCTGCAGGTCTCTGAGGAGCTCTGTGCTGGTCTGTGCTCCCACTGGAGGGAGGATGGGTTTTGGGATTTCTTTTGTTTGAGACAAGTCTCACCGTGTCGCCCAGGCTGGAGTGCAGTGGTGCGATCTTGGCTCACTTCACCGCTCAACTCCCAGGTTCAAGTGATTCTCCTGCCTCAACCTCCCAAGGAGCTGGGACCACAGGCGCCCATCACCACGCCCAGCTGATTCTTAGATTTTGTAGAGACGGGGTCGTGTTATGTTGCTCAGACTGGTCTGGAACTCCTGGGCTCAAGCAGTCCTCCCACCTCAGCCTCTGGAGGTACCGGGATTACAGGTGTGGCCACCACACCTGTCCCGGTTTCTTCTTATATTGCTCATGGCCATCTTGCTTACCAATGGGAAGCTTAGTTTATGGCATCTGCCTAGACTGCCTCCGAAGGTGTCATCTGGCAGGGTGGGTGTGAGTCAGCTGTTGGTTTACTGGGCCAGCAAGGAGGAGACAAGCGCCCAGGGCTCCGACTCCCGTAGGCAGCCAGGGGAAGCGTGTTCTGAAATTCCGGTGGGAGCTGTCGGCGTGTGCCTGCCCCGGTCCTCACTCCCTCTGAGCCCCACTTCCCTTGGGCAGCTCCTGTGTTCATTCAGCTCCCCCCAGCCTATGCTGGGCCCTGCAGGGTGGCCACGGAGGCATCCTATGGAAGTGAGTGCCAGGTTCCCAGAGAGGCCTGGGCCGAGGCTGCCTCTGTGACGCCGCTGCACAGGCAGAGAGAGCCCCTGGAGAGCATTTGGGTCCCACCGTCCATCCCGGGGAGCAGTGTCAGCCCTTAGCGGGCTTATCTGCCTGGTCTAGGCAAGAGGGTCCAGCAGCAGGTGGGGCACTGCCTGAGCTTACCCTGCCTCACTCTCCTTCTCCGTCTCTGTGTGTCACAGCCTGCACCTCTGGCCTCGTGGCCCTCACTGGGCACCTTTGTTATTTATTTATTCATTTTCTCACTAAACATCTCGAGGCCTTTTTAATTGGGTTGTTCTTGGGGCTTTTAGTTTCCCCTGCAAATGTGCTGGCTTGAAAGTCTGCCCCAGCCCACCCCGGTGGTGACACATGTATACCTGGGACGTGATGCAGACTGAGAGGCTGGCATTCCAGACACTGCAGGCCATGTACGGTGAAAACGGATGAATCACACTTGGTTTCTGGGCTTTGGTATATTCTCCCTAGTTCCTAAAATAGCTGCTTCACTGAACATCAGAGCTGTCGGGTCCAATTAAAGGAGGCACTGGTGGGAGCCTGGTGTGGTGTCCGGCTTGCGTGCCTGCTCTTCCTTTGCGGGGCATGCTTACTGACAGGGTGGGTATTTGGCAGGCTGGTCTCGATCTCTTGACCTCGTGATCCGCTCGCCTCAGCCTCCCAGAGTGCTGGGATTAAAGGTGTGAGCCACCCCCACCGGCCGGGTCATTTCTATTTTTAAGGGGACAAATTTAAATCCTAGGTGTGGTCCGTCTTTTTTTTTTGACTCCTTAGTCATGAGAAGCAGAAAGACCTGCCATCTCTCCCAAGAGGACCCCTGCCCCTGTGGGTCACACTGTTCTGCTGCCCAGGCTGGAATGCAGTAGCATGAACATGGCTCACTGCAGCCTCGACCTCCTGGGCTCAAGCCATCCTCCCAGCTCAGCCTCCCAAGTAGCTGGGACTACAGGTGTGCACCACCATGCCTGGCTCTGTAGAGACAAGGTCTTGCTATGTTGCCCAGGCTACTCTTAAACTCCTGGCTCAAGCGACTCTCCCGCCTCAGCCTCCCGAAGTGCTAGGACTGCAGGCATGAGCCACCGCTCCAACAATATGGTCTTACATTTAGAAACTGGCCTTTAGCCTGCCCACACACTAACTGCAAGTACATGTGAAAAGCAGTTCCCTGTCAGCACTGTCTGCCGAGAATATTGAGAGAGTGCGCCCTCCTGTCGGGCACCGTGGGCCAGGGTCACCACGGAGAGACCATAAACAGTTATCCTCACTGGAACCTGGTGATAACGTGGCTTCGTGTTTGCTTGAGCTCACAGTTAAAACCCCTGTGAAATTTTATCTAGCAGATTCTAGTAGATTCTATGGCTAATGGATGTCTGGAGTCAGGGAAGGGGCCACCACACAGAGGCAGGGACTGTGCCACCGCACAGCAGGTGGAGCGTTCCAGAACTGACAGACCCATTCGAGGGCAACCACAAGGCTGGGCCAAAGCACAAGCAGGGAGGTGAGCAGCCAGCCTGTGCCCACGGCTCACAGGCAGGGGAGCCCCTGGCAGAGCTGCCAGCTGGACTCTGTAGATGCTTCCAGAAGGCTGGGGTGGGCCAGGCCTGGTTTCCAAGTCCAGGAAGTAGCTTAAAAGCAAAGGGAAACAAGAAAAGGCTGGTTATGGAATCTCACGATGCTCAGGACCTGCCTGAGTGGGGGCAGTGACAACGTGGAGCTTGGCAGGGATGAGGCCCTCTTATGGGTCACGGCGGGCCCATCTTCGCTGCAGAATGGCATCTGAAGGGCCCCTGATGTGCACCACAACCAGGACCTCTCTCCTCCCACAGTAAGGGCACACGTGGCTGTGGACCCCAGAGGACTCCTTCCAGAAGCATCTATAGAGTCCCAGGACCAGCAGACTTTGTTTCCCCAACTAAGCACAGTGGGCACCTGGCACCTGAGGTGGCCTGTCTCCGAGTCCCCTGTGCTGCACGCAGGCCCGCAGGCTGGAGGGAGGCTCCTGCCTTTGCAGAGCACGGGCTCACGTGGCGTTGCATTGGAGCAGCTCCTCCGCGCCAGCATCTTCTGAGGCTCAGAGAAGGGGATGAGTTTCCCAGAGGAGGGGTGCAGGGCAGGGGAAAGTCCTCAAACCTGTGAGGACAGGGTGGTGGAGGGCCCGTTGCTGGGTCCCCAGACCACAGGGAGGCTGAGACACTGGGGGATTGGGCAGTTGCATGGTTCCCGCCCCTGCTCAGACCTGGGGGGGGGTCTGTGTTCCAGAAGGTGCTTGTCCCTGGTGACCCCACGGGCCTTGCCTGCCTTGTTGTGAAATCAGCCCCGGCAATGTTCGCTGGCCCAGAGTTGGGGCTGGAACAGTGCCACACGTGTGGGAGCAGCTTTCCCACCAAGGGGCCGAGCCCTGTTAGCCGCTTGTCGGTGCCAGTACAGTCCATCTGTCCTTGATGGAGCGCTGAGGCGGCTCTTGGTTAGATAAAGGTCTTAGCTCTTGGCAATGCTGTGGCTGCGTCCAGTTCGCCTCCTTTTGAATACTTCAGGCCCTCAGTTTACGCTCGCCGGGCATTTCCTGGTCTCTTTCCCCCTGGAAGGGAAAAGGGAGCTCTTCGTGGAGGAAAGGTTTTCTCTTACATATCTTGAGGATTACCGCGCTTTGAACATGGGTGATTCTTGCCAGTGTTCACCCAAGTCCTTAGCAGAAGCAAAAAGACCTCCATCTCTTCCAAGAGGACCCCTGTGTCACACCATTCAGTCACCGGCTCATTTAACCCGCACCTGTTTCTAGTTCACCACCCACCACCCGAAGTGGGGTGTGTGTGTCACACCAGGTAGCAGCCTCGCTGAGACCTTCATGTCTCATCCTTACCAAGGACCCCAGAGCACGAGGGTCTTGTTCTCAGGAAGCCGAGGGAGGCGAGGCGTCCTGGGGCCTGTGGCCCCCATGTGCAGCTGGAGGGCCTGCTGGGGAGTGGGCGGGCAGCACTGAGGCCCAGCTTTGGAAAGGGCTGTAACCAGCTCAGCAAATCTGGGGACCACCATGAAAATGGTGTCCTTCACTCTTAAAAGAATGCACGGAGACAGATTTCCTTCAGAGCCAGGTCTGAATGTCTTCCCCTTGTATTGGAGTCCCTGCTGTTAGTGCAGGGAGCTCGCAACGGCTGAGTCCTGATGTGCTCACGCTGGCGTCAGGGCCCTGCTGCCATCCGGAGTGAGTGGGAGGCCGCAAGGCCAGGCCAGGCCGGAGCCTTCCCAGTTGATGTTTGGGAGTTCCGTGCCTTTGGTGCTGAGGGTGAGCGTGTTCACGGTGACTTCGTCCCGTGGTCATGGGGAGGCTGAAGCTAGGAGCCCCCTGTACGTGGTAAATGCCTCTGGCTTGCTGTTCTAAGTGGAGACAGCAGGCAGAGCTGGGATCCATGTCCCCAGAGGCAGTCTCTGCGGCGGTCCTGCCCAGCCAGCAGCCTACCAGCCTTCGATTGCATTTGGGGCTGTTTGTAGAAGTTGGGCTGTGGCCAGTCCTGAGGTCTCCACAGCCCTGAGGGGAGCTTAGAGGCCGGGTGGCCACGGCTGCCCACAGTGGGGCGTCACCTCGGGCTTGTGGCCTCTTCAGTGAGGGCCTCTGGCACAGGCCACCACATGTGTGTCTCTGGGTGCTTGATAAATGTACCCTGCACTTCAGTGACAATTTTTTTTTTTTTTGTCAAGTGAAGCAGTGGAAATTCAGGGAGCATCTTTTATCTGTTTTCTTTCTAACTGACTGACTGCAATTCTGCCTTCACCTGCAGACTGACCAAGTGTCTGAGGTGTGTGGGCTGCGGAGGGCTCTTTTCCGAGTGGGATGCTTTGCCATGTGGTGTCTTCTGGGCTGCCCTGCTCTCCTGTGTTGAGGCGTTCCCACATCCGAAAGGCTCCGGCCACCCTCGGCCCATAGGCTTCCCTGCCAGGCTGGAGCTGGGCCCCAAGTCCCTTCTGCCCGGTGGGCCCAGGCGGTGCGCATTGGTTTTAACAATTCGTAAAGCAGGTGCCTCCTCCACTAGCCTTGGCCAAGCCCTGCCAGCAGGCAGTGAGCAGCACACTGGAAGCCGGGCTGGACCCTGCGCCTCACCCCGCTCCCTTCTGGGCACAGCAGCACTTGGCTTCATTGTCACTCTTCATAAACAGAATCACTTTCTTAGGGCCGCAGCGACCCCAGTGGCACCCGGCCATCACTCTGAGACTCTGGGTGTTACCATGAAGTGAGGCCCACTGAGCAGCCCTTAGACAAATTTTGTTTTGGAACAGGGTCTCATTCTGTCACCCAGGCTGGAGTGCAGTGGCATGATTACAGCTCACTTCAACCTCTGCCTCCTGGGCTCAGGTGATCCTCCCACCTTCGCCTCCCAAGTGGCTGGGACTACAGGCATGCACCACCACATCAGCAAATTTTTATATTTTTAATTTTTTTTGTAGTGATGGGGTCTCACCCTGTGGCCCAGGCTGGTCTCAAACTCCTGGGCTCAAGTGATCTGCCCACCTCAGCCTCTCAGGGTGCTGGGATTACAGGCATGAGCCACTGCGCCCAGCCCCTTAGACAATTTAAAGTGTAAGTCTGAGGCTCTACTAAGGCAGCTGAAGAAACTTCAGATGTGATTCCAGCTCAGCAGAAACAGCTTCGTCCCCAGCACGGTTGTCTGCTGGCTGCTGTCGTGAGGCAGAGGGCGTCCTCCCAGAGGGCATCCCCAGTGTCAGGGCAGCACCACCTTGCCCTGGGGCTGTGACCCCTTGGGGAAAGTGAGCCATGGGCACCTGCCCAGTCTCCAGGTCTTGTGTGGTCACAATTCCTGGTTAGCCCTGAGCCCAGCCACCTTCCCGTTTCTGTCTGCACTTGGCTATTCTGTGTGCGTAGAATCTCTGCCAAGAAAGTCCAGCCTCGTGAGCCCTGGCTGGTGAGTCTTAGAGCTGCTCTGTGCTGGGTCCTCAAGCTGAGGAGGCATCTTTAGGGCAACCCCAGGCCTGGTGCCTACCCCCCCGACATACACAGTAGCCCACACGTCCTTCAGCTGCTTCTGGGGGTTCCTTGAAAGGTGGGGGTCAGGGCACGCACGCCAGGACTCCAAATAAAGAACCAGAATAAGCTTTATGTCTATACCTGGGCTCCCCTGGTTTGTGGAGCGGGTGCCAGCACGGCCTTCCTGGGTTAGGCTGGCTCCTGCTATGGATTTCATAGTTGCTTCATGGCGTTGCTCTTTGGTTCCAGTAACAGGACCAGGACCAAAAAGGCATTACTAAAGTGAACTGCTGTTGCGTCCAGCGTGGAGGGACCCGAAACGCCAGGTTGCAGGCTCAGCTGCGAGACAGTCAAACCCCAAGCCCCGCTCAGGCCCAGACCCCATGGGTGCACCGGGTGCATCTCCTGCAGGCCTTGGAGCAGCCTGCACCCCACCTCTGGAGCCTGGGCACGTGTGGTCGGTCCATCGCCCTGCACCACAAGCCTGCCTGCCTTGGCCTGCCTGGGCGTGTGGGGAGGTGGCAGGCTCAGCTCTCTCAGCGGCCCGTGACCCTGTCCCAGTGACATGGCGAGTGGCTGAGCCGGGTTTTGACGCTTTGTTCTCTCCCCTAGTGTCGGAGATGTATGCAGTGTGACGCCAAGTTTGACTTTCTCACCAGAAAGGTGAGCTGAGGCCACTGAGTTTGGGCGGTTGGAGGATTGGAGGGGCCCCAACAGGACAGCTGCCCCTTCTGTCAGGGGTCGGAGATCATCTTAAGGCTTTTTTTTTTTTTTTTTTAGAAATAGAGTCTCTCTCTGTCACCCAGGCTGGAGTGCAGTGACGTGATCTCAGCTCACTGCAACCTCTGCCATTTGGGTTCAAGTGATTGTTCTGCCTCAGCTTCCTGAGTAGCTGGGACTAGACTGGCAACACCACACCCAGCTAATTTTTGTACTTTTAGTAGAGATGGGGTTTCGCCATGTTGACCAGGCTGGTCTCAAACTCCTGATCCATCCACCTCGGCCTCCCAAAGTGCTGGGATTACAGGCATGAGCCACCGTACCCAACCATTATGGCTCGTTTTGAGTGTCAGCCATGCCCTGTTTCTGTGGAAAGTGGGCTGATTCTGTGGACCACCACATAGTGGGGTGCAGCCCTGTTCCTGTACCACTTTGCCCTCGTGGAGTGTCTTGCTGCTAATGTTCACCCAGCTCATGGTGGCTCCAAGGCCTGAGGGCGTCCTGAGCAGTGGGACTTGGGTAATTGAAAGAAAGAGTGGAAAAGCAGCCATTTTGATTATTTTGCAAAAAAGGCCTCATTTCCCAAGTGAGGTGGAGCCCTGCTATGTGGCGGGGAGCCTGGGGGCTGGCATCAGGAGGTGTGCGTGTGCAGCGGCCAGCACGGGGCCTCGTGTTTAGGTGTGGCCCGGGGAGTGCCAGGCCAGCAAGGGCCGGACCCGGGGCTGCTTGTCCCCTGCCCTCCTGACTGCCCGTCCCCCCCGCGTCTGCCCAGCACCACTGTCGCCGCTGCGGGAAGTGCTTCTGCACCAAGTGCTGCAGCCAGAAGGTGCCCCTGCGGCGCATGTGCTTCGTGGACCCCGTGCGGCAGTGCGCCGAGTGTGCCCTGGTGTCCCACAAGGAGGCGGAGTTCTACGACAAGCAGCTCAAAGTGCTCCTGAGCGGTAAGGGCAGGTGGCCTGCACAGCCCTGCACGCTCCGCCAGCCGGCTCCTCCTTGTGTCTGCGGTGATGCTGTGGACTGTGCAGAGGGCACTCTGCTTCTCTTTGACATTCTGTCACCTTCCCTCCCTACCCCGTCTTCTGGATTCATCTAGAAGCAGTTAAAGAGCCTTCTCTTCTCTTCAGAGATGGAATGTTGTCTCAAATGTTGTGTTGACTCCGCTGGGCACGTCCATCATGTGGGAGGGGAGGCCCTGGGCCCAGGCAGCCCGTTCCCCCAGGTGGAACCCGGCGCTGGTGCTCGGGCCTTTGTGACCACCCTGGCTCCTTGATGAGTCCGGAGACCTTTGCCCAGTAGCACCACGCAGACCCAGGGTCCTGGTGTGGGAGGAAGACATCCTCCAGGGGCTTAGGGTGTTCCTCCCCTGGAATCTCTGAGCAACGAGCAGCATCTTCTCCCCACTGCTGTCCCAGCCTCTGGCCGCCTGTCCCCAGCCTGCCCACTGTGGGCTTAGGACCACCTGTCTGCCTTCCCACAGCTCTGTCCTGGGTGAAGCAGGCGTGGTCCCTGGCTGGACGGTCGGCTTTTCTTTCCTTTCTGCTGTCTTGGTCCTGTGCTGCCAGCTCTTAGGACGTGTGAGCAGAGGGTTTACTGTTTGTGGATCTGGATGTTGGCGACGGGTTCCCTGCATCCTTTCTGTGAAGGATGTAGGACTTTATAAGTGAGCAGGACCTGCCTCTAGAGCAGGACCTTTTGTTTTTCCTCCTAAACCCTTGATCCGTGACTGCCTTTTGCTCAGCTCAAGGGTCCTCAGAACAAAGCTGTGGTTTGCTTCCTGCCGTTTCCACTCTGTCCTCTGTGCGTGTCTCCGACTGGTGCTCGTGGGAAGGGTTAGGTGGAAAAGAAGCAGGCCCTGTTCTCACGTTTGCTTTTGTGTTCCCAAGGAGCCACCTTCCTCGTCACTTTTGGAAACTCAGAGAAATCTGAAACTATGATTTGTCGTCTTTCCAATAACCAGAGGTAAGCGCCAGACCCTAGTTGGCACAGGGCAGCATTGTCACAGACCGGGAGCCTCGGTCGCACTGGCCTGAGGCTGAGTGACCCCATTTGGATGCTTTTATTTGATGTAGATACCTGTTTCTGGATGGAGACAGCCACTATGAAATCGAAATTGCGCACATTTCCACCGTGCAGATCCTCACAGAAGGCTTCCCTCCTGGAGGTAAATGCTGGCACGTCCTTTCCAAGCCAGGAGGGTTTGGTGCCACACGTGGGTGACAAGAGCAGCGTGCACTTTTGGGATCAGGCAGCGCCCTGAGGAGTCGGGTCTGCTGGGTCTCCGGGACGGCCTGCCTTTCCTCTGCTGGGAGGGCGTGCATTTTATTTACTCATTGGCTTTAGGACTTGCCAGGTGAGTCGGGACCGAACTGTAAGCCCACGAAGGGAAATTGCCTCAGCGTGTCGTAGTGATTTCCTCCGCTCTAAATGTGCTGCGGTATCATTCTGTTTATTGGTGGACTCAGACTAAGGATAAATAAAGCCCCAAATGCAGTAACCGAGATCCCCAAAAAGGTCTGAGTGGTGGCTCATCGGGAGCCATCCCTTCAGCCCTCCTCCCGCGGGCATCTGTGCAGACTAAATCCCTGGTGAGCTGCTAGAGCACCTAGCGCAGCCTGGGCCTCTCCACTAAGCTCCGCTGATGCGGAGCTCGCATTTCGTTAACTGCAAACCGTGCTGACACATGCACGTGCCGTAACCGTGTTGCTTTCTGTTCTCTGACCGGCTCTCTGCTCCTTCTCTCCACTGCCTGCCCACCTTCTTGCCGTAGAAAAAGACACTCACGCTTACACCAGCCTCCTGGGGAACCAGCCTGTCTTTGAAGGTCAGCCTCTTTCTCCTTGTCGGGGCTCCCTGCACGTGGCCGGCCCTCGCCACCTGGCTTCTGTCCACGGGGTGGTCCATGCCAAGGTTCTCTGTGAAACCCAAATTCCCTTGTTTTGGTTGACTTAAGGGAGAAGTTGGGTCTGCTACATGGGTTTATAAAGCATAAATCAAGACACCCCAGCAGACGTACAACTGAGCAGTTGTCTTGTGGTTACCCCCCACAGTTGACAGCGCTCTGTCAGTACCTGCCAGCTCTGAACAGGCTGAGGCCGGGAGCATGGGTGCCCACAGGGACTCACCTGGCCTCGGGGACCTCTCCCAACATTGCCCTTCCCACCATAGCGTACTGCTCCCCAGCTCAACCTGGCCTTCTGGGACCCTTGACTCTCCTGGCGCTTCTGTCAGCCTTCTTTTTTTTTTTTTTGAGACGGAGTTTCGCTCTTGTTACCCAGGCTGGAGTGCAATGGCACAATCTCGGCTCACTGCAACCAACGCCCCCTGGGTTCAGGCAATTCTCCTGCCTCAGCCTCCTGAGTAGCTGGGATTACAGGCACGCGCCACCGTGCCCAGCTAATTTTTTGTAATTTTTAGTAGAGACGGGGTTTCACCATGTTGACCGGGATGGTCTCGATCTGTTGACCTCGTGATCCACCCGCCTCGGCCTCCCAAAGTGCTGGGATTACAGGCTTGAGCCACCGCGCCCGGCCTCTGTCAGCCTTCTAAATGAGGCGAGACGCCTGGGCCAGTGTTTTGCTACCTTTGTCCTGAGCTCAGGGACATGCATGAAGCCGGGGTGGCATCAAGCTGGTTACCTTGAGCACACTGCGAGGTGTAGATGCCCAGGAGCAAAGGGTAGGGTCTGGAGAAGTGGGGGTCACACCAGGCGCTCCCCTCTGCCTGCCTCCTGCGGAGCCTGAGGCTCAGGTGAGGGCCATCGATTAGGGTACCCAATACTCCCAAGGCTAGGGCGACATGGCCTCCTGGGCAGACCCTCCCCATGGCTTCTGGCACTGCATCCCTTTGTGGTGGCTTGGGGGGTGCGGCGAGCCTTGCCTGCCCAGTCTCCTTAGAGCCTTTGAGACCCCAGCACCGTCTTCCAGCCACATGTGCTGTGGTGAAGGCAGAGTCAGCTGTAGATGACAGGGTGACAGATGGCTGTGGCTGTCATCCAGCGGTGCTATCAAGCAAATCCAGGTGGTGGGCAGAGCTGTGGCCCTGCTACAGAGCCCGGGCAAGGTTCCCCAGTGGTGGGGTGGGGGCACATGCTTTAACCACAGAACGTGGCTTATCAAAGTGTGGTTCCAGAGGCTGGTTGTGGTGGCTCACGCCTGTAATCCCAGCACTTTGGGAGGCTGAGGTAGGCAGATCACCTGAGGTTAGGAGCTTGAGACCAGCCTGACCAACACAGTGAAACCGTGTCTCTACTAAAAGTACAAAAATTAGCAGGGCGTGGTGTTCAGTGCCTGTATTCCTACCTACTCGGGAGGCTGAGGCAGGAGAATCGCTTAAACCCCGGAGGCGCAGATTGCCGTGAACTAAGATCGTGCCGCTGCACTCCAGCCTGGGTGACAGAGACTCAAAAAAAAAAGAGAAAGTGTGGTTCTTGATGTTTTGGGCTAGATGGAAAAAAAAAAAAAAAGTGTGGTTGTGGGGCCTGCCAGGGGACAGCGTATCACAGGCTGCTCAGGCCTCTTCCCGAGCAAGCGTGGTCACTGCATCCCCACCTGCAGTCTCGGCGCCCACTCTGCCAGTCGGCAGAAGAGTCGGCCTGGATGCTGATGTCAGATGTGTCTGATGGAGGACTCTCCCGAGAGGTCGACTGCTCAGGACGGGGCTTCCCCCAGCCCCGAGTCACCAAGTTCATGGGAGGCTGCATCCCACGAGTCTCTTTCAACACCAGCCCTGACTGAAGAGCCACTCTCTTGAGCGGTTTATTCTTGGAGCAAGTGCTGGAATTGAGTCATTGTCACTGGAACAGCTGGCTATCGCCCAAAGGCAGGAAGCCCGGGTCCCAGCAGACCAGTCCTCAGCATGGGTGCCCGGTCTGGGGAGATAGCCTGTGTCCAGGCTGGGGTGGCATTTCCTTGGCACTGGGCCTTTGCACTGTCGATCCCCTCTGTGCCAGCCCTGCTTTCTCAACAGGGAGACGAGCTGTGACCCTGAGCATCTGCGTGGCCTATCGGTGGCCAGGGCACTCTCGAAGTAGCCTCCACTCTTCCCCAGCCCTGGGCGCAGGTGGGCACCTCTGCAGGAGCCAGCCTTGTCTGGGGGTTCTCTGAAGGGCACAGCAGCACCTCTCAGGCAGTTCCTGGTGATGTGGCTCGTTTGTCCCGGGCCCTGGAGGCACCAGGCTGTTATCCCTGTGAGCTTGGGGTCTCCTCCCAGAGGCCTGAGGAGATGGTGATCCCTGGGTGCTCCTGAGCACCAGCCCTCACTACCAGGCTACTCTTAGAGCAGCACAAGGTTAGGAAGGTGTCCTGGCCACCACTGCCTTGGGGCTGGTGGCCGCCTGGGCATTCAGGGTCTCCTTTGGACCCTCTTACCTCGTCTCCCTCCTCCAGGAGGCAACGCACGGGCTACAGGCATGTTCCTGCAGTATATGGTGCCAGGGACGGAGGGTGTGACCCAGCTGAAGCTGACAGCGGCGGAGGACGCGAATGTGGGCAGGAGGCAGGCGGTGGCGTGGCTTGTGGCCATGCACAAGGTACCTGAGGCCAGGCCAGGGAGGCTGGGCCCTTTGTCTTAGAGCAAAAGTTCACCTTTCCCAGAAGGAGGCCCCCATCTCCCCCCGACCTGTTGTTCCCCATCAACTCGGTTGCCTCGCCATATCCCCTGAAATGTACACAGGCTTGGCTCCGCCAGGCGTAGGACCAAGCAGGTCTCACTGTTGATCTTGTCTTTGGTCACCCTGCAGGCTGCCAAGCTCCTCTACGAATCTCGGGACCAGTAACTCTCCGTGGGGCTGAGCTTGGAGTGCATGCGGTCACCAGGACCGAGTCGCTTGAAACAGCAGCCTGCTCCTTGCGCACCACAGGGATTAATCCTGCTTGTGCTGGGAAATGCAGCTCACCTATTTGGAGAAACAAGTGTTCACTTATCTAGTGCAATATGGTCACAGTCTATTAATGCTTTAAACAGCTTCATGTTTTAGAATTTGTGTATTGTCAATACTTAATTGGGGGTGGGAGAGACTGAGCTACACTACTGCTGAACTATTTTTAGCATAATATATACCATTTCTGTGAGTTCCCAGGTTTACTAGGAGTTCTGGCCCGTCAGTGTTCATTTCATTAATTCTTCACGGAAACAGTTCGGGTAGTAGGAGCTCAGGCCTCTGACCTGCAGCGGAGCCTGCTCGCCGGCACTAGCCAGTTTACAGCACTTGCCTTAGCCTGCTTTACAGACTGGCCACTTACCTTGTCACTAATTTGGGCTATGAGTGATCCTTTGATACTTCACTAAGGGGAACGTGAGAGCTTTGTTTTGTACTTTTCACTCACTATTTCACTTTATTAAGATGACTGTACAGCAATTTGTATATGAAGCTTATGATTAAAACCTATTTTGAACATACGGACAAGGCCTTGCCTTCCTGTGTCCAGGTCACCTGAGCCGGCATACCACAGCGCAGTCTGGTTCCAGAAACAAGACTCACAGCCGCCAGGGTGAGACGGGTTTATTGTGCACATTTACACAGCGCCAGCAGCGTCGGGCTGGCAGTGGCCAGGCTACTCCACAATGGAGTTCACTTTTCTTCACCACACTATGTACAGTCAATGCTCCAAGGTGATGGGCTACAGTGCTGCCTCAGTGACACTACACACATTTATACATAAATTACACACAAGACTCATACATGAAAATAGAGCCTAAGGGCCTGTATTTTAATGAGGAAAAAAAAATTTCCAACATAGTTCGGGGAGCTTTGAATGGTCTAGTCAAAAAATACTTTTGGTATATAAAAAGCCAGTACGTACAATTCACACCTCAGTGAAGCGCCCTCCTTGCCTTAAGGCTGGGCCTCAGACAAAGGTGATGGCCTGACAGCCAGCCTGGGCAGGGAGACCAGCAGCAAAAGGGTGGCCCCTGCCCCCAGCTCCTCTGGCCCAGCTGCTCCCCCTCCCAACACCAGGCACCTGCCATCCTTCAGGCACCAAACAGCCCTGTCCACCTGGCCCTGCTCTGCCCTCACACCAGTCCAGCCTCCAACCCCCACCCATGGCCTCCAGTGCCTCACTGCATTCAGAGAACTGGAATTTGAACTTGCAAGGGTCAGAATCACACTAAGCAGCATGAGAGGCTGTAAGGTCAGGGGAGAAGAGTCCATGCTGAGGTGCTCCCGACTGTCACCTGGTCTTGGGGGGCCTGGTGCCCATGGCACAGCAGTCCAGCCACAGCACTGGGCCTGCACAATCAGCCTTTAGGTGAACCAGAGCACCTGGAAAAGGAAGCAGAACCTCCCCAAGGCGGCCAAGCAGGGCAGTCGCTGGGAGGCATACACACTGGGTAGCACACTGGACAGACGTTTCCATACAGAGGCTCCTTTGGCGATGAAGGGAAGAAGGATCATGTGTGGGGAGGATGATGAGTGTCCGATTTGGGACAGGAGGCAGGGGCTGTCGCAGGGGGGCGGGCCCCACAGCAGCGGACAGGGTTCACTGCTGGAGGGTGACAGCCTCGGGGCCAAGTCAGTCAGAACTTGTCTTCACTGGCAACCAACCAGGGGTTAATTATAGGACTTACTGGCAAGAGGGGTGGGTGTTCGGAAAGCGGGTATTCATTTGGATTTACAGTAATTGGCAAAATTCAGTCCTTGGAGGCGAAAGTACCTCTCCCACTTAGGGGCAAACTGGAGAAAGGGCCTCACCTAGAAACTGCAGGATTCACATTGTGGACGCTGTTTGCTAAAGTGAGCACCATTAAGACCATTTCTAGCTTCAGCTTTCCTGGGAAAACAGCAGAATCATCTCTTCAGCGGCTCCTGGTAGCTGGTGAGACCACGCGGTGCTCCAAAAGGAAGTTCAGGCGAGCGTGCGCTGTCGGGGTTTGATTCGTGGATACAGCTGGGAAGCAACAGAGCCGGGTCAGGTTGGGAAGCCACGCTGACCCCTGCTCCTCACCTCGGCCACCGGACAGCCGCGCAGCACCTTCTCCCTCGGCGTATGCTCAGCTGCACCTCTGCACTGAGACCCACCCACCCCCCTTGAAAGTCTTGAGGTGGCATGAAGTGCTGAGAGGGAAACAGGATGTTCTAGGGGTGGGGGCACATCCTATGTCTCTCACACCCAGCACTTCATGCCGCCTAAAGACTTGTGATGGCCTGTCATAAGCTCCCCTGGGCAAGGGTCTCTGTCTGGCTCCCCGCTGTATTTGCCTGGCCAAGAAGCTGGCTCAACAGCAAGGCCCTGGCAGCTCTGTAGGGCACACAGAGGGCAGAAACAGCTCCCTCTGCCAGAGGACTGGTGGAGTCACAAGTCCAACACAGAGCTAGCAGCTTGCACAGTCCCGCCTCCCTCCTCCATTGCAGAAACTTCTAGGCCGCAGAGATTTCTAGCCTGGGGAAAGTGTGGGTAAGGTGAGCAGGCCTGCTTGCTGAAGTTCATCATGAGCCAAGCTCACTGAGCAGCCCCTCACTGAGGCACTCGGCCTCCATATGGGCCTCCATGGCGGGAGCACAGCCTGGGTACCTCCTGGGGCCCTGCCTGAGCCTCAGGCCAGCTCTGCCAAGTAGGTACCTCCCCCTGTACAGAGAGGGCTGCTGAGGCTCAGAGAAGGGCAGCCTCCCTCCCCAGCCCCACAGCAGGGTAGGAACACATGCTGTAGGGAGACAAGAACCACTGGTTTCCCAGCAAGTAACCCGAATGCTCACCCCCAGCAGGTTTTTGGGCACATAGCCCTCCCGTTCTCCAAGGCGTGCCCACCACCACTCAGTCTCGCTTTCATCCTTGCGCCTCAGGATGGTGAGGGCATCCCCTTCATGGAAGGACAGCTCGTCACTGTTCTGGGCCTCGTAGTCCCACAGAGCGTACACCACACCTTTGTTCATCACACCCAGCTTCTCCTGCACCCCTGGAACCACAGAACACTGGTCAGGCCCGCAGAGAGGGGTCCTGCTCAAGGAATGGGACAGAGTCATGCGTCTGCCGAGGCTGCTCTCGCCAGGCCCTACAGAGACCAGCAGTGGAGATGAGAGACTACTGGAGGTGAGGCCCTGCCTGACACCTCCCCTACCCGGCCCCGGTGCTGCTCCCGCTGCTAGCCCTCTCTAAGTCCTACTGGACAGACAGGACAAAGGTGTGCTGTTCTTAAGTTGACACTCAGCAATCACAGTGACAATGGATTTCTAAAGTCATTAACTAGAGCCGCTGTGGCTGCTCTCGGATGGCAATGAACAAACTATACACAACTGAGCTGTGGCTGCTGACTGAGCAGCCACTCGTAGGTCCCCGAGAAACGGCCCTTCTGCAGGACACGCTGCGTCCAAGGCTCAGTTGTGGTGACCGTGGGGAGCTTCCCCCCCTCTGGTGGTGCCACTGCAAATGCAGCCTCCTCCTCACATTGACTGGACTCAGCTGGGGGCTGCTGTGCTGCTGCCTCCCCAGCCCTACCACACAGCCTTAGCGTTTGTTGCTTGGCTCTGCTGTGGGGCTGGGGCCGAGGGCATCACCTGGATAACTTTATCTCCAGGGTCCAGTTTAGGGCACACAGTATGTTCTCGATTAATGTGTGGAGTAAATGACTTGTGACTGTTGACTACTCAGAATAGAGAAGATGTCCCAGCTCTGAGAAAATCCAGCCCCGGCTAAAGCAGCTTAATTAGGACATGAGCCTCATTCATCCTGTTTCTGGGGAATGACCAGGCCCCCAGGCCACCCCAAGAATGGAGCTGGCCCTGCTTCCAGAAGCAAGGGTACAGAACATCTATGCAAAGCACAGCCAAGTCATTTTGTTTCCCTGGGAATCGGGCACAGAACCCTTCTAACAACATGGACTTTCAAACGTGTTTCAGGAATGAGAACAAGAGGTGGTGTGACCTCCACTTGAGAGAGACGTCCTGGCTGCCCCTGAAGAAGGTGGAACAGCTTGAGAATGCTGTGTGCCAGGCACGGTGGCTCACACCTGTCATCCCAGCACTTTGGGAAGCTGAAAGTGGGCAGATTGCTTGAGCCCAGGAGTTTGAGACCAGCCTGGGCAACATGATGAAACACTGTCTTTACAAAAAAAAAAAAAAAGTACAAGAAATTAGCTAGTTGTGAAGGAACAAGCCTGTAGTCCCAGTTACCTGGGAGCCTGAGGTGGGAGAATCAGTTGAGCCTGGGAGGTCGAGGCTGCAGTGAGCCATGATCGTGACACTGCACTTCAGCCTGGTGACAGAATGAGACCTTGTCTCAGGTCTTAAAAAAACAAAAAGCTGTGCTCAAGCTTCTCAGGCACAGGCTGACTGTTGCCACGGCAGTGCCACAGTGGACAGCACCACCGCGCCCCAGGGAAAGTGCCACTGGCTGCCCCAGGCCTCTCCTGCGTACCGTATAGAAACTGGGAGCACTGGATGTAGCCTTCCTCCATCTCCTCACACTTGTCTGCCGCAGTTTCAATGTCGCTTATGGTTGAGGCAAAAATGGCAGCACCACTCTCCACCAGCTGCTTGCAGAGGTGAACACTGTTACAAGAGGCAGCGCAGTGCAGCGGCGTCCTAGAAGAGAGTGCAGGTGAAGGTGCGGACCTGGCTCTGCCTCAGCGCCGCGTGTTCTGTAGGATGAGCCCTCAGAGACTGCCCTGGAAGAACCTCATGGAAGGCGTGTGCCTGATGCCATCAGGTCTCCGTGCTGTTTCTTTAATGATAAGATTTCTACAGCCGATTGTTTCAGACCATATACAAAGGGACACAGGGATTGGGTTAAGAAATGGCCCATCCACAGGTGACACTGCATGGCAACGTGAATGTACGTAACACACTGAAATGCACATTTAAAAATAGCTAAGATGCGAAATTTTATGTGTATTTTACCACAGTTCAAATACAGCACAGTGACAGCTGTCTGAAAGTTCCTAACATTCATTGGACAGGAGACCGGCGGGACCTGCCCAGCAGCAGAGCTCCTGAAGGCAGACAAGTAACAGTGCAACAATCTACATGTCTGACCACAGGGACAGCGAGGCTGGAGTCTCAATAGTCCGTATGGAACATGTAAAAAGGGGAAACAGAATGATTCTCAGAATGCTTAGACTGCAGTGTTAATGATGAGGCACAGAAGGAGCATAACCACAAAACAATCAAGAGAAAAGGCTGGAAAGACAGGCAAAAAACCCCCGACCACAGCTGTCTTTCAGGGATGAAATGAGGGGTGTGCTTGCTCTACTTCTCTCTTCCCTGCTCCCTGACTGTCTAGAACATGCATGCTTTCCTTACATACAGTAGGGAAAATGAATCTCTCCACCCCACACCCCTATGGGCCTCACCATCCATCACTATCAGCAGCATTCACGTTGACGCCAAAGTCCAGCAGGAACTTCACGATGTGATGGTGGCCGGCGCAGACGGCATTGTGCAGTGGCGTGATCCCTTCATCGTTGGGCTTGCTGGGATCTTCCACCTAGGACACACGGCCTGTGAGCCCCCGCCCCCTGTCCCGCAGCAGTGTGCGCGGATGCCCGGCTGCAGCTCACCTCATAGATGATCCTCTGCACCAGATCAAACTCTCCTTCCAGAGATGCATCTAGGAGCAGGGCCAGGGGGTTAAACCGGACTCTCAGCCCGTGCCCTGTCCGCTCCGAGTTAGGCTTCTTCAAGTTGGTCCGCTTGCTCTGTTGGGAAGGAAGCACACTTTCAGTTAAAGGTGGCCTGCTGGAGTCTAAGAACCCGTGCCTGCGCGGAAAGAGTGGGAAGGACTAAGGCCCAAACACAGTGGCTCCACAGCGCTCTGGAGAGGCAGAAGCAGCACCCAGGTAACTGCCCCAAATAAGGGCCAGGCCACATGGGCCACTCTGTGCTCGCTAGGAGGGAGAGCACTGTTCTGGGGCCTGAGTCCCTGGCTCACTCACAGAGGGGCATGGCTGTGTTTGGGCTTCTGGCTACTCCTGGGAAGACCCTATAGGAGGGAATATGGCGTGTGACTGCAAAGGGGCAGACGGGAGCCAGCAGCTTGCTCCTGCCCTGGCACGATAGGGTTCTTCCTGCTACAGCACCAGATCCTAGCAGAGAGGACCCCATTGAGGGTTCCCTGAGATGGCACCTGGCTCCCTCTCTGCTCCATCAACACTGACCTCCCCACCCAGGGCCTTTGTCTAGATGCTTCTTCCCTCGTTTCCCTGCAGGACCTTCAGGTGCCAGCGACAGCTCCCTTCCTCAGGAAAGACCCTGGAGCTCCCTGGCCAGCTGTCTGGGGAAGGCTTGGCTGCACGGTGCGTTTGTGTGGCCAAGCCCCATTTGTACTGCCCTTTCATGCCCCATTTGTCTGTGTGACCGTGTGACTGTCTTTCCTCCCCACAAGGCCTAACTCAAGGTGGGAGGGACATGCCTGATTCCTGCTGCTCCCAGGACAGCCTGACACAAGGGAAGGACCCCAGAGGTCCTGGCTGCATGAATAACCAGGAAGGCCAGGCTTTGGTCTAGCAATGACACCCACCGTGGAGGTGGCAGGAGGGTGACTGGTGGGGGGAAGAGGTGCTGGAGGGATCGGCTCTTCCCCTGGAGACAGGGCCTCAGCCACAGGACTCGGGATCTGCTCTGTGGAGGGGACCGTGGCCACGTTGTTGTTATTGTCCTCCGCCGGCTCGGCAGTTTGGTGGGTGGTTTGGGGACAGATCAGCTCCTCTGGTTCGGGGGAAGGTAACTCATTGTCATTGGCATCAGACGACGGGACGGGCTCGTCATGGAGTGGGGCTGTGGGCTGGGCAGGGGTGGACTCTTCCAGGTTTCCATTGGCATTGGTGTTTCCATTGTCCACATCGGCCAAGGTGCCCATGAAGTCCTGGGAGGGGCTGGGCTGGTAGAAAGGGGTGCCCTCCATGCCACCAGCCAGGGTGTTGAAGCGCTGGTACAGCAGCTTCTGGATGTTGGGCCCACCGGGGCCCTCGGGCTCTGTGATGGAGCTTCGCTTCTTCAGGGGCCGGGGCGCGTTGGCCAGCTTCCTGCGGAGAGCCTCCAGGTCTGCGTCACTCTGGTAGCGCAGTGGTGAATGCACGATGGGCGTGAGCTTGGTGGGGCTGAGTGGCCGTGGCAGGCTCTCCACAGTGCCACCATCTGCAGGGCCGGTGGGGCCGTCCTGCTCGGGCTCTTTCTCAGTACTTTCTGAAGGTGGCTGAGGCTGTGCTGTGCCCGTGGACAGCGACCCGTGAAGAAACGGCAGCGGCGATGGAGACGTTGAACCCGAAGGTAAAACAGGCTTACCATACACTGGGGGGACACAAAGGACAGGCGATTTCGACCTCACTGTGGGACCTCGTCATACGCACCTCTGCTTAGAGCTGAGGCAGACACCTGCTGCTGTTCTTCAATCCTAATTTCAAATCTCTGAGGAAACCTCCTCCTCCTGCTAGAGCCTCCACTGACTCCTGAAAGGGCCAATGCCTCTCTGATGTGTCAGTTTCGACATTTGGGTTTCCAGAACCGGGTCTTTTTCAGAGGAAAACTCTCACTGCTGCAGACAAACCTGCCTGTTTTTTGGCCAAGGAAAAAGACAAGAGACCACTAAACACGCATCTGATTCTTGGACCAACTCAGATGATGGAGAAACATGCACCTCATCAGAGCCAGAAAGTTTCACCTGGTGGCCCAGGAGCTCCTGAGAATGGTCTCAGCCTTTCCCACTATGGCCAGAACCCTGTCCACAAGGTAACATGCACCACCACCTGGGAGGTCCTGTGCAGGGAGTGACGAGGCAGGCCCAGGAATTCCTCAACTGTAAGTCTAGAAGCTGCAGCCAATGCCCAGGGATGTCGAAGGAGGCCCTAGCCTAGACCTGACCCGCAGCTTCCTCCCTAAGAATTGGAAACAGCATCGGCCTCTGTGGTGGGTGAGGAACTAAGAGAAATTTTCCCTCAGCTGCCTTCTTAGAACAGCTCCATAACCAAAACCAAGGCTTTCCTCTGGGCTGTAGGGGAGGCTCCTAAGCAGCAGATGCCCTCCTCAAATCGCCCATGCCCAGGGGTTGGGCTCAGCCCCTGCCAGGAGGGCCAATGGTCAAGGCTACCTTCTACTCGCAGGGCAGCTCCTAGCACAAGTTGCCACGAAGCAGAAGGGAAAGAGGAAATTCTCGACATCTTACCCTTCCCAGAGGTGGATTTCCTAAGTAGCTGAGGGAGGTGGCTGCTCAGACTGGAAGTCAGAGAACTGGGAGCCGTCTGCAAAACGGCTCCCTCCATGCCTTGCACCTTCCACTACCGTCTCACACTGACACCCGAGACTGTACTTTTATGTAAGAATTAAGTTTAATTCTAGATAGCAGATTAGTATTTTCTTAATTAAAAGTATAATTTCCTAGCCCCCAAAGAGGAGAGTATAAGCCCACTCTACCTGCTTTCACTGACTTATTTAAGGCGCTGTGTGCTGCCGGCTGGTAATTCTTAGGCGGTGTGGCTTGCTGGAGGTACATGGAGTATATGGAACTTGAATTCACTGTCTGGGGGCCTTTCCTGGGAGACTGTGGCCTTGACCCTTTATCGGCCAGGAAGGGCCTAATGGCCACTGTCAGTGGGAGTTCAGGCTTGCTGTCCCCAGCTGGAAATGCAGGTGGTCCCGCGGGTGGGTACGTGGGGCTTGGTGGTACAGAAATCCTCTGCTGAATCTGTTGTGAGGAGCCCGGCTGGGGGGCACTGCCTGTGGAGGGCAGCAGGGTTGGCCTCTGTCGACTTGGCAGGCCTGCGCTGGGCCTGGGCAAGCTGCCTTCCTTCCTCCTTTCCAGGGAGCTTGTCGACCCGGGACCCAGAGGCGTAGGACTGGGATATGTCCCATAGCTTGGAGGCGGCTGCTTCCCCACACCTGGGATGGGAGGTGGCACTTTACCAAGCTCGATGCCCTACATTTAGGTGTTAAGAAAAACAAAGTCACCCTTTGAACAGTTAAGCATACTGCCACCCACATTCCCGAGAGAATACACAGCAGGATTTGTAAAGGTCAAATCGGCTGTGAATAAGATGGGCACACCGTTGAGCTCAACACCTTCGCGTGCAAAAGCAACGCGAAAGTCCTGACCAGAAGGTGCATGTACTCGTGGCTGCCCAGGCTCCTCAGGCCCAGGGACCCTTTCGGGACTCAGGTGTTGTTGGATTAACTTGCCTCCCGACATCTCAGGCTCTTTAGCTTAATACTGAGGCAGAAAAGTGCCCTGTTGAGGAGCTTGCTTGTTTTGTGATAACGACACAGGCCTACCGGCTTCTCCGTGGCTCCCAGTGCTGAGAAGGGCACAGGCTGGCTGGAGACGGTGCCCTGCTTGACAGACCCCTCCACGCTTGGGTCCTTCCAGTCTGCACCGGCCACCTGCACTGGTTTCACTGAAGAGCTAGAATTCTGTTTTAATGTTGGCCAGTTTCCATCATTAGCTTGAAAAGAACACAGAACTTGAGTAAAATTTTTCTTGACGTTAGTTGAGCCAGTCTAAGAATAACACCCTGCCAGAAACAAAATAGCACTGGGACATCCCATTCTGATGCAGGTCCATTAACTGAGTGGCTGACCACCAGCCACACGCATAACTGCTCATCTCCTCCAGCCCACAGACCTGTGCACAAGACCGGGGATGGGCCCTGCTGCCAATGCCCAAATTGCTTCAAGTGTTACCAGAGACTCATGGCCAAACCAAGGCTCCACTGTGCGGGCCCATGGGTGTGCCCCACTTCAACACAGGTCAAATCCATGACCTCAGCACCCCCAAGTAAAATAAGCACCGGCCCTTACTCCTAACACACTGTTCAGAAATACAATTACACAGAGCAATAAAAAAGATGTACCTTTGACTGCGTAACAGGTTTGACCTGTAGTACTTTCATTATTAAGATAAAAATCTCCGCCCTCTAAGGTAACTTGATCACAGGAGGCCCGTGCAAGTTCCCACTGATTTGTGTAGCAGGAGGAGCAGGCTATCATTCTGTTGCAGTGATTAGAAAGCCAGTCATCAACCCCAAGTTTTAGGAAAGCCACGGAAATGATGATGTCCTTTAGAGATATTTTCCAAACTGAAAAAGGGTGCAGAATAACACAGGACCCCTCACAGTGGCCTACAGTCCATCACAACAGAGGATCCTTCTGCAGGCACAGTTGCTGAGCTGAACTAAAGCGCTCAATGCTTGCAGTGCCATCAGCAATATGGGACAGATGGAAAGCACAGGGACTGTTTTGGGCCCTCCTGGCAATGACGGCACATCCCCTTCCCTTATCCCATCTGCCAGGACAGGCAGGAGGAGATAAGAAAGTAGAAACAGGGAAAAACCAGTCCTCACAGTAACGCTCGAGCCAGAGCTCTGGACTCGTCAAACATGACAAGGAAGCTTCCCAACTGCGCTCTGCGGGGGGGGGCCCGTCAGCCACAGCCACACACGATTTGCTCATAAGCCAAACTGACCTGATGCAGCAGCACTGCAACCCCAGCTGCATATACTGCTGGGCTGCTAAATTATGACCTTGCTAAACTTCACTGCAGGCTCCAGGCAGCGGCTTCTGAGACAGCTCTGGTCAAGCCCCACAGGTCCTGGCAAGGCATTCCAAGGCCCCTGGACCAACAGCCATCTTGCTGCAGGGGACCTGGAATGTGTGTGCTTTCATCCCCTCTTGGTCACATGTTAGACCTGGAGGATGTGTGGGCCAGAAACCTGCAGGCTCCCCAAGGAAAGAGCCTGTGCTCCCAGGGTCACAGGGAATGTGGCTGTCCAATTGCTTCTGAAACCACCCAGCGACAAGAAGTTGTATGGAAATCAGCCATAGTGAGGACTAAAAAACAATTTTCTCCTTTCTTCAGAACAAGGCAAGAGGTATAGAAGGAAGATCACGTATTTTTATTATAGAGGAACAGTTATCTTCTAGTATGATTTTAAAACTAAAAGCCTCATAATGAACTCCGAAAATCATCTTAAATTTTGTAAAAACAAACAAAATACCTTCCAAAACAAAACCCGGGCTATGCCAGCATCCGTCCCTTGGTATCACACCCTTTCTGAGGATGGGAGGGTGGGTGTGGCCCCACACAAACTCCACACCTGTCTACTGAAGAAAGGGATAAATTATGTTTGTGTGGCATCTCTTTCAAGTCTAGATGTAATGAGCAGACCGTTGTCAGTTTGGAAAAACAAGTGATAGTTGATTTTGTGCATATTAAAGAGGACACAGCTTCCCACTAAGCTCATCAGCCAACATACGGTTTACAAATGGGCTCGCAGAGGGCCGCGAGGAGCTGCAGTCAGGCCCAACGTCAAGGTCTGACACTGTCCACGAGCTGGTCACTCTGGGTTTACCGTGGCCATCTGTGTGACACAGAACCAGGACAGCCAACAGCGAGGGATTAAAGTCCCTGCCAGGAGGTTTCACAACCCAGCTCTACCTGTGGCTGGGCTTCTGCCCCTGCCCACTCTGAGGGCGAGTACCGGTTTCCTGGGTCCGGGCACTTTAAACCACAGCAGAGACCAGGACCAGGGCTTCGTGAAGGCATCTCCTTCCTGCAACCCCTTGAGGCAACACAGCAGACACCAGCAGGGATGGGAAACAGCAGACATTCTCAGCTTGGGGAGTTTCTCGAAGTCAGCAGAGAAGTAGCTGGCTGTGCTAATTACCTCCCACTGGAAACCAGTATCTACTCATACCACAGGGTAGTTCAAACCATAACAGCTTAGCAGAGCAAGCTGTAGTTAGGGGTTCATGTCAACCCCACACTTATGTGGCTGCTGAGACATGGCTGTAAGGGATCTGAGCAGGGGCTTGTGGCTCACAAGGGCTGGTGATGCCCTCCTCTACAGAGTTCAAAACAAGCCCGTCTCCCCGGTGGGGGGAAACAGATGTGTCACTGTCCCTACTGGGGGCCAGGCAAGAGAAAAGGAAGCAAAGACAAGCACAAATCCAGGCTCGAAACACAGGCCTGATGGCCAGAGAGTAACATTACTGTTTTCGGAAATGAAGGAATGTTTCAGTATGTCAGGACAGGGATCCCTGATGCCGTGTGTTACAGGGAAATGTGTCAGCCCCAATCATAAAGTACGTCTTATTACAAGGAAGCCCTAACACTTAATGCACTGGATTTGAACGAGACTCTCCATGAACTGCTTGGCAGGGACAGGACACCATGCACAGGCTACACTGGAGCACCGAGCTGAGGGCCCAGGTCCATCACACAGCACCACTGCGAGGTTAAGACCAAAGCAACGACACGTGGACTCTGATCAATGAGGACAGAGCTCTGTCTGCAGGGGCGGCCCCTCTGTCTGTCTGGCTGCAGCTGAGCTGTGGTAAGGCACCCATGCCAACCCTCAGGTTGAATAAACTTGCAGTAGAAAAGGATACTGGTGAGTCAGTTTTTTTTTTTTTTTTTTTTTTCTTTGAGATGAAGTTTAGCTCTTGCTGCCCAGGCTGGAGCATAATGGCATGATCTTGGCTCACTGCAAGCTCTGCCTCCCAGGTTCAAGTGATTCTCCTGCCTCAGCCTCCTGAGTAGCTAGGATTACAGGGGGCCTGGCTAATTTTTGTATTTTTAGTAGAGACGGGGTTTCACCATGTTTATCATGCTGGTCTTGAACTCCTAACCTCAGGTGATCCACCCACCTCAGCCTCCCAAAGTGCTGGGATTACAGGCGTGAGCCACCAGGCCCGGCCCATGGGTCAGAGTATTAATCATTTGTGTTTTAAAAAGCCACACAGTAGAGACCTCCAGTTCAATAAAAAGAACTTGTTCTCTTTTTAGGGTCATCACAACAGGGGAACACAGCTCCCCAAGCGCCTCAAGGGGAGACTGAGCCTGGAGTCTGACGACGCGTGGGGCAGAGCCTCAGGAGCCTGTCCCCACCCCCACCACTACCACTACCCTCTACTGCAGGCCCCATTCCCTGCTCACAAACTCTCCCCAAGGAAGAGGGCCAGGACCACTCACCGGATTTGGATCTTCCATGAGCAGCATTTGAGGCAATACTGAGAGACTGGGGCTTTATGGGGTCCCCCAGGACAGGAAAGCTTCCAGCACTGGGAACCTGGATGTAAGGCCCCACAGCAGCGACCCTGCCAGATGTGCTCAGAGGTGACTGTGGTGATGACGTGCCATTCACACGGTTCAGCTACAAATTGGGAAGAAATGAGAGTCAAGATTCTCCTAAATTAAAAGAGATCCCAAGCCTGGTACAACAGACTCCCAGCTCGGACAGAAACCACCGGTATTTAGGAAGGCTGTCATCTGGAAAGATCAGCATCTAGAAAGAGAGACTCTGGAGAAGGAACTGTAGCTTCCTACGAGCAATTCTCTGACAACACCCACCCCTCCAGAGCCGCACACATGAGGAACTGGTGTGAGCCCAGAGCAACTTCCCCGTGACCCATACTTAGCTTCCTTCGCTCTTCCTCCCGTGGTGGGCACAGAGGCACTCGTCAAATTCTGGGCTCTGAGCCTGGCTTCAAATCCCCTCTGTCACTTATTCACTATGGGCTTTAGGCAGGTGACTCAGCCTCTGTGCCCACATCTGTAAATTCAGGACACGGGCTGTAGTCAGTACTGTCCGAGCTGCATAGGGCACGGTGACCAGACAGAGCTCTGGCTCCTGGCAGTGGGTCCAGTTCCCTGAAGGCAGCTCTGCCCTTCTTAGCCAGGACAGAGGGCGCTGTTCACATAATGCTGCTCAAGAACAAAGGGGCTTGGAGCAGGGGCTCTAACTAGAGAACTACTGACTCCCCAAGATCCCAGTATAGGCTCTGAATGGGAACCCCTATGATGGTCTGTGAGGTTCTGTTTGCATGAGCGTCGGTCATTCTGGGGTGAGGGTCTCGGCATTCAGAATTGCTCAGTGGTACTGAGGACCTTTGAGTGGAGACGCATCTCTGCAGAAGTACTGACTTTAGGTGAGCCCCTGAAGTACAGGTGGAATGAATCGAGCTGTTTGTGCTGCTTCACTTCCTCCATCAACTAGGCCACAGTAACTGGTTATTTAGTCAAACACCAAATTAGACGTTGCTGAAAAGGTGCTTTCTAGATGAGATTAATCTTTTTTTTTTTTTTTTAATTTCCACAGGTTACCAGGGAACAGGTGGAGTTTGGTTACATAAGTAGGTTCTTTAGTGATTTGTGAGGCTTGGTGCACCCATCGTCTGAGCAGTATACACTGCACTCAATTTGTAGTCTTGTATCCTTCACCCCCTTCCCACCCCTTCCCTCGGAGTCCCCAAAGCCCACTGTGTCACTTTTATGCTTTGCATCCTTATAGCTTAGCTCCCAGGTATGAGTGAGGACATACAATGTGTGGTTTTCCATTCCTGAGTTACTGCACTTAGAATCATGGTCTCCAATCTGGATGAGATTAATTTATAAAATGGCAGATTTGAGTAAAGCAGATGACCCTCTATAAGGTGGGTGGGCCCCATCCAATCAGTGGAATGGCCTAAGAGAACAAGACAGACTCCCTGAGAAAGTGGGATCCTGCCCAGAGTCAGCCTTCGGGCTCTAGACTCTCCCCTGGCCCTCCAGGCTGCCGGCCGGCCTCGCAGGTTTTGGACTTGCCAACATCCACAATCACGTGAGCCAATTCCTTAAGGTAAATCTCTCTTCCTTTCTCTCTCTCCACACATGCACACACGCACGCACTACTGGTTCTCTTTCTGTAGGGAGCCCTGACTACTACGTCATTCCTGAAGAACACACGTAAGCACAGAGAAGGTGCTTGCAGCTTCTCTCTCACATGGCCTCTCTGTGTTAATCCTGAGAGAAAAAGGATAACCAACATCTGAAATCATAAAGCTGTACAATAAACTGATCTTTAAACTCACTGTTTTGTTGTTGTTTTTTTAAACGAAGGGCAGATTTGTAAATAAGAGACTGTGACACCCACAGAATTGGAAGCTCCCTTCTTTGTCTACCATCCTGTAAACCCACTTCCCCTGGGCAAAGCCCCTCAAGTCCATGCTGCCTCCTTGAAGCATCTACCAGAGCAGAAGAGGCTGACAAGAGGACACTCTTCTGTCACCAAAGCATGAGAACATCAGTCACTGAATATGCAGAAGGAAGCTGTGGGAAGGGCGTCTTTGCTGGCAGGTCACCTGCTCCACTCTCCTACCACGAGGGCAGAGTGTACTCAGCTTTGCATTCAGGCCTAATCACTGAGTGTCACAGGTGCGAGAAAAGAAAATGCCACATCCGGCCACAGACACAGTGCAGACGCCCCTCCTCTATGCAGGTGGCTCAGTGGTACACATGCTCACCAATGCACTGTGAGTGACAGCAAGACTGAGGACTCCCTGCCTGACTACAGAGGCTGGCAAAGGGGTTACCGGCTCTGGGACCACAGAATAACTTTCAGATGGTGCAATGAGAATGAGGTAACGACCTGGAAAGACACCCATGGTGCAGTTAAAAAATGACCAGCGTAATTCCTGCAATCCCATTTTCAATTAAAGTTCTGTATCTTTGTGTGTTTATTAAGCAGAAGACTGAAACCATTAGAAACTATCACCTCTAGAGAACTGGCTGGAAAGGACTTTCACATTTTCCCTTCAGTGTTTCTGTCCTTAAGAGATTTCTCTTCAGGAATTGACTCATGTGATTGTGGATGCTGGCAAGTCCAAAATCTCTGACAGTGAATTTCAAAGGTAATAAATACTCATTTAAAAAAATGAGTATTTATTTAATGAGTATTTTATTACCTTTGAAATTCAGTATGAAATAAAGATTTTTCAGAAGTATAACCCCTTATATGGCATTTTGCTCCAGAGTTTACAAAATCCTTCCACACGGCTTATTTATAAGAATCCCCACAGCTCCTCATGGGGCAGTTAGGGCCAGTCACTTTACAGCAGGACATGAGGCTATGCAAGGAATCTGCTCAAAGTGACACAGCTTAAAATGGCATAGTGAGGACCGTGCCAGATGCTGTGACTCCAGAGCCAACAGCATCCCCCAGACAAGAAAAGAAACAGACGGGGAAGAAGGAAGGCTAGGACACTGGGCACAAGGCTGCAGGCTGGGGGTGGTTTTGCCTCCACATACTAGGAAACAAATGAGTCACTGGGAGAAGGAACCTTGTTCTGTGGTTTTTGATGGTTTATGGCCTATTGATGTGTTGTCAGCTATGGTGGACGGGGGAGTATAATGCCACTTAGAGAAGATGTGTAGTAGCTTATCTCGCAAAAACATTCTTTATCACATGCCTGAATCTTTTTCCCATAGAGACGTTCACGCAGTTCACCGATTCGCTTGTCCATCATGGCCACCTCCATGTTGCGCTTATTTAAGAGTTCCTTCTGTTGCTGAAGTTTTGAATTTTGTTCCTGGTTAAGCTGGTTACGAATCTACAAACCACAAAAGACAACTTTTACGATCTGCACTGATTAAAAATCAAATTCTCATGGCCAGGGAGATTAAAAAGAAAAAAGTAGCCTTAAGTTCTGATATTTACATGCATCCACTGCCACTTTGTGTGAAATACTTTACAGGTACAGCCAAGATGAAGCCAGGACAGAGTTCTCATGGAACAAACAGAGTAAACATCTGTAATGCACCTTCTTTAGAGCACGGGACATGACTAGTCTCAATGATGACAGGAGACTAACTGCCATATTTGGGACTCTCAGAAACTAAAGGATGCTCTGTTCCACTCCATGGAGCTGCTTCAGGCCTGAGCCCACCGCATGACGTGCCTCACTGTGGAGGCAACAGGAAATTCAGTGGGGACCAAAAAGGACGGCCTGATTCACCAAGTAAAGCACCTTACGTCATTTTAGTGGCTTGCAACCAGCATTTTTAAGAAATGAACTAGGACAAAACAGAAAATATCAGAGTGCACTTCGCACAGGAAGAGCAGTCTTAAACTTTCAGATGCCCACAGCACTAGTGCATATACACTTCCATGTGTACGATTCTCCTGAGGGAGGAGAATCACTTGGAACTCAGGAGGTGGAGGTTGCAGTAAGCTGAGATCGCCCCACTGCATCCAGCCCGGGCGACAGAGCCAGACTCCATCTCAAAAACAAAACGAAACAAAACAAACCAACCAACAAACAAAACACTACACTGCAGTCCAGAAAGTTGGAAATAAATGACATCCTTATATTACACTCCTCACATTTCATCAAAACATCCTTAAAAACCCTGCACTTTTAACGAGTGCTTAAAGTGTAAAAGTCATCAAACCCTGTAATACTACAGCACTTCTGTGCATTTATGTTAAAGAACTTAACAGCAACCACAGCGGCTTTACTCTATGTAGTTAAATACTCTCATTTCATAAAATGATACAATACTTTTTCTAGCACGTGCTAATAAAGCGGCAAGACCTATGTCTGGCTTGAAAAATCGCCTGCTGAATGACAACTTCTGAGAAATGAAAATCTTGAGGACTGTTATGGACTGAATGTGTCCCCGCTAAATGTATATGTTGAAGCCCTAACCTTAATGTGATGATGTCTGAGGGCAGGGTCTTGAGGAGGTAGTCAGGTTTACGCAAGGTCACGAGGGTGGGGCCCCCATGCTGGAGTTAATGGAAAGAAACTAAACTCTCTCTCCACTATGTGGGGACGCTGTGCGAAGGTCGCTGTCTGCAAGCCAGGGAGTGGGAACTGAATCTGCCAGCGCCTTGACCTTGAACTTCCGGCCTCCAGAACAGTAAAAAATAAAGGTCTATTGTGTGAGCCATCCAGCCTGTGGGGTATTTTGTTATAGCAGTCTGAACTAACATAAGGATTTAACAATAAGCACGTAGCTCATCAAAACAGTTTACACAAAGACCTTAAATATCATCTAAAGCTTTTCTTTATTGGATTATTATCTGCTAATTAAATTCTTTTGTGCTGAAAACATCCTAAGTGAAAGAAGCCAGTCACAAAGGACTGCATACAGGGTGTGTTTTGGTTAATATCCCTTAACCAAAATGCTTGGGACCCAGAAGCATTTCAGACTTTAGATTCATCCAGATTTTTAAATATTTACGTTATTTTTGCCTGTTTAGCATCCTTCCTAATCTGGAAATCCAAAATCCAAAATGCCCCGATGAGCATGTATTTCCCTTGTGTGTCACAGTGGAGCTCAGAGTTTCAGATTGGAGGCATTTTGTATTTCAGGATTAAGGATGCTCAGTCGGTCCTGTGTGACTCCACTCATACAAAATGCCCACAATAGGCAAACCTACAGACAGAGAGTACACTTGTGGTTCCCAGGCTCTGGAGGCTATGGAGGTTGTGGAGTGACGGCTAAGAGGTCTGGGCCTTCTTTTTGGGTAATAAAAGTGTTCTAAAACGAATTGTGGTGGTGGATATAACTCTGACAACTCTGGGAAGGCACTAAAGCCATGGAATTGTATACTTTAAATGGACGAATATGTTGTATGCATTATATCTCAAGTCATTTTAAAATTATTTTATACTGAATATATCTGTGCCTACTGTTAAATTAGAATTCATTAATTTGTTCCATTTCCCAAGGTTTCCAACCCATGCTAACAAAGCTGGAGAGATGACAATGTTTTCATACAACCATTCCCAGACCCAGGAGTTACCTGTAGTTCCTGGTATAGTCTTTTTAACTCCACTGCTGCTGGTCCTGTCAATTTGCCATTGTAAGACTGGAACCCATTCAGTTTTCCCTTCTTTAAATCTTCCAACTGCTGACTCAGCTGATCAACCCTTAAAATTGCAGTCTGTACTTCCTGCTTCTTTTCCTGGAACATGGCACTGAACCTTTCTATTTCAGCAGCTGTAAGTGCCCACGAAAGAAAGAAAGAAAGAATAAAATATTTAGCTGGTCTTCCCCGCTGCCCCATTCCTATATACTTAATTCTGTTATCATCTAGTGCCAGACCTTGGAAAAAGTTGTGATATGCAGAATCCAAAACACAATTCAAAAAGTCTTTGGGACACATGTATCTGATTACTCATAAAGCAAACAATTATATTTGCATTAATTCCTGACTATTCTTTAGGGTAATCAGTCCATAAGCTGGTTTGGTCAAATGACTTAGGAATCTCTGAGACCAAAGGTTTTGTGAAGGCAGGGCCATCCAAGTCTGTCTCCTGCATCACTGTGACTTAAAGTAGGCAAAGAGTGAACCAATGAATAAAATCAGAGTGCACACAGAAAAAAAGTGAGCATGAGTGTAACTTATCTTAACGCATGGATACAAGTTAAGTTATTCAAGAAAAACAGAACCTCTGAATGAGTGAGTCTTAGAGTGCCCGACCCTAATCCAAAAGGACTGCTGACCAGTGTAAGAAGAGGATCTTTCTACTGCATCTGAGGGCCACAGAGATCTTTTTATTTTATTTTTTTGAGACAGGGTCTCACTCTGTCATCAAGGCTGGGGAGCAGTGGCTGGATCATGGCTTACTGCTGCTTTCACCTCCTAGGCTCAGACAATCCTCCCACCCTAGCCTCTCAAGTAGCTGGGACTACAGGCTTTTAAGATCACTTAACCTAACTACCCCATCCTTTTAGACGCAAGTAACAGAGCAAAACTTTTAGCACACTTGCTATTTAGTCCTGTGAATCTGTGACTGTGTTTCACTGGATCTGGGCCTGGTGACAGTGGTGTAGAGGGAGTGTTGCAGGCACGTACACAGATTGCCGTTCATGATTTTGCTGTAGTCGACTTGTCCTCTCATGGCACGAATTTTCTTCAGCTTGTTCTCCTGGGCTTCAACTCGTTCTTTCAATTTCTGAAGCTTTTCATTTTCAGAAATAGACTGCTGCTGACGGCGCTCCTGTTGCTTTAGAAAATGTAAACGCTGTTCCTAACAAAAGAAAGAAAAATGTAACTTTGAAAATTGAAGGCCAGGCACGGTGGCTCATGTCTGTAATCCCAGCATTTTGGGAGGCTGAGGCAGGTGGATCACCTGAGGTCAGGAGTTCGAAACCAGCCTGGCCAACATGGTGAAACTGTCTCCACTAAAAATACAAAAAGTAACCGGGTGTGGTGGTGTGTGCCTGTAATCCCCACTACTTGGGAGGCTGAGGCAGGAGAATCACTTGAACCTGGGATGCAGAGGTTGTAGTGAGCCAAGACTGCACCACTGCACTCCAGCCTGGGTGACAGAGTGAGATTCTGAGGAAGGAGGAAGGAGGAAGGAAGAAGGAAGAAGGAAGGAAGGAAGGAAGGAAGGAAGGAAGGAAGGAAGGAAGGAAGGAAGGAGGGAGGGAGGGAGGGAGGGAGGGAGGGAGGGAGGCAGGGAGGGAGGGAGGGAGGAGGAGAGAGAGAGAGAAGAAAGAAAGAGAAAAGAAAGAAAGGAAGAAAGAAAGAAAGAAAGAAAGAAAGAAAAAGAAAGAAAGAGAAAGAAAGAAAGAAAGATGGTTACTTTTATATACTCAAAAAGAAAAATATGAGTGTATTCTACAGTATCGCTCATATTAATGAATACTAAAACACTAGCCGGAATCTTAAATCAGACTACACAAAGCTGAAATTATTGGGCATACTAAATATGAAATGGTAAGAGTTGGGGGATTTTTAAGAGAGGGCGTTTTATTACACACTGATCTACACCATTAAGTTAATATAAGCGCTTCTTCAGAGAACATGCACGAACACAATCTCCTCTTCACGCTATCAAATCTGTGAAGTCTCAGCGAGCCTTACTTTCCTGCTGCCAGTAATACATTTACTGCTGCTACAAAGTGGCTTCCAAGAATCTCTTATTTCACTTCCTAAAGGAAATGAGCATTAAGCAGCAGAGGATTTTATACTGAAAAGAAATAAGGTGATCAGTAAGGAGATACATCTTCAATTTGCTATAATATGGAACAATCAAGGAAGTGCCTGCTTTCACCAGGATTACTTTCTTCAATAATGAAACATTTTAGAGTCTAACACTAACAGAACAATCCAAAAATAACAATATATGCAATACTCTCCAATAGGTGTTTTTCCCCTATTAATGTGAAAACATACCTTAAAGATAAGAGTAAACATTAAATATTCATGGTCCCATATATACGCATAAAATATTCCTAAATAAGGAGAGGTTTAAGGTGTGACTATGAAGGCACTAATACTACACTTTAAGGTAAGGCAATATGTACTTAAATATTTCAGATGTAGCATTAACTTGTGATTTATACAGCTGAAAATATCTAAAACGTTTTTTAACAGCAATACTCTTGGATCAATATTTGGAAAAAATGGCATACTATGACATAATACTATGTATATTTTATCTTAGAAATCTTATAATGGGATAAAGTACTTTTTAATTAAACTTAACTTTCCATCATTCTTATTCTCAGAAATCCAATAAACATTGAGACAACGTTTTAAAACAAGTCCAATCCAAATCATTATTTACATAAAAGTGGATACTACAATGAAGTATACATTCAATAAATTTTAAAAAATCAGACTGGATATTTAGTCACTAAGAAGATCTCTCTGCAGAAAAAAAACAAAAAGAACCTAGTTGGTAATAAAGTTTATCCTTAAAGCAGTTTTGGAATATTTTAAGATCTTTTACAACAAGAATCATTTCCAGGAGGCATGTGTGATAGAGCTGATGTTTCAATTAAGTATGACTAAACCACTATTTAGAAAAACTTGAGTTTCAATAACCAATGTAGAATTCAGTGTATACAATGAGCATTAACTATGCCCCACACTAATAAACCAAGTAAGTCCAGCCTAGAGCAGCACACTGGGAAGCCCTGTTAACCAGCTGTCACCGTCTTCAGAACCCCCCCATCAGTGTTTTCAGCACGGATCACTGCTTTCTTCTTGAACTAATACCAACGACATAGCCAAGAACACATCCAGAGGCACAAGGAGGTAACAAAAGCATCCTTCTTCCCTTTTTTTTTTTCTAAATACAGGGTCTCACTTACTCTGTCTTCCACGCTGGAGTGCAGTGATATGATCTCAGCTCACTGCAACCAACTCCTGGGCTCAAGTGATCCTTCTGCCTCAGCCACCCGTATAGCTGGGACCAGAGGCACAAGCCACCATGCCCAGCTAATTTATTTTATTTTTCATAGCAACAGAGTCACTATGTTGCCCAGGCTGGTCTTGAACTCCTGGGCTTAAACAATCCTCCTGCCTTAGCTTCCCAGAGTGCTGGGATTATAGGCATGAGCCACTGTGCCTGGCCCCTTTCCAAATTTTATCTGGTCATCAGTTTCCAGTATGGGATATCTGTTGTGTGTGTCAAGGATGAGATGCTCTTGTTCTGATAACTTTCCAACTTCCACAAGCTACAATCTGCAAGTGTTATTGTGGAAGTGATAACAAAGAGAGAAAGACATTGTGTTCATCACTCCCACGGCATGGTCCTATTTTATAAGCATTACCCAAGAATGTATTAACCCCAGTCTAAAGTGATGGTTAAAGAAGGGACTTTTTGAACAGTATTTCAATACCTCTTTCTGTAACTTACCTTGGCAACCAACATCTGCTGCTGATTTTCAATCTGCTGCTGTTGCCTGGCTGCCATATCTTGGAGCTCTGAGAGGGTCAGTTCAACACGTGGATTCCCAACCTAAACAAAAAGCACTTATTTTGGAACATATGTTTGTCTGCATACCTGTCTTTCTCCAGTGTCCAAACTTGTACATATCAGGACTTTACATAGGATCCCTAGATTGGAAGAGTACCAACTAGTTTATTTTTCTTGTAAGAACTTTTCCTAATTGTTGACTGCTCTTATTAAATATAAGTAACTTTTTCAAATGCATAAACATCAGACACTGTATTTAGCAAGGGCTCAAGTTTAATCAAACATTTGGCAACGTGTGTTACAAGTGACATTCCTCCTTCTGCAGTGACAATTGAGTAGGTATATTTGAGCAAGTGAGGCTGTCAGATGTTTAAGAATACACCACCAAAAAAATAAATATGCAGGTAACACCTAAGAACAAATGTCATCTTGCTGTCACCTAGCCTCAGGAAACGAAAATATGTAACAGATTCGAATACATGAATACCTCACTAAAAACACTGTTTGTATGACTTACATGAAGAACTGACACATCATCCAAGAATTCCATATGTGAAATCAACACGCAAAGGTAACATCGAGAGGAATACAATTGGCTGCTTCTCTATTCTCTGTCAATGATACCCTGAACTAAACACTTTACATATATGGACCCATTTCAGCCTCAGAATGACTGATGAGGTGGGTACTGTTACATCCCCATTTTACAGATAAGAAAGCAAGCACAGGGCAGTCAGCTTGTCAGGCAGAGTAGAGACGCAGAGTCCCTGTTCTTGACTGTTTACTCACAGTTCTTTACTTACTAAGCCCACACCAAGTGCAGTGTACTGTGACAGATGTGTTATGAGCACTGTGCCGTATGCGCTTCAAAACGAGTCTTCATGGGGTTGGGGGGGTTATGTGAGCCCCCCTGTGGGTGAGGAGCAATGGGGGTGAGGGGAAGGAGCATGCCTGAGGCACGAGGCTCATTAAAGCAGCAGAGCTCCATTCCCACAAGCCCATCTTCTTCCAAACCCTTCAGTTTTGAGCAAGGAGGCCACACAGTCCCTCCTCAGACCCCCACATTCTATTTCTAGGTTCATTTATGCCCTTAGGACACCTTTACCTTCTGCCACCCTTAAACGTCTTACAATTCCTATTCTTCCAGCTCCATGCCTTCCCAAACTTTTATAATATTTGAGCACATTCTTGACTACTGAAAAATGGGATGAGGATTTGTTTACCAGTCTTAACTGGAACCACCATTCTGTTTATCTACAAAATCTGGAGAAAGCAATACGGTACAAGACTTTTTTTTTTTAATTTAGAGACAGATTCTCTCTCTGTCACACTTTTTCTCTGTCAGGCTGGGGTAACATGGCACAATCACTGTAGCCTCAAGCGATCCTCTTGCCTGGCCAGGATTATAGGCACACGCCACCGTGCCTGGCTGATTCTTAAATTTTTTGTAGAGGCAGAGGTCTCACTATGTTGCCTGTGCTAGCCTCGACCTCCTGGGCTCGAACAATCCTCCCATCTGGGCCTCCCAAAGCGCTGGGATTACAGGTGCAGGCTACTGTGCCCAGGCTTAAACACTTTTTGACTAGAGGAAAACTACGTCCATTCAATAGATCTTTCAATTTATATTAATTTCATAATGTCACAACTTGAAGAAAAAAATCAAAAACTACCTTTCTGGTCTCTCCCACCAATGGCTTTATGAAACAATGGAAAGGGGATAGAAGAGAGATTTAACTGCCTGGTGTTCTGATGTTTACATCTACGAATAAAGTAGGGCTTATTAAAATATTTTACTTACCTAAACCAAAAAGTATTTTATTTGCCAATACGTACATTTATACTTGCTTTATGTTACATGTGTTCTTCTAAGTACAAAATTAAGATATGCCATGTTGTCTTAAGTAATTCAGTCACTGTATCTTATATATCAACTTATATTGTAATGAAATTATACTGAAGAGCTTACATATAGAAAAGTGTAATAAATCATAATGCACAGTCCAATGAATTATTTCAAAGTGAATATGCCTGTGTGATTTAATTGTATTTTAAATGGGTTAGATAAACATAAGCTACCATAAACCTGTAAATCAATGAATATGTAACAATTTACATTTTAGTTATTGTGCAATGTGAACATTTAGAAAAAAGAAGCCCTTTTTCCACAGTTTTAAAGAAAACAAAGACCCTTCAATGCAAATTTGATTTCTTAAATAATAGGCCTATCACTGTATTACCTGTAAACTAATCCCTATTTACAATTTAAAATTTTTCATACAACTCAATTTACTCAAACCTATTATCTAATTCTCACCTGTTTTTCTTCATTGATTGCATCTAAGAAGAAGAAATCAAATCGTGTTCCCTCAGGCAATTCCAGGTCCCTAATTATGGTAGAGTTATCAGATGAGTTCAGCTCCAAGTCACTCAGAGCACAAGCCACTTCCAACAACTAAGTTAAATTAGAAATAAAGTTCTCTCAGCAACAGCCAGGCAGGTGCCTACGAATATGAGATCCCCAAAAAGAAAACACCCCACCAGCCTTAAGCCTGCTCCAGTGATCCCGTTGGCAGGGACCACCACTTGTGGCTCAGGGGTCCAGATACCCTCTAATGCCGACGTTCCCTACCGGAACTGTGGATTCCAGGAACAGTGTTTCTGCTCCTGATGAACCCAGACCACTCTCAAGCCTCGAAATAACATCACTTGTTTTCCACAACAGACACAGCTCGCTCTGCCTCAGGTCTAACTGGCCCCCAACTCCGACTCCAGCACGAGCGGAGAGAAAGAGAAGCTTCTAGGGTCACTTATCTGATCATATCACTGCCTTCTTTCTCCAAACTTCCACAGATTTACTTGTGGAAATAAGAGACTTCATTAGCTAGCTTACAAAATTTTTATAAAGAAAATATTTGCCTGACAAAAGATTTGTACCAGGCACCCAGGAGGTAACCAGAGTCCACAAGACTTGGTCTTTATGGCAATAGGTCTTGGCCCAGTACCCAGTCACGGCATCAGTAACCTGTTTTCTGGAGTGGACTCAGGTGACCAGACACTCCCTCACCTTCCCACCACGTCCCATCAGACTCCAACATGGATGGCATCTTTTCAAACTCAAAGCCCACACTGCTTTTCATTCATTCACATGGAAGAGTCTACATCCTCCTCATCATTTAACTCTCTTTCCAGATGTTTCTCAACATTTCCCTCACCCGAATTGTCTCTGGCTCCTATCACCTCCCTTCTGATCATGTCCCCTAATCTCTGGCTGCCTAGAAAGGTACTACACTGGGACTTCATCAATGAAGGAGCTCAGCCATGTGCCCAAGACCCCCGTGACAGCAAGGGGCAAGGCAATGCCCTCTGCTATATAGCAGGGCCATCATGAAGGTGTCAGGAGAACACATATTCTCTGAGTACCATTATGTTCAGTATCACAAACACACAACAGTCCATTTACCTTCCACATGCCAGGTGTCATCCTAGACACTGTAGGCAACAGAAAAGTAGAATGTCTCTCCATTTTCAATAAGCCTCTATTTCAAGGAAGGAGATGAGAATCTCTCATGGGAAGTCATTAAATTACCTTATCCAATTCAACCATGAGGAACAGAAATAGAGAGCAGGTTTTCTGTATACCTGTATTTTCACTGTGAAATAAAAACAGCCTTTCTGGCATGCCTACAATCCCAGCACTTTGGAAGGCTGAGGGGGGCGGATCAACTGAGGTCAGAAGTTAAGAGTCCAGCCTGACTAACATGGCAAGACCCTGTCTCTACTAAAAAAAAAAAAAAAAATAGCTAGGTGTGGTGGCAGACACCTGCAGTCCAAGCAACTTGGGAGGCTGAGGCAGAAGAATCACTTGAAACGCAGGAGGCAGAGGTTGCAGTGAGCCATGATTGCACCACTGCACCCCAGCCTGGGCAACAGAGTGAGGTTCTGTCTATTAAAAAAAAAATCACCACCAAAAAAAAATCCAACAGCATTTTCCAGGGTAGCAGTGAGGATGTGGAATGTCACCATGCACTCCTGTAAAAGTGCACTGTTCGGGCTGGCACCCTGAGAAGTGCATAAAAAGCAGCAGGACATTTCAGCCAGCCTGGTTATGGGAATTGCAGGACTGAAGATAAAATTTCCCACTCCCAAACAACGAGCCCAAATGAGAAGCTGAACCTCAAGATACATGATCATTCCTGACTCTACTGAAATTCCAAGTAAAAATATCTTATAAAACCCATAATGAACAAAAATAAAACATGATTAAAAAATTTTTTATGGTCCTATATTTAAGACTGTCAACTTAAAAAAAATAAACATATTAACACTAGTCCACTTCAGATACAAAACTTCAAAAACTGCTTTATGGTAAATAAGTTTTAACAAAATGAAGTAACAGGCCACTTTTAGAAACATAGCATAGGCCAGGTGCAGTGTTTTGTATTCACTTCCTTATCGGTATTTGATGTTGTCACAAAAGAGGAAACTTAATGACCCTCTATTAAGATAAAATGTTGCTTTGGTGAGGTGGGTGGGTCACCTGAGGTCAGGAGTTCAAGACCAACTTGGCCAACATGGTGAACCCCAACCCTGTCTCTACTAAAAGTACAAGAATTAGCCATGCATAGTGGCACATGCCTGTAGTTCCAGCTACTCAAGAGGCTGATATACATGAATCACTGGAATGCAGAACAAAGAGGCTGCAGGTTTCAGTGAGCCAAGATCCTGTCACTGTACTCTAGCCTGAGCGACAGAGAGAGACTGTCTCTAAATCAATAAGTAAATAAAACGTTAACCTCTTTGCAAAGAAAGGCTTTTATGTAAGCGGAATTTTGATTTGATATGTAATAAAAGTGCATAAATACATCCATAATTAAACTAGCAACCCCAAAGGTCCTAGTATCAGATTCTTAACAAGTAAACTAGCCCATGATTTACAAAAATTAGATATAAAAAGGGGGCTGACTTCCATTTAAATCTCTCATCTGCATAACTATGTGTATGAGTCAGGACCCAGAAAGCTACCAAAGTAACGTATGTTTGATAAACAAGCCGTCGGAACTAGATTTTATTTCTCTTTTAGACTGAGTCTTGCTCTGTTGTCCAGGCTGGAGTGCAGTGGCACAGTCTCGGCTCCCTACAACCTACTCCTCCCGAGTTCAAATGATTCTCCTGCTTCAGCCTCCCGAGTAGCTGGGATTGCAGGTGAGTGCCACCACATCTGGCTAACTTTTGTATTTTTAGTAGAAACAGGGTTTCACTATGTTGGGCAGGCCGGTCTCAAACTCCTGACCTCAAGTGATCTGCCTGCCTCACCCTCCCAGAGAACTGGTATTACAGGCTGAGCCACAGTGCTTGGCTGGAACTATATTTTTAAAGATACCAACAAACAATTAGCCTAGCCAGCATGGTGAAACCTCATCATTACTAAAAATAAAAAATGTGCTGGCTGTGGTGGTGTGCACCTGTAATCAGCTACTCAGGAGGCTGAGGTAGGAGAATCGCTTGAACCCAGGAGGCGGAGGTTGCAGTGAGCTGAGATCACACCACTGCACTCTCATCTGGGTGACTGAGTGAGACCCTGTCGAAAGAAGAAAAAGAAGAAAGGAAGGAAAGGAAAGGAAGGAGGGAGGGGAGAGGGGAGGGAAGAAAAGAAAGAGGGAGGGAGGAAGGAAGGATGGACAAACTACAACTCACTTGATAATTATGGTTGAGAGGGTTTTTTTTTTTTTTTTTTTTTGGAGACAGAATTTCACTATTGTCACCTAGGCTGGAGCGCAATGGCACGATCTTGGCTCACTGCAACCCCCACCTCCCAGGTTCAAGCAATTCTCCTGCCTCAGCCTCCCGAGTAGCTGGATTACAGGTGCCTACCACCATGTCTATTTTTTTTTTTTTAAGTAGAGATGGGGTTTCACCATGTTGGCCAGGCTGGTCTTGAGCTCCTGACCTCAGGTGATCCGCCCGTCTTGGCCCCCCAAAGTGCTGGGATTACAGGTGTGAGCCACCTCGCCCAGCTGATAGCTTTTTATCACAGGTCAGTTGGAAATATGGCTTCAATAAAATGAATTTGTCTCTTCAGGTAATGTTTTAAATATAATTTTTAAGCTGGTGGTACAATAACCCATGTATTAAAGATACACAATAGTTTCTCAAAGCAAATCAATATATTTATGAAATACAAATATACATCTTTCATCCTAAGCCACTAATGATATGTTTTTGCAGATTTGTAGTGTCTTCAAATATTAGTAAGAAGGCTAGTCTTACATTCCATTTAATGTGCAATTGAAATATTTTGCTAAAATATGGCCAGGTGTGGTAACTCATGGTTGTAATCCTCAGCTCATGAGTTTGAGACCAGCCTGGACAACATGGTGTGAAACCCCATCTCTACAAAATATATAAAAATTAGCCAGGCATGGTGGCGTGTACCTGCAGTCCCGGTTACTTGGAAGGGTGAGGGGGAAGGCTCGCTTGAGCCCAGGAGGTTGAGACTGCAGTGAGCTGTGACTGTACCACTGCAGCCTGGGCATCAGAGCAAGCCCCTACATCAAAAAAAAAAAAAAAAAAAAAGAAAAAGAAAAAGAAGAAAAAAAAATTTTGCTAATATGTGCCAAATAATAAAGACTGCACAATATTACATGCTTCATCCAGTATCTGTCCAGTTAATGACTCATTATTGCAGTTCTTGTAAAACGATGCCATTTTCAGACAATTTTTTTCTGTGTAACTAATCTTTCATATAGAAAAACTAAATAGGGAGGCCGGGTGCGGTGGCTTATGCCTATAATCCCAGCACTTTGGGAGGCCAAGGCGGGTGGATCATAAGGTCAAGAGATTGAGACCATCCTGTTCAACCTGGTGAAACCCCGTCTCTACTAAAAATACAAAAATTAGCTGGGCATGGTGGTGCGCGCCTGCAATCCCAGCTACTTAGGAGGCTAAAGCAGGAGAATTGCCTGAACCCAGGAGGCGGAGGTTGTGGTGAGCCGAGATCGCGCCATTGCACTCCAGCCTGGGTAACAAGAGCGAAACTCCGTCTCAAAAAGAAAAAGTAAATTGGCTGGGCTCAGTGGCTCACACCTGGAATCCCAGCACTTTGGGAGGCCGAGGCAGGCGGATCACAAGGTCAAGCGTTTGAGACCAGCCTGCCAACATGGGGAAATCCTGTCTCTACTAAACCTACAAAAAATTAGCTGAGCGTGGTGGCAGGCGCCTGTAACCCCAGCTGATCAGGAGGCTAAGGCAGGACAATTGCTTGAAGCCAGGAGGCGGAGGTTGCAGTGAGCCGAGATGGTGCCACCGCACTCCAACCTGGACGGCAGAGAGAGACTCTGTCCCAAAAAAAAGAAATACTAACTAATACTCCATAAGGAGTGATGTTTCAACATTATAATTTCAGGCAAATAAACATACTAATTTAGTCAACCCAATTGTTCCTCGTCAGAGAAC